GCTCTGCATGGGCCCGCTGCTCTCCGCAAAGCATACCGGAAGTACGGAATAGCTCCCAGCAGTTTCAACATCGATCTGGCAGACTTTAAACCCATTACGACAACCCATGCTGCTGCTGGGAGCGAGATTGCAGAGCCTGATCAGACTGGCGCTGTCAGTGCTACTTCCGTCGAGAACGATGCCGAGTTCGTTTCGCCTGTTCTTATTGGCGGCCAGAAGATCGTCATGACATTTGACACTGGTTCTTCTGACTTGTAAGTCTTGGATGCAGCTGTTTACTCTTTGGTACAGTGATTAACGTCGATCTACAGTTGGGTGTTCGATACGAATCTCAATGAAACCTTGACGGGACACACGGAGTACAACCCTTCGAACTCCTCGACCTTCAAGAAGATGGACGGATACACCTTCGATGTCTCGTATGGTGACGACTCGTACGCCTCTGGCCCCGTCGGAACGGATACCGTCAACATTGGCGGCGCCATTGTCAAGGAGCAAGCCTTCGGTGTCCCCGACCAGGTATCCCAGTCGTTCATCGAGGACACGAACTCCAACGGCCTGGTCGGGTTGGGCTTTTCCTCCATCAACACCATCAAACCGGAGGCGCAAGACACGTTCTTCGCCAATGTCGCACCAAGTCTGGACGAGCCCGTCATGACCGCCTCGCTCAAGGCTGACGGAGTGGGCGAGTACGAGTTCGGCACGATCGACAAAGACAAGTACCAGGGCAACATTGCCAACATCAGCGTGGACTCATCGAACGGATACTGGCAGTTCTCCACTCCCAAGTACTCCGTGGCAGACGGAGAGCTGAAGGACATTGGAAGCTTGAACACCTCGATCGCGGACACCGGTACCTCCCTTATGCTGCTGGATGAAGACGTGGTTACTGCCTACTATGCGCAAGTTCCCAACTCGGTCTACGTGAGCAGTGCCGGTGGTTACATCTACCCCTGCAACACCACTCTTCCCAGCTTCTCGCTTGTCCTCGGCGAGTCGAGCCTGGCCACGATCCCCGGTAACCTGATCAATTTCTCCAAGGTTGGCACCAACACCACCACCGGACAGGCCTGTAAGTTGCTCCCCTTCTTTTGCATGATTGAACATGATTGACTGATTGTGCTGGTTAGTGTGCTTTGGCGGCATTCAATCCAACGGAAACACCTCGCTGCAGATTCTGGGCGATATTTTCCTGAAGGCCTTTTTCGTTGTCTTCGACATGCGCGGCCCCTCGCTTGGTGTTGCCTCTCCCAAGAACTAGTTTCCTTTTCCTGTACTTTTCCCCCGCGTGTAATAATATCGTCTGATTTTTTGGACTGTCTCCTACGTGGGCAAGATGGATGGATAGTTTGCTCACGTGCATTGCTTTACCTTGGGTCTGTGAGTCAAGGCAGGAGTGCGTGGCTGTATCTACAATTCAAGTTACAGTGCCGACCGTTATTGCCTTCCACATCGAAAAACATAGACACTCTTTCTAACCCTAATCCATGATACAAGTATATACTTCGAGTCCATATTATGGTGGTGTATCAAGGCGCCATGTTTATATCTAATGAAACCAACGTAGGTCTCATCTTCATACGTTGTTTAAAAGGTGCCGAAGAATATACGAAGATAGATATAGTAGCACCCCGAAAGTCTAACGGCTAATCAGCGCCGGTAAACGGTAAACTCCAGGCAAAGGAACACGAGGTAGGCAACTAAGAGAACTACACCTGCACTCCTCCCCAGTCCCAAAAAGATAACAGCACAAAATGCCCCAGAGGACACCCACACGGCCACCAGCTCAAAAAGCACAAAATTATCTGCCTCTTGTACCTGGTACCCCGCCACTGCAACGACACCAACACAGAGCGTCAGCAAGAAAATGTTGCTTCCTGCAGTCGTCGCAGCCATAATGCCGCCGTGGCCGCGGGAGCCACTAATGATTGCAACCAGCTTCTCTGGAAGAGTGGTGGCGAACGAGACAACGGTCAGACCGAAGACAGATCCCGAGAGGTGCAGGGAGTCGGCGATGGTGACGGCGCTGTGGGAGAGGATATATCCTGACATTGAGAGCGAGATGAATCCGAGAATGAGCTGGAATATGTGATAGGGGAGGCTTCTGCTTCGTCTGCTTTCTTTGTCAGCTGATGAAGGCGCAGGCTCATTCTCAATGAGAGGCGATGTCTCGGAGACAGGTGCATGATTGATGGATTCCCCGTCCCCGTCCTCGCTATCGCTGGATTCCCCGTCACTATCACTGTCTGATAGCTCCGGGGGCGATGCTACACCTTTATAGATGGCGTAGATGATAGAGACGATGTAGAGACCAAATATGGCAATCAAAACCCCGCCGACGATCTGGTTCAATTGGTTGAAGAATGCTAACACCACGAAGAGCGTGGTAACCATGAACAGCAGCGCCGAGTATAACTTTGCGCTGCGATCAAACTCCATGCCTTGGGGGTAGAAGAGTAGTCCCAAAGAAAAGGCACCGAGAATGTTGGAGATAGTCGAGCCCATGACGTTCCCAAGGGCTAGGGGGCTGCGATGCTGCAGGATGGCGGCAATCACCACAGCGAGCTAGTGAAGAGATTAGCCAGGATAGACATTGGATCGGATTGCACTGAATTGCAAAACACCTCTTCCCATTCAGCGCCAGCTGTCAAGAGGGCAATAACAGTTTGCGAGATACCAAGGCGCCGCCCAACAATAACGGTGTGGTCGATGAACTTGTCTGCGCCATAGTCAAGGACAAACACCCCTGCAATTAACGTGGCAACGTTGAACCACAAAGCATCCCAATCCATTTTTGTCTCTCAGCCTTTCTAATGTAGGTTGGGTGCAGTGGAAAATTGGAAAGGGCGGGTATAAGATGATGAAATAATTAAAGAGTCGTGAAAATCAAGCTTTTGTCCTGTCCTCGACCGACTGCTATACTAGCTTCCTCGTGGTTACAGGTCGGCTAGACAGCAAGTTTAACTACGTTCACAGTAAATGGCCGCTTGTGGCCTTAGGCATCAAGTAATGTTAATCTAGTATTAAATCTTACAGTCAGCTCAGCTTTTTAGTTAGATTACAGACTTTATTACTATATCTAAACCTCTTTTATGGAAAGTATACTGATATTTATAACTAAAATATTATTATTCGAGGTTACTTATATTTTACAAGGAGTTTCTATGTTTGAAACCCCATTTACCTCCCTTAATTTAGAAATTGAGTAAGGATAAACTTCTTGAAATACAAAATTACTCATATATTTTTGAAAGGGTCGATTGACTATATCTTGCTTATTAATAGCTTTGGCAGTCACGTGCAAGGGGTAGGGGTCACACGACAAAGGCAATAACGGGCGGCACTGTACATATTGAAGCAAGATTAATATGCTAAATTGGCAAGAGAATAGAGAGCAAGTTGCTGAATCAGCTTCCAGACTGGTGTAGAGAGTGAGTGTCGCCAGAAAATGTACATAACTATTTCGTAGATCGAAAGACCGTCTTCAGCAGTGCTGAGTAAGCCAACAGCCCTAAACGGTTTTGGGCGATCAGCCCAGAAACGGAGGAGGGACAAAAAAGAAAAGAAAAGGAAAAATAAACCGTAAAATGAAGCCGGACTGCAGCGAGACCAAGTGCTCCTCAATTGGTCGTTAAAAAACACTACTACTCGACTTGTAAACAAAACCATCTAATCTAATCCTATTAAACAACCCAGGAAACAAGATCCCTCTCAGCCAGGGATCTTGTGTGAGCAGCGACCAAGGTGACGCTCCTCAAGCCAACGGGGGCTCTTCTGCGGGTCGCCAGCAGAAGAACCCCGCGGTTCGCTCGACCGCTGAATCACCGTGACTGCTTAGGATTCAATCCTGCCCCTCCTCTCTCGTTCACCACCTCGTCGTCCCTCCTCCTCTTCCTCCAGCCTGCCGGTCGCCCATTCGCAAAAATGGCCATCAACTCTGCCCCCGAGTCCTCCCTCCTTTCCCTCCTCTACCGCTCCTACCCTACCGCCATCTCCCCCGACGCCACGGAGCCCGACCTTCACACGGCCACCCCCAAAATCTTTCCGCAGACTAGCTTTTCCGTCGCCGAAGAGGCCGACGTCAAGCAATGGCTGGCCACCATCTCCGGTCTGCAGACCGCTCTCAGCAAGGATGACAAGCCCGTCGTCTCGACCATCCTCTCCCAGCTGAACTCTCACCTCGCCACCCGCACAACCCTGCTCGGTGCGAAGCCCTCCGTGGCTGATATTGCCGTCTACGCTCTCGTCGCTCCTCTCGTCGAGAAATGGACCCCCGAGGAGCGTACCGGCGAGCAGGGCTACCACCACATCGTCCGTCACGTCGACTTCGTCCAGAACAGCCGCATTTTCGCTCTACAGATCCCCGACGAGGAGAAGGTCACCATTGACGTGAACGACGTTCGCTTCGTGCCCAAGCCCGTCGACCCCAAGGAGGAGAAGGAGCGCAAGAAGAAGGAGAAGGCCGCTGCCCAGAAGCCCGAGGCTGCTGGCAAGCCCCTCGTTGTCGGTCAGGGCAAGCCCGAGGCTGCGGCCAAGGCCGACGGTGCTAAGGGTGACGCCGCCGCCGCTGCTAAGCCCGAGGGCAAGCCCAAGAAGGAGAAGAAGGAGAAGAAGGAAAAGAAGGAGAAGCCGGCCAAGGCTGCGCCCGCCCCTGCTGCTCCCCCGTCTCCCTCCGTCATTGACCTCCGTGTTGGTCACATTCTTCGTGCCGTCAACCACCCCAACGCCGACTCCCTCTACGTCTCGACCATCGACTGCGGTGACGCCCCGGGCACCGAGAACACCTCTCTGGATGAGGCCACAGGCAAGACCGTCCGCACGGTGTGCTCCGGCCTGAACGGTCTGATTCCCCTGGAGGAGATGCAGAACCGCAAGATTGTCGCCGTCTGCAACCTGAAGCCCGTCACCATGCGTGGCATCAAGTCCTGCGCCATGGTTTTGGCTGCCTCTCCCCGCGTGGCTGAGGGCGAGGACTCGCACGCTGGACCCGTCGAGCTCGTTTCGCCTCCTGCCGATGCCCCTGCCGGTGAGCGCGTGTGCTTCGAGGGCTGGACCGAGGGTGAGCCCGAGAAGGTGCTCAACCCTAAGAAGAAGGTCTGGGAGACCTACCAGCCTGGTTTCACCACCACCGATGACCTCGAGGTCGCCTTTGAGATGTCTGCCGTTCCGGCCGTGCAGGGCCAGGAGGGCAAGCCCGCTCTGGGTAAGTTGAAGACGCAGTCCGGTGGACTTTGCACAGTCAAGAGCCTGAAGGGAGCGGCTGTCCGGTAAGGGATTAATTGAATTGGGGAGAGATACAAAAGGCAGTTTCAATAGGAAGAAAAGAAAAAAGAGGGCTGCTCTAATCAAAAACGTAAATAGTCAGTTATGATTGATAGCGCCATTGCGAGTTAGACGAGAAATGGGAATGATATATCGATATTAATCCACACATCTCTATACCCTAAATTTCTCCTCACCTTGAATTAATCTACCCCTCACCACTATGATTGCCAAGTATAATCATCCGAGAACGTAACCAACTTCGCGGAAATCTCCCGCTATCGGAACATAATCACATAAACCCACTTTCAGAATCCTTTCTTGTTCATCTTTTCCCCTGAAAATTCCCAATCATAGTATCATACATATAGCCACATCCACAGAAATCCCCCCCCCAACAAAGTAACATACATTGCCATATAAAGGATACTCCATCTCACCATGAGAGCAGTCCGATACCACGGCCGAGGCGATATCCGCGTCGAGGAGATCCAGGAACCCGGGTCGTGCGGGGTGGGTGAGGTGAAGGTTCGTCTCTTCCTATCTTGTTCATTTCATAGCAGTTTCTTGGTTCTATATTCCGATAATATTATATCTCTATACTATGATACCCTGTTATTATGGCGGTCCTTGCATGATCTTCTATTATCTTATCTACTATACTATCTTTCTTACTGGTAGGATATAGTACTAATATGCTATGATAGATTCGGCCTGCTTTCGTGGGTATATGCGGTAGTGGTACGATGTTCTTCCCCACCTAAAACTAATACACATTATACAATATGTACTATGAGCAAAAAGTCCAGTCCACGCTGATGGAACAATTAGACATCCACGAATACCTCCACGGCCCGTCCACCATCCCGAGCACAACGCACCCCATAACGGGGGAAAAGATCCCCGTGACACTAGGCCACGAGTTCAGCGGCACGATTATAGAAGTAGGGGAGGGTGTGACTCGTCTCCAGGTTGGTGATAATGTGGCTATTAAGCCGAATCTGTTCGATGGAGGGTGTGCGGCTTGTCTGGGGGGTTGGGTGAATTGTTGTGATAATTTGGGGTTTGTGGGGTTTAGTGGTATCTCTCTCTCTCTTCTTTCTTACTTTTGTTTTGGTTGGTGGTGGTGTCTATTTGAGAGTTTGGCTGACTGTACAACAGGTAGTGCTGGTGGATTATCAGATTATGTTGTTGTCAAGGAGGATAGGGCTGTAAGGTTGCCGGAGGGGTTTGATTTGGATCTTGGAGGTGAGTTGACTATCTTTTACTATTGAATGTTGATTGGGGTATTGATGTGGTGCTAATTGTGTAGCACTCGTGGAGCCGTTGACTGTGGCATGGCATGCAGTCAATCGGTCTTCTATTCAAAATGATCATGCGCGTACGGCACTGGTGGTGGGTGCCGGGCCTATTGGGCTTGCTGTACTTCTGGTTCTTAAGGCCCGCGGCATTGAGTCCGTTGTCGTCGTGGAGGTCTCGTCGCAGCGGAGGGAACTTGCTAGCTCTTTGGGCGCTACGCGGGTTCTTGACCCCCGGACGGCCGATGTTGTGGGCACGGTGCGTGCGATGACGGGCAATGCCGGAGCTGATATAGCATTTGAATGCTCTGCAGTGCAAGCAGGTTTAGACACCGCTTTGAAGGGGATTCGAGCACGGGGCACAATGACGATTTTATCTCTCTGGAGTGAGAAGCCGGCAATCGATGCATTTGACGTGGTACTAGGCGAAAAGCACGTGGTAGGGTCGGTGATATATGAAGACGGAGAATTTGAGGCCGTCATCGAAGCTATGTGGTCAGGTACGTGACTGCCAGAACCATGACCTACACATGCCAGCCATGCTTAACTATATCCACACGTTATACCGAAACTGACTGAACACAGGCAAACTCAACCCTCGGGCCTTAATCACCAGTAAAATCCGCATGGAGGACATCGTAGAAAAAGGCTTCAAAACGTTAATCCACGGCCGAGACAACCAAATCAAGATCTTGGTGGACATTTCTGCATGAAAGTCCGAGACATCGAGAGCGAGTGGGACGAATATTGATCAGCTGCGGCTGGCGGTGTGTAGCACAACATGGTCCAAATTCAGATACGTGTGTTGTTACTTGCATTTTAGCCCATGTTATACATGACAACATCCATACCATGCCCTTGTTACTTCTGCCCGGGATTGGCGTACTTGAAGGCGCAGCGTAGCCAGTTTTCTTTGCTTTGCCCGGGCAATGCCCAGACCAGCAGAGGCAGACGTGTCAGCAATGCCAAGGCATTTCTTGATCCGGGGACTCCGTGTCGTAGACTGGTCCGCCAGGGGAGGGGAATACGGCGCTAGCTATGTGCGTGATGTAGAAATGTTCCCTGCAGTGTTGTCTCTCGATATCCATGGAAAGGAGGAAATTCCTTGAAGAGGAGGCGAGGCGGGGGTGGGAGGACTGTACCTTCAACGTCCAACACGTGTGGAATGAATACGAGAGACTGAGCAGGGATGGTGAGTGTAACCACGACAGCAAGCTGTCCAGTCTTTCGGAACGGTAAGTGGTAGTGGTGGTGGTGCCAAGCAGTGCTATTCCCGCGCGACTCTGCTGGGGCGGGGTCGATTTCTCGTATAACCTCATCCATCCCCAAGTAGTTCGATGCAGCAGCAGCATTCAGCGGGCGAACCAGTCCGTCAGATGCCAACTAGTTAGTTAACTAGTCAATTAGTTGGATGAATCCACCTCGCCTGATTCAGCGGGGATCGTGGACCCCGACGCCAGTTCGTTCTGGACACTTGGGGAGGCTGGCCATGTCAGTTAGTGCTATCCGCGAAGGATAGTTAGTCGAATCGAGGTGTCAGATATCCCATTGTCCGGTAAGCTTAGTGTGTAGTTAGTTACAGTGATCGGGTTTTCGGCAATTGAAGGGAAAAAAGAGAGTTTCACTTCCTAGAAACTGACTGTAGTCTAGACCTCATCGCCACCAACATTACCCCCTACACAGACACACAGCATATCGTACAATTAAGTAATATCCATCTCCCCTCTCCAATCTTCCACCTTCAATATATTAAGCTACTACGACGTAGTAGTATCAACCTAGTTACCTCCGAGATCTCCCCACCATTCACCTCGGAGATAACGCAACTCATCCTCATCTATCTAATATCCATCACGCGCACCTAAAGCCTTCATCCTTGCTTACCCTTTTTGTGTCCTTCCCTCTCGGTCCCCATTCAAACACAGACACAAGCACAATAAGCACACCCCGGTCCATACTTCTACTTAATTTAGCTTAGTGTGAATACTAGTCTGCAGAAGGAACATGCGTTCGATCGCGCCACTTTGGGGTAAGTTGCTGTTGCTGTGCTCTCCAGGGTATAGTAGTCGGTGGTATCATAAATCGCGTCAAATGGTGCAAAGTGGTTACGAGATAGTATCAAATAAGTACTCCATACCTAGTAGGCTAGTTAGTGGTCTACGATCAGTCTGGATGCACAGACGGGCTTAACGAAGTCAGTACTTATGGAATCTGAAATAAATGGTAAATCTTGTTTTATTCTTATTTTCGAGAGATTTTAATTCCATTTGAATCCCAACCGTGCTTGTTCAATATTGATGTTGCTGTTAATAGGATAGCCGGGTTGGCCATGATAACGTCACCCATCATACTGAAGTACATTAGTAGAAGAGGTGGTACGCAGTATGTTGTATCGGAGAATAATCTATTGATTATTCATTGTTTAGTTAGTCCAGTTCGTTAGCTGACTTGAGCACTGGTGAATTGGTTACTCAAATTCTAAGATGATGAGTCTAGAAAGTATTCTCTCTCTTCAAGTAGTAGTAACGCGAAGAAGAGTATGAAATTGGAACCAGTTTTCTACCTGCATAAAGGGGCGTAACAGTGGCTGCCGTCGTCTTATGCATGTCTCGCCTCCACTTACGCTGACCTGCCTTTTGCCTTTCATTACAACTTTTGCTAATTTAAGGAACAGAGAAGTGTAAGGACTGGAGAATCCTGGCAAATTTTAACTCACAATTGTTACAGTTCGTTTGTCAGTAATAATGTGTGATGATGATCAGGATTATGATGATTATTAGTAGTATGGCCTGATCTGATTCCCAAGTAGCAAGTAGTAATGAGTACCTGCCTCTGTTTCATCTTCCCTTTAGAGTCATAAAATAATCCATTAACTGACCGGTACCTAACTGACGCCATACCCAGACTCCCTCCATCTATTAATAACCACATAAGTATCCATTAACCTAAGACTACTACCTGACCAGCTAACTAGTAGTAAGTATCCATCGTTCAAGCTCCATCCATCTCCTTTTCCTTCTTGGTTCTCACAACCCGAAGAAGTGTGTGGATCCCCCCATCCATCCTGACTTTCAATGGTACTACGGAGAACAGTCCTAGATTAGTACTTTTCTACCTTAGTTGGTTACCTCCCCCCCACCCACGGTTTCAAACTTCTGGTTTGGTTGGTTCTTGTCGCTTCCTTTTTTTTCGCAGCATCTCTTATCCGCGTGTGCCTGATTCTGGCTCTGGCGTTGAAACTAATTATTATCCATCCCATCTACACTAAACTAAACTAAACTAAACCACCCCCGATTTGCCCTTCGGCTGCCGGCGCCTCGATCTTTTCGATTTCCTTGGTTCGGGACGGGGATCGAGTGCAAGCAACTAAATTTTTTTTTTCTGCGCCTCTTACTCGTATAGCCTTTTTTTTCTTTCTCAATTTCTAATTTTTTTTTATTATTTTGCCCCTTTGTGCTTGCTGATGGTCGGCAGCCGCTGCAATTGGTTACTCCTGGGATATTTATTTTATTCTGATTATTATTATAATCTTCGCTGTGCTACTGCCAATACTTCTGCTACTGTAAATCGAGGCGAGAGGCTGTCGGTGGTCCCTTGACCTACCTTGCTGGAGACTGACTTCCGAAGAGTGCCCCATCATGCTCTGATCGGGATTTATCTAATGAACCCTGTTTGCTGATCGCTTAGAGGGAAAATAACTGTCCGACTTGTCTGTCTGTCTGTCTGATTCCGTGATTCTTAAACTTCTGGGACCCTGTCGCCTGTCGTTTGCGATTTTGGGTTTCCCTTGTTCTTGTTCTCTCGAACCTTTTTTTGCGCCCCAAGCATGTTGTTGCGCTGAGTTCGGCTCTACGCTGACATTGTTATTATTATTGTCACCTACTTATCTACTACCCCCTTACCGTTGGCATCTATTCTTGGAGTTGTTGGTTGTGCTGGCCAACCTTCGTCATGGGAACTCCACTTGTTGGTACCGCTATTATCACCGGGGCGAATGGATTGCTCGGGTCGGAGATAGCTGTCTCGATTGCTAAAGCACAGCCGTTTGTTCACTTACTGCTGGTGGCCCGCGATATCAGATCCGACAGCGTCAAGGATGTGACGGACAGGATCCGTCTCATCGGACCCCGCTCCGTCGAGGTGGTTAAAGCAGACCTTGCCTGCTTTAACTCCGTCGTGAGCTTTTCCCAATACACCGTCGAGAGGGTACGAAGTAAAGAGATCCCTCCCGTGATCTTGTTGATCAACTCCGCCGCAACTTCGTCATACGTTACCGATCAAGTCACACGAGATGGGTACGATCCCGTCTACCAGACCAACTGCATCGCGCCGTTCCTGTTGACTGTGAGCCTGCTCGAGGCCTTCCGCGCAGGCGACGGTACACCGAACGGTGGTGCTCGAGTAATCAATATCGGGTGCTCCTCCATGTCCAAGGGATCCCTGGACTATTTTGACAGCGAAGACCCGGAGAGCGCTGCCCAGCCGCCAGGAACACCAATTGGCGCCAAGGAAGCGACCAGTCGCTTCGGAAGTAGTAAGTTGTTAATGAGCGCTGCTATGTATGCCTTGCGTCGAAGTCTGGTACTTGTGAGTTGTCCTCCCCTACGGTCCCCTCTGTCCCAAAGTACCCCACTAACAAAAGCCGAATGGGGGTAGACGGGCAACATCTCGCTCAATGTATACACAATGGATCCCGGCGGTATGACCGGAGAGAGCCACCTAACGACCGATGCCCCGTTATCGGTCCGAATGGCACACCAGACGCGGTCTGGACTCCGGCCATTCCTGCGGGTGTTTTCCAAGAGTACGATAAACAAGGCTAGCGTTCCAGCCAAGGTCATTGCAAGAGTCGCATTTCAAAAGGAGACGGTGGAGAACTGGGGAAGGGAACGATATTATATCTTGGATAGCGAATACGAGGCCGCATCCGTCATTCCGGCCTTGCGGGATGTGCCGCGCATGGATGGGCTGCTGCAGAAGGTTATGCGACAGATCGAGATAGGCGTCAAAGGCATGGGATCGCCTCAATCAAGAGTATCGCGGCTGACTGCTCGTTAGTGGGGGATTCTACAAGCATTTCTGACATCATCTCTTTCTGTTCTGTTCTGTGTCTTTTGCGCGGTACACCATCCCAAAATTAGGAGCATTTCTGGGGCGTTACTTTGAACTATCGGTTGAACCTGGGTTTGCAGATAAGGAGTTGATTTTTCTTTGGGTCATAAAAAGCCACTATTGCTGTATTTAGAAAATGAACTGTACAGGAGCGATGAGCCGCCAATCAAGATGGACAACCACCGCAGTTGATCAAAAGATAATGGAACCGAGAAAAACGTGGAGTAAGAGAGGAGAGAGACGAGCCAGAAGGAGGTTGCATGGCTGCAAACGGAGAAGGCCTGATGCCGGATTCGGTTCTGGACCCGGAAGGCGGGCTATGCTTGGCACCTCTTGCTCGACGCCGCCTTGAGCCTACGTTCGGTCGACGCAATCAATGCTACCGTCAGACCTCGTTGTTCAATTCTCACGCTCGTTCGGCCCCTTGAAGCCTTTTCGGTACCTTTTTATTAATCTCCTGGATCTGCGATCCGCTAACATTCTTCATCGTCTGTGCCCGCGTCGGTGTTGTTTTCTACCCCCCGTAAGCGCATTCCAGGGATTCTTGAAGCTGGTGGTCATCGCTCCGGGATCTAGGAGCCCCGGAGGTTCTTTGCTTCAGGACCTGTTTCCTAGCTACATGCAATTGTAGGAGAGATGAACCGGCATCACGCCTTCTCGAATGGCTATGCTGCCTACCCCCGCGGCAAAGCCAGTCACAACAACACCTTTTCAATTTCCCCCCACCGGTAAGCGGCCCCTGCAACTGTCGAAGATCATCGCATATCATCACCACCTTCACATGGATTAGACCTCGCTGGAGGTCAATCGGTGGCCTGACATATCAGTCATCAAACTAGCAGTGCAAGAGGATCGTTTGGACTGACATTGGTTTGCTAGCTTTCAACCGCGCCCACAACCGGCTTTGCGACGTCGAAGACAGCTCCTTCAACGACTCTGCCTTATTGCCGCCATTTCAACGCTGCTGTTGATCCTCATTTTCCCTTCATTTCGAGCGTTATTCCTCCCCGCAGTCTCGCTTGGCCTTGTTTCCTCCGCCGAAGATTTACAATTAGAAACAGTCCGATACTATGACTTGTCAAAAATGCAGGGCAGTGGCAGTGGTTGGGAGCATGGAGAACGGGTACTCATGTGCACACCCTTGAGAGACGCTGCGTCTCACCTGCCAATGTTCTTTTCGCATCTTCGCAACCTTACGTACCCTCATAACCTGATAGACCTGGCGTTCTTGGTTTCGGATTCCGAAGATAATACGATGGAAATGTTGTCATCGATGCTGGATGACCTGCAGAACGACGCCGATCCGAAGATGTCGTTCGGAGAGATTTCGGTTATCCAGAAGGATTTTGGTCAACAGGTCCAACAAGATGTGGAGAGTAGACACGGATTCGCCGCCCAGGCAAGTCGCAGAAAGCTGATGGCTCAGGCACGGAACTGGTTGCTTAGCGCCACTCTGCGTCCGACGCATAGCTGGGTTTACTGGAGAGATGCGGACGTCTTGACGGCCCCCACAACTATTCTGGAGGACCTTATGAGACACGACAAGGATGTTATCGTTCCGAGTGAGTATTTACCCGCGACTTACGCGATTTCTATTCTAATATTTGTGCTAGATGTTTGGCGCCCCCTGCCAGATTGGCTAGGTGGGGAACAACCGTACGATCTGAACTCCTGGCAGGAGTCAGAAACCGCACTGGCCCTTGCCGAAACTCTGGACGAGGATGCGGTCATTGTGGAAGGTTATGCTGAGTATGCAACGTGGAGGCCTCACCTCGCCTATCTGCGTGACCCATACGGGGATCCTGATATGGAAATGGAGCTTGACGGCGTAGGAGGCGTCAGTATTCTGGCGAAGGCCCGTGTCTTCCGGGCCGGAGTCCATTTCCCGGCCTTCAGTTTTGAGAAGCATGCCGAGACCGAAGGATTCGGAAAGGTAGGATTTTACGATGGCGATTCCACATGCAATATGCTAACTCGAGACAGATGGCGAGACGGATGGGATTTTCCGTCATTGGCCTTCCGCACTACACGATCTGGCATCTTTATGAGCCGAGCGTGGATGACCTCCAACATATGGAGGAGATGGAGCAGGAGCGACTGGAACGTGAGAGGGAAGAACAAGAACAGGCCGAGCGTGCTGAGCGGGTTCAATCGCTGTTCAAGGACGCCAAGTCGCAGTGGGATGTCGATAGTGCAAACCTCCAAGACGCCATTGATAAGGAAGGGAAGAGCCAGGCGAGCGACTACTCGTCGTCATCATCGGATGTCGATAGTACGAAAGGCAGCGAAGAAGGTCCCGTGGCCCAGCCCGCTGCGAAAGAGCAGGAAGAGCCTACAAATGAAAGAAAACAGGCGAAGCAATAGAGCAGCAATGCTTGGAGTGTCGAGATCCAGTGACAGTCGAAACGGGCCACAAGGATTGGGTCACTGAGGTTTTCCTCAAACAACGGCGCTGAAAACCCCATTATAGACTGACCCTGCAGCGCTGTGCTGGCCACAGGGCGACTTCTTTGACTGGAACTACTGTTTCTGGATGGGCTCCTGTACTGTGTAAATGGTGTTGGGGACTAAATTTGCTTATGGCTTTCCTTTGCTTCTACTTGATTGTCTGATCACACAAGAAAATAAACTTGTTGATCTCTGTTATGGCTGAGATGATAGCTTTTAATTATGTACAGCATAGACCAATGAATTACTGCATTAAATGAAAGAACAGCTATTCAACCCAATGCCTTTCGTAACTGAATATTCAGGTTGTAGTTTCACATTGTGATTCCCACACCAGGCGCATGGCAAGTTCCGTTTGCAAATTAAGCGGTGGCCCGTGCATTTATCGATCTCGAAAAGCACGCGTACCGCGTCAAGAGCCCACGCGGAATGTTCCTCTGCACATCTACAATCGTTGGGAAGGGAACATAATCAAAGCGACTGCAACCCTTCCACACGCCCTTCTTTTCTACCCCGAAATCACATTGAAGTCAAAGATGTCCACACAATCCGCCCAAAGCATCCTCTTCACCCACACGGCCCCGCAACAAGCCTTCCGATTACTCGAACTGCCACCGGATCTCGCAGAACTTCTTGCTTCAGACAATCCTCCAACGTACGTACAGCAATCCAATGCCACCCAATAAAAGGAGTGTTGAACTAACAAATCTAACTCAACAGGCTTGAAATCAAATCTCCCACACCCACCACCGACACAACCGACGCTCCCACCGACACCACCCGCGAATACATCAACCTCTGCACCCCAACCCAAACCTACCGCATTCGCCAAGTCCAGTCCTCCAACTCACTCCATATCCTCCGCCCAAGCGACGATGGCACCCAGCGCGGCGACCTCGCCGTCATCGGCGCCACACAAGAAAACGACGAGACCGTCCCCGACGTGAACCTCTCGGAGACAATGACTGCGATCGCGAAGTGCGGGTCCACGCTTGAACTATACAATCCGCAGGAAGGGCTCAATATAATCCCGATTCTCGAGGGGTTATTGGGGAAATACGACTCGGCTGATGATGTCTCCATGTCTACGAAGCAGGGAGGGAGGGTGGTGCAGTCTACGGACCAGAGACAGATTGTTGAGAAGCTATTTGCTGATGTTCCAGTGTCGAATCTGCAATGTGCGAGGGCCTGGAAGGATATTTGTGCGTTTGTGTTACCTGCTACGGGTCGTGGGTGGGTCCCGACGGCGAGGGCCAAGATTGGGGTGTGGAAACGGATGGTGGAGGGGGCTGTGTTGCAGGGGATTGATCTGGGGACGCAATTCTTGGTAAGGGATCTGTGGAAGTCGATACTTGATGAGGATGGAGAAGGGGAGTGGCCGAGGGAGTTGTTTGAGGCGGTTGTAAGGAGGGTTTGTGAGACTGGTGATGAAGGGTCGTTGTTGGAGGGGGAGTTGAAGTGTAAGTTTCCTGTATCCCAGAAGGCGTGGATTTGACTGGCCGGAGCTGACTCTTTTATCTGTTGGTGCAGGGGCCAGTATTGATAAGGAGCGGTGCGTGCGATGGGTTGGCGAAACCTATTTAGAGGCTGTGGCGCCTACGGCGGGTGCTGCTGCTGGGCGTAGCGAATTTCTCAACGCTTGGAAGGATCATCTGCCAGAAGGCTGGAGGGAGGAAGCTACGTTCTCGCAGCTTACGGTAGGAGTCTTCCTTTATTCGTCTTTCTTGCTTTACTCTAACAGTGAGTACAGGAGGATAAACATAGATTCCCTGATCCAACGACTGTCTGCTTTGTCAGTGATGAAGATCGGCAGAGACTGAAGAAAAATCTCTCAACAGATGCTAGTGCGTCTACCGCTGCGAAAAAGACAAGAAACTGGCATGAATTATTCAAAACCCAGAAGCGACAGAAGCGACAGAAGCGTTGAGGCTCTAATTTTAGAGGCATTATGAACTTTATCAGGGGGGCAGGTCTTCCTCAGCACCAGGCGTACTTCTCGTTCAAGTGCCATTCCACGTTTGCACCCAAGCCGTGGTCGGCGCCAGTCCATCTCAGGCACGCAATGCTGCTCTTTTCCCGATGGACTACCTCGGCCTTGGGGTCCAGCAAGGCAACTGCTTTTCTCAACAGCGGCGTTGGGTTCCAGAACTCAACTGTTGCCATGTTCCATCTGTGCGCTTCGAGCTGAGCACGTCGCAGGACCGCCGCCATGGCTTTCACGATCTTCTCGTCCTGTTCTGGTGAGGTTGGCTCGTCGTACACCCACCGGAGGATGTAAAGGGTATTTTCCTCGGGCGTTTCACCAAAGCTCCTGTTCCAGGCACAGTACACCCCAGCGCTGTCTTCTCCGGCACCCTTTACGCGAGGCAATTCTCGGTCGGAATGAATTCTCTCGGCATAGAATTCTTCTCTCGCCCAGTGCCATTCAAAGTGCTCGAAGTTTGGCGCAATCGCAATCCTGGGCACTGACGACTTTTGGGAGACTGCTCTCAACAGTTCACGCTCTTTTTGCAAAACTTCCTCACTACAGATGCTCTCGTGGACGTCCTCCGCTGCCAAAATCCTTGTTTTAGGGAAGTTGGCCTGGGCATTGGCAGAGGCATAGTCTTCCTCAGAAACTGGCGGCAAGGCAAAATGGCATGACATGTATGGCTGCCAACCAAATTGGGCATAAAAGTCCTTTCCGATATCCGAAAAGAGAACGGTGAAAAGACAACACTTTCGGGTTTCTGTCTCCATCTTCCAGGTCTCGATCTTCTTGCTCAGCTCCTGCATCATTCTCTTGGCGTATCCTTTGCCTCTGAAGTCCGGCCGGCAATAGACACTTCCAATGCCATGAGTTAAGACATCCTCCACAGTACCGTCATGTGCCAACATGGCTTTCTTTCTGTATGTCTCGCAAGAACCGAGGATCGTTCTATGCTCTTCCGGCTCGTTGCGATCAACCAAGATCCAACAGGTCAAGCCATCCTTATTCAGCCGTTGCTGATACAGATGGTTCTCGCGCATGATATAGGTCTCAAGGTCCAGACGACCCTTCCATGCTTTGCTGTTGAGGCGGATGGACTCAATCCGCTCTCCGGGGGTGGCAGGAACCAGTACCAATTCAGGAGAATCCCCTTGAGGGAGCTTCTTGCCGTTGAAATAGGAGTTGTCAGCAGCGATCATGATGTCTACTTGGTAGAACAGAGCTGTTCTTCTTGTTGCCTGATGGTGAAACTTGGATATGAGGGGGTGAAAGAGATTCAAGTGAGCGAGAAATGGTGAATGGACTACACGGCGCGTTTTGAGAGCAGATGTTTGGAGCAAAGGAGCAACTCCGAAGGTGTTCGACCGGAGTCCGCTCAAGACCGCAAGGGGGGCGCCGAATATTATAGATGGACTGATAAGGATAAGAAAGTAGACGTGACCGGGATAACTTACTGGGCGCGCAGGCAGCTGATTCTATTCGCTCCGACAGCCGACGACAAGCGGCGACAAGCGCAGCGGTAAAAGAAGCTGAGGGATGGACTTGCCTGGATTGGGTTGCGTCTCATGCCCCGTGACGTCGAGCGGCGCATGATGACCACACACGACGTTAGGGCATAGGGCTCGCCGGATATGGGGGTTGGGTGGATTGGTCTGGGGTTCGGGGACTACCGGGGGCTATTGAATTGACGTCGTGAGATATACTTGACTACCGATTTGTTTTGTGAATCGAGTTGTCTAGAAATGATCAATCCATCCGGAACTTGAAATTAACTTTCAATTCTGAACGCCCATGATGAGTCATTGTTTGACGTTCCCTCTTCGTAGGCAAACAGACAAAGACAGTTCCTCTACTTGGCAGGCGGTCGGGGTAATGCCGGTACCTGTCACGTGGGGCAGCTGTCAGAGCCGGCGGGGGTTCGTTTTCTGGATCCCCCCAACCATCTCCCACTCGAGGAAATCCCCGTTCAGACTCTCGCAAATGACTGCTGCTCCGTCTAGACGGCGGCTGCTTTCTTATTTCTCCGTCTAGCGTCACGCATTGGAACGCCTCCTCCGTCTACTTGCCTGATCAGTGTCTTAGTCTACGGCTTACAACGGAGCTATTCCCCTGTTGTAGATAGGATTTTCCCCAGCATTGTTGACGGACTTCCGCCCCACTGTGTGTGCCAACCTTGGGCCTTGTTGATACTATTCCCCGTTGGGCGAGCTGGTATTCGGATGATCAACCGCTAAACAATATCTCTCCATCCACCAACATTTTCTATACAAATTTAGCCATCCGGTGGCAGGATAGAGCCTTGCGAGCACCCAGAGGTTGTGGGCTGGCTTCAGCCTTGCTTGGGTGGTGGCCTCTGACGAGCCTGATCCTCACTCGAGTATGTTCACTGACAGCCTTTGTGTATCATCCCATTCATGCTTGTCAGGTGTACAAAGACAATAAACTAAGCTCGCCTTGGCTGTATGCTTATTGCTCTACATACAGCCGCACGCCCTGCAGACTGATATAACATAGATAGCCTCATCACATTACTTTCACTGCCTCGAGCGATTTACGGCCGTTGCCGACGTTCCTCACTGACTATTGCGGGGTCTACCTTTCCAGGCAACGCTACGTTCAACATTTTCACCACCATTTCCCCCTTCCTATATAACCATCACAGCTAATAAGCGACCCTTAATTCCCTTTTGGCTTTCTTATCAACCTTGATACTTTCATTCACCTGGACTTCCCTTTCAGATACTCTCAAACGTAGGAATACATCGCTTTTTTTTTTTTCTTTCGCTCAAAGCAAACAAGAACAATGGAGGGGCCCAATTTCACCAATCCGATGTATCCATCGCTCCCTTTAAGACTGGGATATATGAACCATGCAAATGCAGATCTTACTCTGGATGACAACCCTGCGCTGATTTGGGATCTGTACGGCCACGGTTACTATCCGTTGCCTGACTACGACCAACCCATGAAGAGACAAAGGCAGTATAGTCGCGACAGCAGTCGCAGCAGCAAACGCAGCAGCAATCACGAGTCCATAATCAGCATTCTGGACAGTGATACTGATGGTAAAAGTCGTCACGAGTCAGGGATCGAGTCAGGGAGCTCCTCGCGCCCATCGACCATTGCGACCACATCGACCTCGTCACGCTCCAATACGCACTCTGAAGCAGTTTACATTGACCTCACCCTGGAGGATGAGCTATTGTGGCAGATTACAGACATCTTTCCGGGCATCAGTCGTCAGCATGTGGAAGAGCTGATCGAACGTCATAAAAGGCCCCAAGCGCACCAGCCTGCGCTGCCCCTGAATGCATTGAAGGAAAGCGTTATTGAAGATATCTTACAGCATCCTAACTACCCCATGCAAGAAAAGGTCAAGAAACGTAAGATTGAGGAGACGGAGGAGGAAGCTACGATACGGTATCTGCGAAATATCCCACAACGTGGTAGCCGTGCATACCTCCAGCTAGCGTGAGTGCACCGCCCATCATTATGAAGTAACAAGCGCTGAACTTTCTATTACAGAACCGGACTGCTAGCTCAAGAATTTGAATGGATGCCGCTAAAGCATATTCGGGATGTTCTGACCGACAAAAAAGAGCTATTCTCAGCGTATCTCACTCTGCATTCTCAGGAGAATGAACAGACGGGAAAGTACACAAAGTTGAAAAGCAAAAGGGTCTCGATAGCAGCAAACCTACCACAAGGCGACGAGGAGGTATCTATCGCCGAGAACCTGGCTCGAGAACTAGGGGCCGCCAAGAAGAAAGCTGAAAAAGAAGACCGTAAGTAATCTCTCTCTGAGTACGAGAAACCCATGCTGATCAGCTAATGACCCGCAAAGATGTACTTCGCAAGAAGAAGGAGGAGCAAGAGGCTGAGATCAGAAATGAAGAAGAACACAGCCGAGCTGGAAACCTCATCGAATGCCAGTGTTGCTACCTCGATGTGCCAGCGAACCGATCGCTCCCTTGTGAGGGGGAGAGCGTCCATCTCTTCTGCTTTACATGCATTCGAAAATCTGCAGAGACCCAAGTTGGGCTTATGAAATATCAAGTTCAATGTGTCGACACTAGTGGCTGTCAGGCAAAGTTTTCTCGTGCGCGGCTCCAAGAAGCCCTTGGGGAGGGTTTGATGGGAAAGCTCGACAACCTTCAGCAGCAGGATGAGATTCAGCAAGCTGGATTGATAGGCCTTGAAGCTTGTCCATTCTGTGAATATAAAGCCATCTATCCTCCCGTGGAAGAGGACCGCGAGTTCGTATGCAAAAACCCCGAGTGCGAAATGGTCAGTTGCCGTCTTTGCCAGCAAGAAAGCCATATTCCCCGCACTTGCGCAGAGGCCAAAAAAGAGAAGGGTATCCCCGAACGCCACTTGGTTGAAGAGGCAATGAGCAAGGCTCTGATCCGCCCTTGTCCCAAATGCAACGTGAAGATTGTCAAGGAATCGGGCTGCAACAAAATGATCTGCTCCAAGTGCCGTACTTCAATGTGCTACATTTGCAAGAAAGATATTACCCGAGAGAAGTACGACCATTTTGGGCGTCCTCCGACCTACTGTCCTAACACCGATGACCCAAGGTTATCGTTAGAAGAGGTCGAGAAGGCCCAAAAAGACACTATCGATGTTATATTGGCACAAAATCCCAGTTTGACTGAGGAGGAGCTGCGAGTTCCTGACGCAGAAGCAGCACAGTCGGCCACGAATATGCCAGGCGTCATTCCAGGTTATGGTCATGGATTCATACACCAATACGGGCAAGCGCCAGTCCACCATAATTACGTGGGGTATCCAAGACCAGGGATGCCAGTTGGAAGAGCCAACCCCCCAGCTGTTGTTCGATTTGATGCACCCGTAGGCATTGGAAATGGCTGGGGTGGACAAGACTGGCCTCCGAACCCAGTAGGACAACCTAGGAACCCACCAGGGGGTCCTGCGCCCCCAAACGTTCCTGTGTACGGAGGCTTCGTAAACAGGGGCGTGAACTATCAAGGCAATCCTGGCCAAAATCAGACAAAAAGGGCAGATACCCGCCCCCCATGGCGGTACTAGTGCCTCTACTACACTATCAACACGAATTTATGAAGCACCAACCGTTACGTTGATCGACAATAATGATGTCCCTGCTCCAGTAAGCCTTTACACCTCGTTTCATTCCAGAAAGAGCGATACACCATACCCTGGATCGACATTTGTCGATACTGCAGCTCCCATCTTGGTATACCGACTCCATTCCTTTTCCCCCAACACAGTTCCTGCTTGCTACCTTCACATCGAATCCAGCGTCTAACCCGTCCTCGTATCTCTGGCCCCTACATCACTCTCGGTAACAACAGCAATCAGCTTTTCAGCGTTACACAAAGATGCTTTCTCATACCAGACTTCCCAACAGCGATCTATACCCCTGCTTCATCCGAGCACGAAGACAAGACAAACAAGCAGTGCCCCCGTTATTGATAGAAAGCTTTCTTGGAAGTTGGATTGCATCGCAGATTTTGGTTCCATCACTCTAATAAATGAAATACTGTAGCGGTTTCCCTAGCATCTATCATCATCATTTTCTCCCCACCAGCCCTTTCCCTTTCTCCCAGTCCCTTACCTCAACCATCCTACTTTAATCCTCTATTTCCTCTTTCTCTATCATCTCCAGCTCACCATTTCTCTCGGTTTAGGTAACTTAGAATGGCTAATTTATTCTATTTTTGGCTCAATCCAATAATCCAATGACTTGCTCATTACTCTTCTCTCTCTCTCTCTCTCTCTCTCTCTCTCTCTTGTTTGAAGTCGTCATCATCGAATAAAGCCTAGCTATTCTATTTTCAGAATGCCAGCACGAATCCATAATTCGATTTCAGAACGAAATCAGATTATGACAGATCACAGATCGCATGTCCTGGACACCTTGGGTTATAGTACAAGAAAGAAGCCGATGGAGTAAGAGCCAACTGTGACCAGAGATGGGACTTGTTACAATGTGGTAGATGTATACCATCGTAATATAGTATGACGTGATATCGCATACGTTGGCAAGCGTCATATCCAACTATGACTTTTCCAGAAAAAACAAGAGACATAGAATTACAGCTACGAAAAGCAGGAACAGATGGATGATGTGACTGGGGCGCGCTGAAACGGACGATAAAGGCGATATGGCAACATGAAACGAAGAAGGCGAACCAAAGATGAAATCCAAAAGAAAAAAGTATTACTTTAGAGATGAGATAAAAGAAGAAACTTCCTACCTATCTGCCTACCGAGTGCCCGACCTAGTCTACTACTCATCACTATCTCATATCCAAAAAACATCACATCTTATCAGTCATGACGACGCAAAAAAGAAAAAGAAATACGGCACCAAAAAAGCAACGTAGGCGACGATAAGATGGGGACTGAGCCCAACAACAAGCGCTGACAACGAGTCAAAGGAAACCACGAAAGCCATGTTTAATAAAAACCCACTTTCACAGGATAGGTAGCATAGCACATGACCAACACGCATATATGCCACAATATACAGGTGAAAAATAATAACTCACATGATGCGTTAGGAACCCATTCTTCTTCTTCCTTTATTTTTTTTTTTTTAAAGTTCCATACAGATAGGTCATCTGCGTCCTTTTTCCATAGCCAATCGATCAGACAACCTCATGGACAAGCACAACAAGCACAACCACAACCAATTGTATTAGACACCCCATTGTCTGTAAATAGCGGCTGCGTGTGTTTGTCGGTTTCCGTAACTCAGCTTTGGATTTTCTTCCATGTGAGGCAGTATGGAATCGCAGTGATACTGACACACTGTGGACGCCTGTATCCCATTATCAGCTGATATCATGACTTTATGCAGCCAAATGGTGTCAAGATCTCTTTCACTGGATCACGTTCTCAAGAGGGACGTGGAAGTCAAAGCGAGGCGAAGGAAGAACATAGGCAAACACACACGCCGAGAGAAACAAGGATAGGCCAACTGAAATGCGATGGGGACAAAATTAACGATTGCGGACAGGACTCGAGACCCTCCCCGAGCAGTGGGGTCCATGCTGGCAACTTTTTGGCAGCTAGTTGCTAGATATTTGAATTTGCTAGGATCATGTAGTTGGAGAGAGCTCAACAAAGGAGACGAGCGGAATACAATAGGAAATGGTATGAAAATGAGAACACTCCGAGGAAATGGCGGGGAGGAGAATGGAGGAGTATGCTTGGAAAAAGAAATAGACGTCTCCAGAGATGAGAAAATTGTAAATAAAAAGGGAAAAGTGCAGAGAGAAAAAAGAAAAAGAAAAGAAGAGAGATATAAGTAGTAATAGAGAAGAGAAATAGAAGGGGAAAAGGAACGTGACAGAATGACGACAGGCAGAAATGGACGGAAAGAAATTTGCGAGCAAAAAGACAAGGAAAGATATGAACCAGATCTATGTAATGCCATGCGAGTCCCAGAAATCGTCCGCTCCCCATTTTATATATTTGCGCCGCTCACTCGGACGACAGTGCCTAATTTCCTCATCCATCATGTATGTTCGATCATTGGTCACGCTAAAACAAGAATGAGATAAATGGAGATATGAGATAAGGAGCAGAAAATGTTTCACTGAAATCAGAAAATAATGGTGAACTAGACGAACACGGCAGCAAGCTATAAGATGGAGATCCAAGCTCATGGTGGATGTTCAGAGTCCACCGGTTCATTAAACTTCTGCCGTGCCTCTTCCACCCATAGTTCCAGTCGAAGCTCTCCAGCTTCTACACGTCGTACCGGGACCGTCTTGGCACGTCCATTCGATACCTTGGGAGGCGGCTGTTGCGGCTCGCCGTTTCTCAACTTAGAAACGGAGTAAGGGGCGGTGCACGATCGGAGGTGGACCTTATCCGGTTCGGCCACAATCCATGTCTGTTCTTCGGTTGTGGTCCCCGCCGGGGGTAAAGCATCTTCCCGCACCTCGATGCAAACGGTGAAACTGAATTCATCGTCCCGAGGCAAAGGAGTCAGGCGCGCACAAGCTGAAGCCAGTCTTGCTAAACAGGCCCGGAATTGCGCTTCAAGGTCGACTGATGTGGGGGCGGAAGCCCGGTCGGTTACGGGAACACCCGCTTTGGTTTGTTCCTCTCTTCTGTCTTCGAAGGTGGTATTGACTTCGCCAGCCGGAACACGGGGGAAGCCCGATAAATCAAAGGCATATCGTTCGAGGGGTTGATTCGTGCGGAGGGAGGAGATGATAATGCTGACAGCGGTTATTGTGCCTTTCAAGATCTCCGTTCCGACCGCAATTGACGCGTCATTGATGTAATCACACACCTTGGGGTGACGGGATTGTCGGACGGGATAGTTGTACGCCCGCACGGGGAGGAACGTGGCTCGTGGATAGACCGAACGTAGAAACAGGATCTGGTGTATTGATACGGTGAGGAAATTGGTGAAGGATGCCGCCAACGCAGACTGATTGTTGGGCATCGATCTAGGTGCGGTGACCGGGGCGGAAAAAGTTGTCATTGTGGTAGTAACGGAGTTGACGGTGGTACTCTCACTGGCAATCGGCATTGCCGTCGTAGGCTCTGGTATCGTCGTTTCCACGGGAAAGATGGTCTTGACGGGATCTCGGAGATTCTGAGTGCTGTTCCACCCTGAGGCTAATCATCGCTCTGCCTTTTTCCAGACGAGTCAACAACAATATTCGTTTCCACTCATGGAGAGGTTGGTTTATCTCTCTTCCACTCAAGTTTTCCTTTGCGACAACGGGAGGGGAGGATGGTGAGGCGAAGAGGGGAAAGAGTGGGGTGGTAGTCAAGATGAGAGGGAGGGAGGGAGGGGGGGGGGTTGGTTGGTTGGTGGGTGTGCGAGGCCAAAATAGGGAGGGGGGAGGGAAGGGAATGGAAATGAACAGGAGTTCGAAGAACTGGGAATACACCCGGGAACACAAGAATATGATAGAAAAGAGACAGAACGGGGAAATAGAGCGAAAAAGAAGAAAAGGAGATGGTATGGCAGAAAATAAGAACAAAGTTGTTGTGTAAAAGGGGAGAGAAAAACAAAATTGAGGGCGGGGGGTGGGTAGAGGGAAAAGCACCTAAGCATAGTAGGGCGTGGTGGGAAGTGGTGGTAGTGGTGGTAGTGGTGGTGGTGGTGAGTTGAGTAAGAGGGTCGTCTAAGGGAACGAGTGTGAGGGAAAGAGAGGGAGAGAGACAGAAGGAAGGGAAGAGGGAAAGAGTGAGGAGGGGAGGGGTGAGTGAGTGAGTGGATTGGGGTTCGAAAAGTAAGGAAAGAACTTCGGAATTAGAACATACGTTGGGTGGACGAGACGAAACAAGCAGACCTCAGAGCATGGATGGAGTCGTTGAGATCGTGACAACCGGCGTGAACGAGATCTGGGATAGGATTAAGGAGAGAAGAGTCCTGGGCTTGACGATAACGACAGCGACGACGATGTTGCTGCTTTGCTTTGCTGATGGAAATTTCCTTTTTTTTTTTCCCTTTTTTTCTTCCCTGGTTGGAGTTCCCGTTTTAGTATTTTCCTCTTTGGCTCTCCCCTCTCCCTCGGAAGTTTTTGTTCCTGGAAAAAAAAAAAACTTTTTTTAAAAATAAGAGAGAAAAAAAAAAATATTACTTGGCTAAAGATGAAAAAAATATGTCTTTTTTTTTTTTTTTTTTTAATTCCTTGCTCTCTGCGTCTAGGGAGAGGAGGGACGGCAGACGATAGGAAACCAACCCTTTGAGGGGGGCGGCGTGGGAAGGGAGAGGTGGGCTGCTGGCTTGAGCTGGTTGTGATTGGGAAAGGCCGTGTCGACCAGGGAAGCCCACTCAGGTCCCAGAACTAAAGTAGAGAGGGAGATTTTGCAAAGAGAGCGAGCAGAAAGCGCCGGCAAAGCACAGTAATATGAAAAGAGAAAGAGAGAGGGAAAGAGAGAGGAAGAGAGAGAGAGAGAGAGAGAGAGAGCAGAGCGAGAGAGTCGCGGGCAGGCAGTCCTTCGGAGGGGAAGGCTTGTCGGGCGACGAGTCGTCCAGGTAAAAGGCGCCCAAGTCACGGTTCCCAGCCCGTCACGTGGTTGCGTCATGGGTGTGGATGCCATGCAGCAATCATCATAGTAGTGGTCGTGGGAAAAGGCAACGCACGTACGGACTCCCTTCCTCGCCCGATGTATGCCTACGTCTTGTTTCCACAAACCGCCCAGAAGGCTGCCTGCTTACTACCTACTAGTCTACAATCATACATTCTTCCCCTCCAAAGTCTGCCTGCTCATCCTAGTCCTCGGTGGGGGTTGATGCTAGCCGAGGGGATCAAGTGACGCAAAGGGGTACCTCAGGCGCAGCTTGGGGGCGAAACAGAGGATGTAGGTAGAATGGCAAAGAATTTGGCCATGATGCACTTCGACTACACACTTCCCGGGACAAGTAAGAAGCCCGCACCGTGCAAGCACTGTGTAGCTTAATGCAAAACTCATGGGAGACACGCTGTTGGCAAAGGAAAAAGCAAAGGGAAACAAAAGATTATCGCTGGGCAAAGTATGACAGTATGCATGACGGTATGTAAGTAAGCATCTGCGCCGTATTGGTATTGTCCACGCCAGTACAGGACAATATGACCCAGGCTCGTCAGTAGTGGGATGACTGACTCCAGTTCACTGAGCCGATCATCATGAAATCAAACTTGAATCGACACGTAGGTGACCGGGGTAGAAGACAGGAGCAGCAACAATAATAATTAGTCAGGATTCCGAGAGATTAAAAGGAACGAAAGTTAAAACAGCTAGTCGTCCCAGAAATCTTACTACAAAGCCGGAACAACTACTCTGGTTTTCCCCCGTACGTAGCCCGAGGTTTCCAAGGTTCAGTCAATCAAATCTGGCTTGCTCCGGGGATTAAGTAGGTCAATCCGTCTTACCTAGGTGAATATTTGTTTAGTATAGTCCGGAGTATTTATTAGCTATTTGACCATGACATTGCAATTTATCTACTTCCTCTGCAGTTGTTCCATGTATTGGCTACTCCGGTTGTTCCTCCCGGCCGAACAGTATACCTTCAGAGAGGTAGATGGCCCTGACGGCCATAGCATCGTCCCTCACCGTCCGGAATGTCTGAAGGATAAGTTGAAGAATGCTTAGTGCGTGCGATACGAGAGCTACCTTGAGCTTACCCCTCCTGCTGCGGATTCCGGGTCTTATGCATGGCCCTGAAGGTCGCCAGTTCGCATTATTACCCGATACCTGATTATTATTAGAATCTCGACACAATTGCTCTAGCACACGCGATCGCCTTCTAGGTTGTTCCTCGTTGATCCATCAATACAATACCCGAGGCTACTTTTAACTGTATGGTATTCGACCTTTCATGAGTAATTGTGTAAGAGTATGTATGGACATAACATACTCCATACAGCGACCGGGAGTACATTTCATGCGGTACTTTTCTTCTTTGGGCGGTTCCACCCCTCAACTGGCGTTAGATAATCAGAGTTGCCGGTTTATCCTCATCAACCCCACTATGATCGACTCACAACTCCCCCTTCTTATTCCTTCCTGTCATCCTTTTCAGAAATGCATCGAGTCCCATCTACGCCACTTACCTAGCTACCCCGGTGATCACTACCCAAAGTTTGCTGCACCGCTGTACGGAGCACAGTTGATGATACATAGTACATAAAACATACATCTGGCCACTAGGCACGTATGGAGCCTGGGGAGAAATGGGCTACGAATACGCGCCTGGAGCAAAAGTACAGTGCAGGAACCCAGAAGAATGAAATCTATTGCTTCTCTACATCATCACACACTTCATAAGTGGCCCCAGAATGGATTTACAACGATCCAAGGGATTTTCTTTCCTCCTTCTATGATTGGATTGAAGCCAGATCTTCTCCACAGAAAACTTCGACTTAGGCAGATCAGCAACTGAGACAAATGCCGCCTCTGATTCAGACCCGGCTCCTTCACATAACTAATTAACTACTGCTGCTTCTTGGTCTAAGAGGCTCGCACCGCTGCACTTCAATGTCATCATTCCCCCATCCCTAGCAATTATCTACAACCTAAGGTGATATGTATTGGGCATACTAGCGGACCACAATTGCTAATAACGTGCGAGCCAGATCTACCCACATAGTATTGACCACTAAGATTCGATTACCTGCCATTGATCGCTCATGACTTCAGTGGACACAGCACCTGCTTTTCCTCCTCCTTAATTGGGCGGCACATCAGGCAGACCTTTGTATTGGCTGTATCTTTCTCTTGGAAGGTCTACCGGATAACGTAGGGGTCAGCAAGACACCCGCCATTGCAGGTACTTTGTTCAACCAAGTCTCCGGTCTCGGAGGTCATCCAAAACCTATCGTTCAAGACCGGGGGTTGTCAGACTATTGAATGTGGCTGCTTGGGGATGCCTAAATCTTTGTTCTGGTTGTCTGCGTAGACGCATAACAAACTTCAGACAAACTATATTGCAATACACTGGTTTCTGTGAGGTTCTGTAAGTGGACGGTATTGTCATCCCTAGCTTCCATGATGTTCAATCCCGGATAGTTTGTGGAAAGTACGAAGACGTTGGGAGGTGATACTCAGACGTTGCTTGTAGGCTTTAGGCTATTTAATCTCCGATGATCAGTGACGTGAGTCGGGGACCAAGACACGGGGAAACTGAAGACTACTTCTACTATGGAGTACTCTCCCAAGTCTTGCATTTCGAGATTTAACCCGTTCTTCTATTGCTGGCAGCCAGCTGAAAACGGAAGATATGTAGAGCTTGGCTGCTATTGTCCTGGGACAAGCTGTTTATGATAAGCAAGGTTGGCTGATGTAAATACGGTGCTGATAATAGGGCGTTCCAAAGTACAGCACACTACAACCATAGCTGGACAAGGATGAGGGAGGGTTCGATAGTCTGGTTGACAGCAAGCGCTAATAACTTACCTATACTCCGTAGTTAGTTGTGTCTCAGTTGCTACCCATGTATCCGGCGGGACAAACCAAACCAAACCAAACTGGAAATTGATTTGGGGGAAATTCTACCCCTCACCGCCTCCCTTTTCCCGCTCGTCTTCTGCCCCTCCACGACGCGACATTTCGCGATTGATATTGATTTGAACAATCTACCTGGATACTCGTGTTACCAATAGTGTGGTTTGACGGAGCCGTCTGCTGTGATCTAAAACGCCAGGACTCCGAAGATTGGGCTTGAATTCAGATCCAAGCCCCTTGTTAAACCATTCGTTGATTACACCCCCTCTATCGACACTCTCCCGTCTACTCACCTACGTTCTCCTATCAACATGGAGCAAGAGCTCCTGACATTGCTCGCAGACACTCAGTCGCCGGTCTCCGATACCAGAAAGTCTGCTGAGCTTCAGCTTCTACGCCTTTATTCCAACGAGACTTTCCCTCTAACACTTGCGGCCATAGCCTCTCACGATTCCGTTCCCACCAACCTCCGCCAGTCTGCCATTTCCGTTCTTCGGACCTTCATAGCCGCATCCTGGTCACCAGTCCTCGATGAATTCAAAGGCCAAGTTCTGGTCAGCGATGCAAACAAGGCCCAGCTTCGACGAGCGCTGCTGGACTTAGCCACCGTTACCGAGACTCCGGAGCGCAAAGTCAAGTCGTCTGCCAGTTATGCCGTCAGCAAGATTGCTAGCGCCGACTTCCCCGAGCAGTGGCCAGAACTATTGCCTGATTTGCTTCGCATTATAAACGATGGCAACAGCACCGCCAGTGCGCTTCACGGTGCACTGAAGGTTCTGTTGGATCTGGTGGACACTGGATTCAGTGAGGAACAGTTCTTCAATGTTGCTCGGGATCTCGTTACTAGCCTCTACAACGTCGCTACGAATGAGTCGAGAAAGCCGATGCTAAGAGCATTGGCTGTTGCAGTTTTCCGGGCCTGCTTTGATACTTTGGAAATGGTCCTCGAGCAGCACAAGGCGGCTGTCAAAGGGTTCATGGACGAAGTACTTGGTGGCTGGTCTCCATTCTTCCTTTCTACCCTGGAGGCACCTTTACCACAAGCTCCTAGTGCACAAGAAGAATCTAAAGACGCTGAGGTACCCTCCAAGTGGAGAGGTGTCATTGGATTGAAATTGCAAGTGGTCAAGGTATATAACCATTCTGCCCCCTTTGCTGGTTCACGCTAATCGCTGACCTGCTAGACCTTGATGAAAATTCGCATGGTATTCCCGGGTCTGTTGGCGGCTCAAAGCCCCGTATACTTTTCCACTATCTGGACCGAGCTTTCGAACATCCAGTCCGCTTACCATGAGTTCTACATCGAGGATGAGAGGCAGGGCCGTATGGAGGATGTCGACGGGCTCCCGTATACATTGGACTTCTTGGTTCTGGAGGAACTTGATCTAATTCAGACGCTCCTAAAGGCGCCGCCGGTCAAGGCCGAGCTCCAACAGCAGCTACAGAATGCTGGGCAATCTGCGGCAACGACAAGTTGGCTTCCCGAAATCATGAAACTGGCGACCTCTTATGCTCAGATCACATCAGAGGAAGAGGGCCTATGGGATATCGATGTGTCTCTGTTCCTCTCGGAGGAGACATCGGTTACTGCCAACTACACGCCCCGTACATGCAGTGGAGATTTGGTGATCAAGCTTGGTGAATGGCTCAAGACCATGACGGTTGAGGGTCTCCACGCGTACCTGAACACTGTGTTCTCCGATGCGTCCTCTACGTAAGTCATGTTCCTTTCCCTAACGCATCAAACGAAGACTAACCTCTCCGTGAAGGTGGAAATCGAAAGAATCGGCCCTCTACATTCTTAATCAGCTCCTCCGGGACTTCAACGAAGTTTCGCAAGATATACCCGCCGGCTTGGCTAGTGGAATCAGTAACTTCATTCAGTATTCCATCCAGCAACCAGAAGATCTTTTGAGAGCGCGGGGCTACCTCATCGCCGGAATTCTGTGCCAGGTTGCCGGCGACTCCTTCCAGCAGACGGCTGCATCTTACCTCGAAGCTACCATCAAAGCAATCACCGAAGATGAGTCTGAAGTGGTCAGGGTCGCTTGTATTCGAGCACTGCAGGACCTTATGCCTTCGCTTCCCCCCAGTGCGACGGTCCCTCTCCAAGTTGCTATTGTTTCAGCACTGTCGCAGTTCGTATCCGCACATGACCTGTCTGACCAGTCAGAGGGTGAAGACCTGAAGGTTACTATTGCTGAAACGCTCCGCGATACGATCATGGTCCACCCGACTGTCGTTCTGTCGTCGACCGCCATTGATCTACTGTTCAATGTTGCCAGCAGCGGAGCCACCAATTTCCAATTGACGATGATCGTCACGGAAGCATTCGAGGACATAGTTGAAGCTATCGCAGAGAACGGGGAAGAGGCTTTCGTTCGACTATGCGAGAAGGTTCTTCCTTCCCTGACCGGGGCAATCGACGTCGGCAACCTCACGCAGGAAAACGCTCTGACTAACTTTGCTGCGGACCTTCTCCGTGCTCTTGCTGAAGGAGCATTGGAACCCTTGCCAGCCGGCTTCGTGGAAACGGTCATGCCGAAGTTAAACCGCCTGCTGCTCGATTCGTCCGACGCGGAGCTGATCCGTCCGGCGACAGAAGCAGTCCGCCATATGCTCTCTCATGACTTCAACCAGTTTGTCGCTTGGAGAGACCCGCAGAGCGGTAAAGAAGCAACTGAGGTTGCATTGATCATAATTGACCGCTTACTCGGACCTTCTGTTGATGACAATGCGGCGACAGAGGTTGGTCAATTGGCTGCGGAGTTAGTTGAAAAGGCCGGCTCCGAACGTCTCGGCCCCTATCTACCGCAGCTTCTCCGTGCCGTGGCCCAGCGACTGGCTACTGCGGAGCAGGCTCAGTTCATCCAGAGTCTGATTCTTGTATTTGCACGACTCACCCTGATCAGCGCACGCGAGGTTGTGGACTTCCTTGCGCAAGTCGATATCGGCGGCCAGAGTGGACTTCCCATAGTGCTGAGCAAGTGGCTCGAGAACTCGGTCAACTTTGCTGGCTACGATGAAATCAAACAGAATATCATTGCACTGGCAACACTGTACAGGCTGGGAGACCCTCGCTTGTCCCAGGTGCAGGTCAAGGGAGATCTCATTATCCAGGACACTGGCCGTATTAAGACGCGATCCCAGACTCGCAACAACCCTGACCGATACACTACGGTGACGGCTCCGTTGAAGATAGTCAAGGTTCTTGTTGAGGAGCTGGCTGCTGCATCCGGCAGCAAGGAAATCGATGCGGCCACAGCGGCTGCTCTGGAGGAAGAAGATAGCGATGACGACGACGAGTGGGAAGATATGCCCGGCAACACCCTTGATCTCAATCTCGGTGTCACCAAGCAAGAGCTGATGGCATTCGGCGAGGGCGGATCGGAAAGTGTGTTCGGGGTACGCAGACGCGACGACGAAACGCAGGCCTTCCTGATGGACTTCTTCCGTGACGCAGCCACTAAGCCTGAGTTCGAGCAGCTCTATGCAGCCTTGACTCCGGCAGAGCAGGAGAAGCTGCAAAGTTTGAACTGATCCGGCTTGTCAGCTGTCGATAGGTGATACCATATTATGGGCAAATATTACCTTCTCTTTTCTTTAATGTTCTGTTTATGCCCCCCCTCAGCCGACGCTGGGAATCACATATGAAACGTGTTGAATGCTTCGCATAGGTTACACCTAATGATTGTATGAACAAGCGATACATCAGTGGTGGCAATGAATACTGCTAGTGCCGACGAGGCAGCGCGCTTGATCCAGCAGTTCCGTATGATCCATCTATCTGGTAGTCAAAAATAGTCCGACGTGACCCAAGAAACGTCAACGGCGCCATGCACCATTCCTGTAGTGTTTCACCTAGCATTTAGTCTACATGCTAGTAGTTAGCTGGATACCTGCAGCTGACAACAAACCAACACGTAGCCGGCTGTCCGGGTCATTCCGATGGTCATGCATTTACTCCTTCGGGCTTGGTCTTGAGGAGGGGGGTTTGTGGGCGAACGATGATGCTTCCTGCAGGAAGAATATCCCTAGTGCACACACTAAGTACTAGGCCATCCAGTGATCCAGGTGTCTGCTGCCCCATAAGAAGGTTGGTATGAACGTTGCAGTTAGTCTATGAGTACTCGCCTTCAAGGCCTACTACAGAGCACATTACTTGAAAAAAGATAGATTGCTCATGAACCAGTTGATAGAAGTGCTGATTTAGAGAGTGGCGGGCACGGTCAGTTTTTGTGGGTCTACAGTAGAGAATGGCTTCACCGCAGGAGGGATCTTTTTTTTTTTTTTTTTAATTAATTCGCATGTGTAAGATCCCTGGGAACCAACTGGCAGGTAATGGACTTGACCATCGCATTTGCAGTACTACCACTGGGGCATCCTTATCATTCTGTGTACGTTTCACATTCATCGCACAAATAGTAAGTATTGGGGTTTGTGTCATTTGTCCTCGGCTATTTTACCCTCAGACTAGCAGTTAGTAAGGTTGGGTGAGTTAGTACTTAGTAGACTAGGTTTGATTTTGCACTCTCTTCTTCTCGCTTACTGTTAGACATGTTATCATACCATTTTTTTTCCCGCCTAACTATCGTTAGTGGAGAAACCCATCGTGACTAGGTTGGATAGACCCGACCCAGAGCATCAGCACTTAAGTTGGTTTATCTGCTTAGTTAGTACGTAGCTGCATGCGATGAAGTGGCTGATCAACTGGCGTGATTGGGATCCCGAAACGGGACCAGCCGTCACGGGGGAGCGGGGCTGGGGAGGAGGAGGGGGGGAGCTTGGCTGCCAGCCTTGGGAAACTGCTACACACTTGACTTTATTATCTTCCTCTGTAGAAGTTGGGATCATATATGATATTTTATGAGTATTTATCCATCATTGTTGTGTAGAGGTGATTACCATGGTATTTGCTACAGGTTAATCCCAGTCGTTTGTATGTTTTCTTGGTAGAATTAATCACTAGTAAATAGTTAGCTACAGCCACATCCACAAGCGTGCGGAGAAAATTCGTCTGAGGTTACATAAACTACGCAGCTGAGATCCCAACTAGCGTGGAACCAGAGTGAGGGGATTGGGAAGCCTGGAGGGAGAGGATCAATTCCAAATCATTTAGGGCACACACTAGTAAGTACTTTAGCAACTGCGGGCTGTTTGGACCAATCTGTGTAAAGCATCTAACTGTGCTGGCAAGAAAGAGAGTTAGTTAAAAGTAGATACATTTTAGTAACTTTAATTAGTAGGGAAGTGATCCAATTCTCCATAGGGATGATGGCAGTCCGGAAAAGACCCCAACCAATGGAGGGAGCAAAAGGGGACGGGATTGAGAAAGTGACTGACGATACCAAGCAATACCGGGCGTCAACCCCGACCCAGAGCCCTGGCACCAAGCTAGACTTCAGCTAGACTGACTGACTACCTTCATGTTATGTGCTCACCGACCCGAGGGCCTGTTCCCCGGGACCGCCTCCCCCTGTCCGTGCCGCAGTTACCCGTATCTTACCTGGAACTTTAGTTATCCTATCTTGTAGTAGTAGTTGACTAGTCAAGTAGCCATTGCCTAAAGCTCTCTCTCTCTCGCGCTCTCTCTTTCTCTTAGTTGGGTTGATTGCTGCGCTTGCTCTGTTCTTGCTCCGTTTCTTTCCCACTTCTTGCTCCATCACTTATTTATCTAACTTCTTAATTACATTTATCTTTCTTTCGCTAACTACTCAACTCCCTGTCGTACCAAACCGACAGCTGCGGGTGTCATCGTTTAAAGATCCCACTTATTCCTCTCTCCTCACTCCCTCTTCACGCCCCCTCCCGCATTGTCTCCGCCCGTCATTTCAAACATGCCACAGCCAGATTCAGAGGAACACATCCAGGTAGATGTAAGATAGTTCCCCCATCTTTCTGACGGTTATACGCAATTTCTATGTTTTCTGCTTTTGCGAGATTTTCCGGTTACTTATGCAGCCACTGGGCGCTTTGACTGAGACATCGATAAATTTGTTACGGTGCTCTGTGTATGGCTCTTGTGTGATGCGTTTTGTGCAAATCTCAAACAATTCTCATGTATCCGAAATGATTATGCACAATCGCGGTCATCAAACTGACTCTTACAGACAAGCGACGAAGACTCCCTCATAGATGAACAATCAATTATCGAATCCAATATTTCAATAACATCATCCGTACGAGATTACTGTTACGAAAATGGCCGCCGGTATCACGCCTACCGCTATGGGCAATATCCCATGCCCAACGACGAAGAAGAGCAGGACCGCCTCACTTTAATGCATCATGCCTTCAAGCTCCTCTTGGGAGGCGACCTATATCGTGCCCCGATAGGCGACCCTCAGCGCATCCTGGATATCGGCACTGGGACAGGCATCTGGGCGCTGGAAATGGCCGAAGACTTTCCCAATGCGGAGATTGTGGGCACCGACCTTAGTCCAATTCAGCCCAAGTGGGCGCCGCCTAATTGTAGCTTTCTGGTTGACGACGCGGAAAGTGATTGGGCCTACATCGGCAATGAGCCATTCGACTATATCCATGCTCGCAGCTTAGGTGGCAGTATTGCCGACTGGGGCCAGCTCCTTCGTCAGGCTTACGAAAACGTGAAGCCCGGCGGCTGGGTCGAAATCCAAGAATCCGAGACGTGGATACATTCCGACGACGGCACCTGCAAAGATGCTGTTATGGTGAGGGAGCTGCAGCAGAAGCTGGAAGAGTCAAGTACGAAATTCGGCAGGCGCATGAACATTGCTCCTGAAGTGAAGGGTTATATGCAACGCGCTGGTTTTGTCAACGTTGTGGATGATATCTACAAGGTCAGTCTGCTATAAAGATTTGGGTCGAAATTCCAGCTAATTGAAGCAGTGTCCTGTAGGCACGTGGCCAAAGTCCCCTCGTCTAAAAGAGATCGGACGAGTAGGGAAACTGATATTATACGACTCGGTCGAGCCATATACGCTAGCTCTCTGGACTCGGGTCCTGGGTTACTCGTATGAAGAGGCTCAAGCTTTCGTGAAGAAGGTGCATGCGGAGCTTGCAAGTTCGACCTATCATATCTACATTTTCTTCCATTATGTGTATGGACAGCGACCATTAGACGGATGATGACGATACGATTAGACTATGTGACGGCCGTGAATGCCTTATGCCTTTGCTCTTTTACATTTCTGGCGTCAAAACAGCGGCGGATACATTGTTCTTCTTTATGACGATACCCTCTTTCTGGGCATATATATGAATGTTCTTGATATTCGAGCTCGATGCATATGCATGCTTAACGAATAGAAGTTTCGGTGGCACATTATGCCTATGTCTAATATCCATAGCCTTCCTCTTTATTTACAAAACACACTCACCCTCAACGCACCCCTCTCAACCCTGCAAAGAATACCCGACCCCCTCCCCACTCCCCATCGCCACCAAATTCGCACGCATCCTCTCCGCCCTTTCCCCAATCCCAAAAGCAGCATCCTCCCGATGCACCCACGCCCCGACCCCATGCTGCAACACCGCCGTAGCCCTTACCTTCTTATCCTCCTCCGCCGCCAAACCCGCCGCATTCAACCCCAAACTGCCATGCAACGTCAGCCTCGTCTCCTCCCCTCCCTCCTCTTTACACTTATACACCCCGCGATGCAGAATATTACTATCATAAAAGACCGCATCACCAGGCTTCAACTCCACCACCAACTGCCCCGGCAACTCCGGCTCATATGGCGCTGCATTGCGCTCCACTTCCGTGCGCACCCGTCGATGCGACCCCGGAATCACAATCAAGGATGAATCCGCACACAGCGCCAGATTATACTGCGCGTGCGACTGCTTCCCATTGGGACTCTTGGCCTGCAGCATCTTTAGTTCTTCCTCCGGGGTCGCGGTCTCGGGGATGTCGTCGCGGTGCCAGCGGAGTTCGAAGTCTTTGGTTTCGGGCGCGACGAGCAGGTTGAAGAGTTCCATTACGAGTGGCTCGGGAGCATCACCATTGGTGCTAGTAGTGTTGGTGTCTGATGTCAGACCAAGCAACTCCTCCGCCACGGCAAGCACCTTCTCCGAGAAATAGAACTTGGCGAATTCACTCCGTCCCGGCATCTCGGGGTGCAGGAGGTGCTGCACACCCCAGATTCCGCCTTCCGAGGCTGGCGGCGGGGTCGTGGGCCAGGGAGGAAATTGCTTCGGTACGGTGCGGAAGTGCGGCCATTTTCCTGTCCGGGTGAGCGTGGTCGCGTGGGTGGCTATGGTGCGGTAGTGGGCGATTTCGGTGGGGGTTAGGAGCGAGGGGATCACGACGAAGCCGTCGCGTTGGAGGGCGCTGAGGTGAGGGGTTGATGACATTGTAGCTTTTGGTGTTGGAGGGGTGGTGGTTGTTGAGTGAAAAGAGTGGTGGTGGTGGTGGTTATGTCGGGGTGATGGCGGGGGAGTGAGCTAGACGGGGAAGAAAAGATTGTTCCACTCGGAGTGAACTACAAGAGATATGGGATTGAGTTTGGGACAATGGTATATATATAAGGTGTCTTCTATCACTGGTAGTTGACTAGTATATGGGTTGTTGTTGTTCTCATTACACAACAATGTGGTATACGCGATGCTACCTTGTCTGTCAGCACATGTTACCCTTTCACCTGAAGAAGAATTGCTTTGTTTTGTGTGGTCTGATAAGCATTGAAAAGTCCAGCTAAATCACTGATAACTAGTGTGGTTACTGGGGTAGTTCTGAGTAATGGGCTCAAGTCCGGCGCTGATTGATTGATTACCCCGCGGCGGGCACAAATTAATCCCTGATCGATCAGTCATCAGGGCGGGGAAGAACTTGCAGTAAAGTAAGCTGGCTGCACTGACCTTTCATTCCATGGTTACATTCAGTGGGCTAGTATACAAGGTAGTCTCGTTTAAAAGAACCAGTATTGTCATGCAAACAAACAATTCCATTTCATTGCTCTACGGAGATTTCAGTCACGATGAGCGATGAAAAATACAGTGGACGAAACGAGTCCAGTGGCTGGTGAAAAGGGCCCACTTTCCCAACATCCGAGAATGACGATCAACAGAGCAAGGGCCATATGACGAAAGCCATCACTTGGCAAGCCCCGTCCCGATAGCGGTGACTGCGGTGACTGAGCGGAATGAATGAATATGCTTACACAATAATCCTTTCGCTACTTTGCATAGTTATACGCTGGGGAGGGTGATATTGTGGTTGTCTCTATATGTGTTGTTTATCGCGTAAACATGTACTCCGTACCTCATCAGTATACTAACTACAGTCCCGTTGAGAAAAAAAAAAAAACATCAACAATGTCAGATGAAGTAATGCCAAGCAAAGCCACCGACAACGCCCATGGCTCCCACTGAAACCACTTTACGGGAAGGAAAAACAACACCTCGCTTGTATTTATGGTATGCGAATTTTCAGCTGGCTGGCTGGCTGGCTGGCTGGCTGGCTGGCAAAGAAGTGTCATCTGAAAGAGTGGGAGGGCTCACAGCCGAGCTTACGGCCTCTAAGCCACCGTCAACAGATCATATCATCGCAATGATCCGGTCTCCCACTGACTGGATAGCGGGGCATTCAGGGTCTTTTCACCCCTCCTCCGTCAAAGTCCTTTAGATCTATCAATCTAGTTCTAGCTTGGTCACCGGTTGCAGATCGATGACACACAAGTTCATCAAATCACTACTAACGGACTACGTACCCCTCGCTCTCGTGCCGTTTGAGCTTCTCCCAATTTGGCCCGCTTGTCTTTGTCCAACTAACTAGCTCCTTCTGTCAGTTGATTCTGCAGATAAGATAACTCTCGGCTTTTTTTCTTTTACTATCTTCCCCCCTCCTTCGCTTCTGCATGCACGTCCTCCCCTTCTGCAGCCTATCATTCTTCTAGACTCTTTCCTGTCATTTCTTTTTACTACAGTCCCCGCAGAACAATACCTACAGCTATGGCTCCGAGAATGAGTTTGGGCACTCACGCCCTGCTCGTTCTGGGTCTGCTGCTTGTTCTTCTTCCCACCCAGACCTGGGCTTTTGGAGCTGGAAGTAAGCTTTCCTCTAATATTTTCAGCGTGCGTCATCTTTTTACTAACACTTGCAGACATCGCTTCGATCTCGGCTGTTGAAGGCAAGAACTGGCGTCATGGAGATATCGAGGATATGCTCAAAACCATCGCTTTCATCAAGGGCCATAAGTGGACCTCCATGATGGTCAAGCGCGTGTACTTTGGTAACTGGTTGCGCGATTAGTGAGTATTTCTGCCAGTAATTGACGGTAACTCGGGCTGATTGAAGTTCTTTGTTGTAAGCTCACAAGCTATGGACGTCGGTACACTGAAGAGTCTCCCGGCTGAGACTATTCGGATCCTGGTCTGGATTCTGTCTTTCATGACGTTTGGCTATGCGACGGCTGAATTTGAAGTCACTTCAGAGAGGCTGGGTGTTTATCGTCCTGAGGAGCATATTGAGTATGTCTATCTCCTGTCTTTCGTATGTTGTGGTCATATTTGAATGCGGGCTTATGTTTTCATCTCCGCAGTAACCCTAAGGATTACGCCGATAATCAGGATGCTCGCGAGTTCGACCAACGACTGCGAGGCCCTGTCCGCCAGGTCGAGCTGGATATCGACCCCGAGACCGGAATGAAGAACTACATTGCGAACGAGGAGGGCGGATGGGCCACCAGCTCTGCTTACATCAAGTATAGCTTGGCTCGCAGCATTCATTACGGACGCACATATACCCATGGAAGCAAGAAAGGAAACGAGGAAGATCTCTGCGAAGCGCTTCGGTGTCTGGGCCAGGGTCTCCATACGTTGGAAGATTTCGCAGCGCATACAAATTATATTGAACTTGCGCTTCGTGAGATGGGTTTCCGCAATGTCTTCCCTCACACTGGTGTGAACACTCAGATGAATGTCCGTGGTCACCATGTGTTTCCGCTTGTGACTGGAACGTTCGGTATGGTTGACTTTTTCCACTCTGTGCTGGGAGAAGCCAACGATCACTTTACTCAGTCGGAAGTCAACGAGATGGACATTGCTCTCGGAGATGCGGAGGCAAACTCCTCTGGCGGGTCCCTTGGTGCTTTCACTGGTCTTCTGGGAAATATCCCCGGTACAAAGGATCTGGTGGAGGAGGCGGAGGAGCTTAAGCGTCGCTCCGAAGCTCAGGAGTCTGCGAACCGGTCTTATGGTGCTCGTTCTGGTTACACTACGCGCGGTGTCTCTAGGGAGGTGGATGACTATAGCGCTCCGCGTAGTAGAGGATCCGATGACGAGGTCCCAACGTACAGGGCTAACGAAAATGAAAGACCTGGAGAAGATTCCCAGTCCGGATCGGCTCTACAGGACTTCGATCCCAGCAAGACCATTGCCCAGATCTATCCCATCCTCGAGTTCAGAGACAAAGTTGTCCGCAAGCTTGCGTCGATCATCGAGAAGATTCCTGGTTTGGAGGCAATCGTTGAGAAGATCACTGAGACATTGACCGTCTTCGTCATGTCTCTACTGGCACCGTTTATCCGCCCCCTCATCAACGCCGCTTCCAAGTCTTTGCAAGCTGGATCTTCCGGAGTGATTGATGCCTCCGGAAAGCACCAGTATGAGCCTTGGACTGACCCCAATTGCACGGATCCTACCCATTCGCTACTCTCCAAGGACCACTTCTCCAACATTCTCAATGAGCCAGCTGGTCAGGTAGCCTCCGCTATCCTGAAGTACGTTGCGCCTCGGGTTCTGTACGCTTGGCAGAACCTGGACGTCTCCGATGACCAGGTATTGGAAGATTGCTTGAAGGTGTTCCACCACCCAGCGCTGCGCAACATGAACAACGAAGCCCATCGCACAATGTTCAAAGCCGTGCAAGCCTGGGTTGACTCCAGACCGGACCGTGGCGCCGACCTGAACGATGTTCTCAGCGCTGAGGGAGTAAGACAGGGAAAGAACAGCACCGGTGAGGAGGGTCATTCACACTCACATGGTGGGGGTTTTGGCGCTGCAGGACATAGCCACGGATCCCAGCAGCAGCGTCCGCCTCAGCAGCAGCAGCAGCAGCAGCAGCAACAGCAAGGCTCTTCTCCTCTCCCCTGGGATAAGCTGTCCAGCCTTCCCATTCCGGGGATCTCGAACCTCAACAAGTTGAACAGCGCCTTCTCCAATCTGATGGTTGGTGGTGGCACGAGAGGCGAGACCGAAGAAGCAGAGAACCCAGCTCGGTATGAGTCTCGTGAGGAGTCTCAATATACTACGCATCACCAGTCCTCGCATCAGGAGTACAGCAGCTACCAGCACCAATACCAGAGCCAGAGTCAGTACTATCACAGCCAGGAGCAATCATATCAACCACCCCCTCCCCCTCCCTCTGACTTTGGCAACTACGGCGGCTATGATGAATACAATGGAAGTCAGCGAAGGCACCATGGAGAACAACATCACAGTCACCACCATCATCATTATCCATCACCTGGTCGCACACCTCCTCCTCCGGGCCCGCCTGGAGGTTACGAGGAGCAGTCTTACAGTTCTTATTCGAGTTATGGACGCGGGAACGGACATAGTCAGGACTATTATGGAGGGAACTATTGATGAATCGCTAGGCTAGCAAGTGTACTACTTTATTTTAGCATGCAATAGACTGATATGATTTTCGGAGTCTCCGCAGAAATTATTCTCTCTTCACTTAGTCATGTAACATCTAGATCTTCAGAGCACCCTCTAGCAGACTCATGCCAGTAGATCCTCGTCTTAGCAAAGCCCAACCAACCTATTATATAAATAAATAATAGTGACTTCCTACAGCAAGAACATACATTATATACCATACCATACATAACATTTTGCCATCCCTAAAAGCGAATTCAGATCATCTGCCCAGCTGTTAGTTAACTGTTCACCGAAGCCAAAGCCTAGTCTACGCTAAGATGCAAGGAATTTCGTCCCGGCTCAAACGCAAAAATATCAAGCCTCCTCAACAACCAAAGCCAGGCTAGGCTACCTCTAGTATCCAACGTCTTGCGAGGCAAAAGACAAAAAGAAAAAACAAAAAAGAAAGCCCAACGCGGGGCTCGAACCCGCAGCCTTGAGATTAAGAGTCTCACGCTCTACCGATTGAGCTAGCCGGGCTAGTTCGGTGATAGTCGGTTTGTAAAATTGGCATATCAAGACTAGGAAAAGGCTGGGTTGAAAGTTTTGGGTTGTAGAACAGTAGATATTTCGTCTGGAGTCGGATATATACAATAGGTGTGTGTGTGTGTCTAAAAGTCACGGGACAGAAGCTGGATCATATCAGAACTCATTTATCAAACTATTACTTAGTACATGATTATCTCGAAGAATTATATAATATATGATATGATATTCGTTCTCTTAGTTCATAATGATAGTTTTAATAAAATCAATTATTTCAATATCAATTTTCGATACCCGCATTCGGCTTGTCTTTTTGTTCTCTACTTTTTTATTTTTATTTTTTTTTTTTTTTGTTGGGGGGGGATATAGGGTCTACCGGTTGCGGTGGCTCTTTTTTTTTACCGTCTGCTGTGAGTAAGTAGCACCAGTACGTGGTACTGGGATGGTAGTAAGGAATAGCAATTGGTGAGTAGGGCAGTGGGATGACTAGACTAGTATGCATGTCTTCTCTATTATGTCCGCATGGGGTTGTTGTTAGGTTTGGGGAGGAGTAGTGGACATTATTTTCGCTGGTATAGTACTGAGTAGTGATCAGTAAGTTCCTAGCAAGCTAGTGGATATTGTGTAAATAGCACTGGTTCGAGACACCCGGAATGTCTAGTATGTACATTCAAAACTGAAAACGTATGTACAGTGCAACAACACACAGAGCAAGAGTGCATCATGAGACATATCCCCGCCGGATATCTGTAGTTTAATGTGTATGCACATAAAGGCACTTAGCCACACCACATGTGGCCTGCACTTGCAGGTATGGAAGGAGAGGAACAAGCAGAACCAATAAGGCCAAAAAAAAAGCAAAAGGATATCATTATCACATCATGTCGCAGCCATGCATTCGCCAAGCACCGATTCATTAACCACATGTATGTGGGCTCCAAGTGGACAGCGGAGGAAAAGAATAAGGGAGTAAGAAAAAGCGTTACCCATTTACAAGGCACCAATGGAATGGACCGAGTGCCGTCTATCATAGTTTGGTCCCCTCTCGTCCGCTATCGCTGAGTCTCCGCGGTCGAAGAAAAGCAGTAGAAGGACCAGCGGCACTACTCGGCCCGGACGCAGACGCAGGGCTGCCGTTGCTGCCACTAGCGTTGTTTGGACGTGCACCTGCTCGCTGGCCCTGATGCAGACGAGGGTTCAAGAGCCACTGCACCTGCATGCGAATGCTGCCCACGGCTGCGTTGGTGTGCGCCATGTCTTCTTTTAAGCGAAGACATTCGTTCATGAGAGCCATGCTAGCACGGGCGTCTAGATCTGTGATGGCGTTGGAGAGCTGTCCGACCTCTTCGCGAAGAGACTCGTGGAGGGAGAGTAAGTAGTTCGTTGTAGTGGCAGTATAGAGGTTAGAGCTGTCGATCTGAGATTGATTGCTTGCCGAATCTCGTCGACGAGGGGCATCGGAATTTGTCGGGGGATCTTGCTCGGCTAGAGTACGAGTCGACTGGGCTAATGTCGAGCGGATGTTGGAAATTCCGTCCTCGAAAATCTCGTTCCGCTGTTGAAGGTGACGGATGGTAAGTTCAAGAGAATCGAGTCGTGCATTCTGCGCTTCAAAATACGGGCCCATGGCTATCAGCGGACAAGTCTGTTCGTGTGTCGTCAGGTCTGCACGCTTGACCTTGACGGGACAGCCGTATTTCGAGGCCGCGCAAGGATGGACAACCTCGGGGCAGGAGTCGATGTGTTCCCGCAGTGATTTGCGTAGGACGCTTATCTGGCAGTCGGGACATGTTGTTTTAAGACTCGGGCATAGATCCTTGACATGTTCCTGTAGACAAAGAAATCTGATTAGCAGTATTCTATGGTATGAAGGCAACTCCCATACCTCGTAATCTTGTTCCGCGACATACTCGTCGCATCGTAGACAGCGTTGAAGCTCATGCAAGCACCGGCCCTCAGAACTGAGGTCCTTCTTCCGGGTCGTCTTGTTGCAAGAGCTATCCGGACACTTCATGAGCCTGTAGCCACAATACTTGTCGACATGAGACTGAATCTGACCTCTTGGTATAATCTCCTCGCAACCTTCATCCCGAAAAGGACATCGCACTTTGATATCATCACACATATTGAGTAGCAGACGAGGCACGTTGAGGTAGACACCCCTCGTGGGAGTCCGGCAGGTGGGACAGGTGAAGTCGTCTCGGCTGGCGGAAAACGCAGTGATGGCAGTATTTAGACACTTCTGACAGAAGACATGATCACACTGAAGGCGCACGGGGCGAACGAAAGGGCAGTGACATATCGGGCACATGAGGTGGTCATCGTAGCTGGAGACCAGTTCTAGTGAGCGCAAGTCGACAACTTCGTCTCGGTCGCAGTTCGCCTCCATCGCGAGCAGTTCATCGAGGGTGATGCTCGTCATATTTCCAAACCCCCCTTCCCACGCAGGAAGGGTTCAGCTTATATTGTTAAGCCACGGGCTCGTGCGCCGATCGAAGTCGTCCTGCACAGGGGGGCCAGAAATGAAGGGACCGACCGTCCAGATGCCACAGGGGTGGGACGATGAAACAATAGCACAAAGCGAACACCCATGTATCTCAGAAAGTTACACGGTGGCTGACACGAAAGTTTGACTAAAGAAAGAACAAAAACTCAGGGGGAGGGTGACCGCAGGAGGTGGACGTGAGGAAAGTGAGGCCATTGCGGGGGAGAGTAAGAGAGGAATGAATGTGGATAACGATGAATGACGGCGAGATATGGGAAATGGAGACGATGGCGGCGGAAGCGGCAGATCTGCCGAGAACGAGGGCCTCTGGTTATCCATTCCATCCACCCGGCTGGTCCTCTGGCTTCAGTAATATCCACTCCATTGCTCCATCGTCTGGCAGTCCCTGCGTGGATGTACTTCTCCCCCCTTCCCTGTCATCTGCAAGTCGCCGCGGTTCCGACATCTCCGCATTTGCCTGGTTGACCGACGCTAAGACAACCTCACAGCCTTGTCCATCCTCCTCTCCTCCATCCGGTCTTCCCCCATACCATCCTCACGCACATCCAAACGCTATCTCAGTCCCTCAGCCATGCCAAACCCTTCGCAACTCCTGCTTCTTGCCGACCATATCAAGTTATCGCTACTCGAACGGCAACGGGCCATCTCGCTCGACCTAGAACCCAACAGTCAAGATGGCGAGATCTCACGCTCCCTCGACTCCTTGAAAGAGGGCATCGACGCCGTGGAATCCGACTGCGCACGGCTAGAAGAAGCCAACGATGAAAGCGCCACCGACATGAGAGACCAACTCGACCACCTATACTCCCAGTATCGAGAACTGACATCCCAATTCCGCGGCTCGGATGCTGCTGCAGCGGACGATCCCGTCGAGTTCACCAACATCAAGAAGTCATCACCGGACCTGAAACAGCCCGTCCCGCAACATCCTTCCTCCAAATCAGTCCGGTTTATGGATAACGCCGCCGAAGAGGACGATCTCAATCGCCGGAATCTCTTCCAGCCATACCGCGACTCGCCCTCCCCACAGGGCGTGGACACATCCGAAATGTCCAACCAGCAGGTCTACGATCATCATGAGCAGATCATGCGCGACCAAGACGAGCAGCTAGACCGACTAGGCGAATCCATCGGACGACAACATCAACTCAGTATCCAGATTGGTGATGAACTTGAGGGCCATGTTGCGTTGCTCGATGACATGGATGGCCATGTGGAACGGCATCAGGGTCGGTTAGACAAGGCCAAACGCCGGCTGGATAAATTTCGGCGAAGTGCGAGCGAGAATTGGAGCATGATGACAATCATCGGGTTGATCATCGTCCTCGTCATACTGATCGTCCTTCTCAAGTGAATGGGTGTGGAACCTCTCGTATATGATACTTCTCGTCATGACTTTGTTGTTGGAGCGGGATTACTCCATTGATGATCCCCGGGGCGAAATGGCGTTATTTGCGTTGTATTGGAGTTTTCCATACTACTAAGCTATCGAGTTTCTGTTGTGGAGGATGGAAGGGTTTCTGTGGCGTTAGAGTAGGTATTTGCTTGCGGCTTAACACTTTTACAGCCCATCGGCATCTGTTTCGAATACACTATATATCATTCCTTTGATTACTTTATAGCAGAGCCAAATACATCTCTCCTGCTTTTGATACCATAATACCATATTTGAATATATCCCTTAGAAGTAGACAACAAACGACCCATCACATCAACCTCCCAACAACTCATCCTTAACCCACCCGACCCAAAAAACAACACCAGGAACTGAATGAAGCAAGAACAATAATTCCATTTACATTCTCAAGCAAACCCAACCGACTAAACCCATCATAAGTACTGTTAAATGAATAAAAACAATTTATTGAGTCTTGTTCACGGGCCCATCCCTATTCGGCAACCCTTTCGTCCGTTCCTGCATGGCTCCGAAGTTCTTGTCGTCACTGTCCACTTCGCCGCGATCGGCCTTGACCTGTTGCATTTGAAACAATACATTAGCATCAATCACCCTTTAATGTAATCCAACCCAATCCGTAGAAGGGGTTAGAATTGTTGAGTAGAATAGAGAGAAACCTACCGACGCCTCACTATCACTAGCAATTTCCTGCTTCCACTTCGCCTTACCCTCCTTGGTGCTTTTCAGTTGGTCGTGTTTCTCGGCTTCGTAGATGCTGCCAAGGTCTTCACGGTCTGCAATGATTTAACTATATTAGAGAATGTGTCTGAGAGAGTTGGTCGGGACTGGACTCACTGTGATCGGATTCCTTCAGACCTGGGCGGGGAATGCTGGTGTGGAGGGCTGCTGCAGAGGTGTAGGCATAGGCAGGGCGGGAGAGGCGGAGGGTGGTTGCGCGGATGGGGGTGAGGAAGGACATGTTGGTAATTGTAGCTGTAGCTGTGTCTAGATTTAGATTGATGGTGTTGTTAGTTTGATGTTTGGTTGATTGAGGATTAGAAGAGAATGGATGGTTGACTGAGGACGAGGAGCCCGTAGTATGAAGCTACCATCTCCTTCCACTTCTAATGACAGCAATTCCAGATAAGTAGTGCACTGCAGTTCACTTACAATTCTCAAAGAGTACTCTCAAAATTTCGAACGATGGTTTTGAGACTATCGTGTAGACAAGTGACAATCTCTAGATGTAACAATATGATAGATAGGTAGATAGTATCGAGATGAACCAAAAGTAGCTCGATAGTGGCGGCCTCATGTATTTAAATCATTTCACTCCAAGCGAGACTTTCTCCAACTGCCAATCATCAATTCCAGGGAAAGAGAGTCCCGTTCGACCTCGGGTGAATCAGTTGGCAGCCATTACTCAATGCCAGTTCGACGAATTGCTCGTCGAAGTAGCGGTGACGTCATGGAGTCTGATGCGTTTCGGGATGGATGTATCCCCATTAACTATCCGTTATATCCTACGGTGTTGATGTGGGTAGTTGAGTGATATTTTTAGTTGATTTATCAAGGAATGGTTTTTAATATAATTTAGTTATTTATGTTTATTCTGTAATATCAATAGAAAGAGGCATTCGAATATTGTCTTTGAAAGGGTCGCTTCTGGATGCAGGAGACTTCGGTGTCTTCCAGGTTCGAGGCCGCAAATCAAGGATATGACATCACGTACATTGACCACTCCTTACTGTGCCGTTACGACCAGATAAGTAGGGGACCACCACATGTGTAGCAGAATTCACTTCAGAACACTACTAATTATCTTTATTATCAAGTGCAGTCGCTGCGTTCAGATGTTTTCAGTGCTATGGTGATTTGAGCGTTGTGGGTTGGCTCGGCACCCGTCTCAGCAATGAATATATATCCGCCTAGACCTCTGAACAGCATCGAGCGTTCACTCCTCAACCCGAACTAAAGCGCGGCAATCTGATAACCACTTCTTAATTAAAAGCTAGTAGCCGTTGCGATAGCAACCGCTGTGCTCTATTGCCCCTCTCAATCTGCAGCGTGCACGATACGATATCGCCCCAGATTATGAGGTCATGTGGCGAAGTACTACAACCGCTGCAACTACCACAAAATTATCATCCCGACATCTACTGCATCTACTGTTTTCAAGGCAAGCCCCAAGATTGAATGGAGTCCAAAGCTAATTTCACAACTATGTATAGGCATTACCCCCATAGTTCCAGCCAAAAAGCGTATAGACAAAGGAGATATGGTAAGAGACGGAATAACCAAGAAGCGAACAGAATCAGCAAGATCATACACTGCATCACATTCTCCGGGAGTCCCCAGGAGTCGAAGAACATGACTTTAAAAACATCCGAACGAATCAACGTGGAGGCGAACAGAAGCGAATTATGTCGTCAACTGACAACTCCCATCAAGACAGTGGTCTATCTCGCGAAAGAAGGCGAGTGTGACCCCGGCAAAAAAAGGAAATAAAGAGAAACTCCTCATCCAATCCATGGATTTTCACAGCCAGTTGACCTGAAAGTAACAAGCACCGCGTGTCACCAATTCCCCAACCAACCCATATACATTGGTATAACAAACAGAATTTTTCAAGAAATGAAAACATATGCGAAGTATAGGTCGAAACCAGCCAAACATCCCAAACAACTCAGCAAAGCCCAATCAATGCAGACGTATATGTCGTTTCCGCCTTTCTAAATCCCTGAAAAGCATGAGAAAATGATCCATCCCACCCAAAATGTGACAAAACACCAAGCCGAAAAGATGAGGTATAACCGCCAACAGCAAATCTGGCATAGCCGCCGTGGGAAACCAAAAAAGCAACTCCGGACCATAGATGCGCGCCTGAATGGCAGATCGCCGCGCTTTCTATACATCATCGCGGCCAAAATCGAGGTTCAAAGCACAAGGGGTTTCCCTAACCGTAAGATAAAAACAAGGTATCGTTTGAGGTGGAATGCAAAAATCGAATATCGCAGGCGCCGTCGCTCGCAGGAAGCCGAAAGCATCAGTCTAGGTATAAGTTGCTCGAAGTTGTCATCGAAGTAAGGTGTATATACAGAGAAACACTGGTTTATCCTTTGCTGTTTTTGCGCTCGTCAAGCCAAAAAGAGGAGAAGGGAAGATCAGTCGAATCGTAAGAATGCGATGGCCGTGTCGAACAGAAAGCAAAACAAAGCAGTAACAATTATAACCCGCGGTTAGGGAGCCCGATGATGCAGAAGCCGGACGAACGTGGTGAACATGCTATGAGCCTAAGCGGCCCTTTGCCGAATGGAACGGCGACTTGCCAGAATCGCGGTCCTCACCACCGACGTTGGGCATTCTGCATCGAAGCCGGGGAGATTGACGTTGGCGGGCTCGTCAAGGTCATGCCGGTATTGGGGTTGACGATCGGGATAACCTTGCGGGTGCGGACTGCAGACGGCTGCTGGAAGTTCACGTGATTAAGATTACCGCTAACCCTTGAGTGAACATAGGAGTTGCTGGAGGCAGGAGACAGGGAGATGGAGGGAGTGACCTGCTGGACAGGCTGGATTTGGTGCTGGAGAGGAGAGGTATCGGGAGATCCACTGGAGAGAGATGACCGATCCGAGGAAGCAGAGTGGATGGAGTGCAGCTGTAATATCAGGGGTCAACAAGCTGTTCCATTAAAGTACGGGGTCGGCAGTCAAGATATCCGTAGTACGAACGGAGAGGGAGGGTGTACTAGGCCGGGGTTCGACAAACATACATCATCTTCCGTCAGGAGACTGGGGCAAAACTCCAGGTCGTCATCCAGGTCAAAAGACCGTCCAGCCTCGAAGCGGGCACGGAAAGCCGTCACAGCAGGGGCCTCTGCAAGCTCCCTCATACTCTTGACACCTCTAAACTGGCGCTGAGCATTCTGGGCAGCCATCTTGGGTCCCCGACGGGAACGACCCCCATGGTGATTGTTCGAGTTGGCCATGTGGGCGGTAGCGCCATGGTGAGGGTGTTGCTGGTGCTGGTGCTGTTGCTGGTGACCGTAGAAGAACGTAGACATTTTGTTGTGTGGTTGTGGCGAAACGAACGCAACAAAAAGTAAAGCGAAGTTATATCGGTACGAAGGATATGCTGAGGAATTCGAGGGCGGATATAAACAAAGACCAGCGCTCAGGAATCCCGACAGTAACGCAACTCCGGAGTAGAGTAACAAAGAAAAGAGACGGAGTAGTAAGGTCGAAGAATGACAAGCGGTCGGACGGAATGCAGAGTGCGGAAACAAGAGAAGAGGATTTGGAATAGGAAGAGAAAGAGAAGATTGTGGGATAAAGATGGGAGAGATAATGGAAAGTGAATGCGAGAGTGAAAGTGTAAGAGATCGGGGGGGGCGGGCGAATTTGCGATTAGTGTTGTGGGATGGGGAATCATCAACGGATGGCGGGACAAGAGTTGAAAAGAAGACCGGGAGCGAGAAAAGAGTCGCAGCGCCCGGAGCGGACGGGAGGCGAGAGAGAGCAAGAGGGGCTGCAGTTGTGATTCGACTGGGGCTGAGCAAAAGTGCACGTCGGTGGAGATCCGCAAGGGAAAGGGAATGGCATACGTGACCGTACTTACCACACAGCCTTTTCCCTACCGGTGGCATCCACGAGTATGGAGGTTATGAAAGGACATTACTGGTTACAACTGGCTCCCTCGCCGAGGCGCCCGTAAAGTATCCGTGGTATCGTCTGTAACTTCTGTAACATCCTAGTCCCAGAATTCCCGCGCTAACCTGGTCACGCACCCAGTTTTAGGGCAGGGTGAGAACCAACCAGATCCCTGTCAATGGATCCTCAGTGGCAAGTTAATGCCCCGATCACCAATCAGAACCAGTCATAGTGGGCTCATGGCAGCCACCGTCAAAATGCCAATAAAACACCGATTTTGGCTGCTCTAATCGGCTACCAAGCGGGTCTTAGTGACGTCGAAAGGAAGCACACCATCCCCCTTTGGGTATGGACCAGCGCACCCTCTCCCTTGACGCCTAATATATGGGTGTCCTCGATCTAACCGTGACGAGTGCAAGCGGCTGTCGGATGAAGACCGGGTCTCAGCCTGGACTTTAAGGCTGTATTACCGTCATGAACAGCCCATGAGTATTACATATGATGGTGCAATGATGCCTACTTACGCTCATTGTATGATGCAGACTGCCGTTAGATAGACAAAGACAGACACTGTCTTTACAGACATGTGGATCTGCAATGCTAATAGAGTATCAATCGATCCATCTCGCCCACCAGCGGATGCATGGATGATGACGATGGCAATGGCAAAGAACATCGTGGCAATGCTCTGTAGTGGCTCCCTGTGTTGGGTCGTTTTCAAGGTCACCAGGAGGATCCTTCCCGTCGTACCTGTACCTCGTCAGGTATCGAACCCCCAGTCACTTCGTGTTCAGGAAAGGGAAAAGGGCAGGTAAGAGCAACAGTACAGTAGTATGTGGCTCCCACTTCCGAAGACAGGCATGCGCTGGCAAGCAGGCAAAATGCCCACTACAACACCTGCGGGTAATGATTTGCAAAAAATGTGGTGAGCCCCACCGGACTAGCTACCCTCTTTTTTCGTTGCTGTTATTCTCGGTACCTTTCCCTTGAACCGTGCCACTTGGTCTCGTCGGGGGCGCTCCTATTCCATCCTACTATTGCCGTTTTCCCACCATCTGCTCCCCTAAACTGTCTTCAACTCAGGGAGAGGCGCTCCTTAGAGTGGGCGGGCGGGGACTCGGGCCAACTGACTTTGTATTTTCCCCCCAACCATTGAAGATTGTCATTGACTAATGAGATTAATAACGGGCAGCTCCTGCCATGGCCACCCTTCGACGGCTTCGACAAGTATTCCATAACAGAAATTAATCCTCCACTTCAATATCTGGATCTTCTCCATATTGAGCGGATAGTCAGCTGATACTATTGTCAGTAGTACTTTCTGACCAGAAATATATTACGGAATAGTAATAAACAAATAGTGATTTTCTCGTTTAGGCCTTATGTCCATGTAATCACTGTTTGTTTTTTGAGTCCCCTCGCCAATTCACCTCAAAAATCAATCAGGTACGGAGAACGCCGTCAACAAAAGGAACCGAATCTTGAACTGGGCTTGGCTGCTCTGCATTGTCAAGGATCTGCTCCCTGTCTTCCCATCCATCCACATGGGGCAAGCGCTACGGCCACTGCATGGCCCTGCACCTCCCTCCATGCAGTAAAGGTTCACAAGAATAGTACAGCAGTGTAGCTTTTAGTATCCTCCGTAACTCCATCTGCTGTCACGACACATAGGTGTACTTCATTATCTACAATACTCCTTTCCAATAAACGTAGAACAAGTTTGCGGTCTACTTTCCCCGACGCCTGGACCCTCCACTGCACACGCTAAACCCAGGGGTTGAAACGCCGTATCACTGGTCAACGGTAGCGTAAATGCAGGATGGGGATGCACCTAGGGGGAGGAGGGGGGGATGGGAGGGAACAGACCGGTAGGAATGATGGCGGCTACTGGAACAGCCATAGCAGCATAATATATTATGGATCGGGCTTAGAACGCATGCTAGCAGGGTCACAGCTCCTCCAAACCTGCAGACTACTGCAGGATGCAGTCCCGAGAGTAGGTAGGAGGAACATACACTCGCTCAAGCGACCTGGGATGGAATGGGGGCGCTTTCTTGTCTGTACAAGCGATTGGGCACTACTAGCCATGGATGCCAGAGTGGTATCCTCACACTTCTCCCGTGTCCAGATTGTGCCAAACTAAACCTGCTAAAAAGCCAGCCCCCCATGAGACATGATTTCTGATCCTATTCGGCAAGATAATGTCCCTGCTAAGATCTGACCACCTCACCGCCCTTTCGGTAGATGGGAAATGCAACGCAGTCTGGAGTTGCCCCTCTCGGGATCAGGAACCTTGTTGTATGATCTTCATCTCATGATAGGTGCATCTCGATGCCCAAGGCAGGGGCGCACTGAGAAAAATCCGGTATAGTCACTCGATCATGCTTATGGGTGATGATCCATACAGCAAGTAAGTTTTGCCGATAACTAAAGTACCCTCGAGGCATCCGATGCCGCTACTTACTATGATCGGACGCTTTCCATCCCTGCCGTATGTATGGTATCCTTGGTATTGAATTGGTATTCCCCTTTACCAGATTTTATACGAAATCCTGTTGGGAGGAATGTTTTGCGGCGCAATGAAGAAAGGCCTAGATACACAGCCCGCTACACGGCCTGAGTGTACACAAGTATACGTACATGGCTTAATGGGCGGGGGGTCGTGAAGCGGGATCTGCTGCACTCCAGACGCCATTTCCGGAATATTTGTTGATCTAGCTAGTGTATAGGACGATAGATAGTCCTTGTCTACCCGTCTCGGGGGTACTCCCCCTCTCAACAACAAGACTGGAGTGTGCGCAAGTGTATCTCCGCCCACATACGTACCCCGAAGCAAGGGATATGAAACACGATCTTCCTGCCTAGTCTGGCCAACGGTCTCAGGAAGCGCCCATGTTGCATTAGAGGTGTCCAATAAACGACATCATATCTCCAGATAGGTAGCTTTCCAGTTCCTGAAATCTGGGTTGTAGCGTTCATGTATGTCGGCGCTTCTTCGAAGCAGAAAGAGTGCATGGCTGGAGTGGTACCTGTGACACCTGCAAACGGGAGAGCAGCGAGATTATTCACGGGTCAACTCGGACTAAAACTCAATTGAAATAGCTTCCCAAATCGAGGGATAAACCTTGTAGGCCCGGGTCAAATTGTCAATACTACTGGACTGCGTGATCGGTTCTCCGTGGAAGATTCAATCTCAACTGATGGTAAGACTAGATAGAGTAAAAAGCTTGAAGGTTACATTCAACGGATATACCCGATTCCCAGATCAACACCCACCATGATCATCTTGTAGCATAGCCTACAAACTGACAGAAATAGCGCCACACAAAACCGGTTGAACCAAACACAGTGGTCATCATCTAAATCTCACCGCGACCTGGCGAGATACGTAGTTCCAGTCTCGCGCTTACGCGGATTGACATCCGAGCATCCATCCCTTTGACTCCCCCTCCCATCCCTAGCTACAGTAGTAGCTACCAACACATGCCAGAATGCAAATTCCCCACGCATTCCAGAATTTTCGTCAAGGAACACGAGCTTGCATACACGCATACATACATACATACGTTCGTTTACAAGGATGTATGTATGTAATAGTTTACCATCGGCATGCAACAAGGGAAGTAGTAATTGCGTAGGTACCACCGTAAAGAGCTACTCGGTGGACCGACAACCTTGGTAGAACTGAAAGTCAAATCCTACATGCCTTTCAACATGGCTTGCTTACTGACTCGGAGTAAATCCACATTCTGACAGCTGGGTATGTACAGTAGGTGCCTATGCATGGAAGACCTTGTTTCTGGTTTGTGGTTGTTATTGGATTCTTACGGATCTTAGTTGTGGAGATGTGGGAAGCTTAGTTGGTGGGTGGATTGGTTTGTGTTACACGAATATCATCTATGTCTTGTTTGTGGTTGAGTATGTGTCAGGGAGAACTTGGATGGGGAGTTGTATGCCCAGGGTATAGTATTTAGTCGCATAAACATCATGGCTTTCTGGTGGGGTTTGAATATGTACTGTGCGTTATGGTGTTGCTGTTGAAGCGGTTACTGGCATGCGGGATATTCGAAGCTGGGCTAATATGGAGGATGAGCGTATGTTTGTTTGAAGTCTGTTTGTTCGCTTATGGTATATCTGTATCTCTCAGTATCTTCTCCATGGCACCCGCTTAGACTATGCGATAATGCAACAGTTTTGAAACAATCTGCAACCAGCCGAAACCCGAAATATGGACCAAAAAAATAAGTATCGCTCGCGCATGACATGCTTCCGTAATAACATGACCCCGTTGAACGCCGCTTGAAATCCTATGTATGTGCATGAAAATGGTATGTTCATTTGTCCAGGTTCTTGCTCTTCACCATCCGTCCAAGAAGCTCCTTGCAATGCTTTTCGCTGTATTGCTCCCAGACCTCGTAAAGCGACACCAGCTCTTGAGTACACTCTATGACTGCCTTGATGTCCACCTCGCTCTCGGCAAGCCATCCTATAAGTCGTTGAATGCGGGGAGGAGGGCCGTTGCCGCCCTTATCTCCCAATGCTCCAAGGATGTTCATCCCCCCATCGCGCATCGCGCTGGCCAGTGGCGCTGCTGACCCGTGAAAGCTCGTTTGGCTGGGCTTGAAGACCACGGCGACGATAATCGCCATGACAGCGATGACGTGAGGCGGATATAAGAGCGGCAAGTCGGTGAGATAGTGGTCGTTGATTACAGACCATGCAAGAGCAACTTCATCTGACGTAAGTGACAGCTCGGGTTGGAGTTCTGATAAAGTTCGATATGGGTGGTGCACAATAAGCTGAGAGTTCATTTCCGATATCAAAGAGAATTCGCATTCTCCTAGTTTTGAAACATCTGGGGCAATAAACTCTGTAGCCACGTCAGCGGGAAGCGCACGAAGTGCATTAACGCGAGTGTTCCGTACCTGGCCAGAGACCTCTAGCCTCTCCGACGACAAAACGAATATGTTGAGGGCATTCTTCCATTTTACAGGCCAGATAGAAGGCAGTTGTGACGACAAGATACGGGTTTGTATGTCTAATCTCGTTCTTGGTGTAGAACCTCTTGACATAGACTTGCGCTGTCGCAAGTGCTTGTTGTCGAGTAGACATCCGTTTCCCCAATTTGATGAGTTCTGTTGGTCTGGTGAGCTCGGATGCTCACCGATTTAGGATATATACTATGTTATCTTACGTTGACTGAAGTAGATGTTCAGCAACCTCTGATCCGGCAGAGGAAACTGACTATGAGCGACCATGTCCCGCTCTCTAAAGTTCTCCCGAATCTCTGCCAACTTCTCTCTCGTGAAGAGCCAGTGTCGGCGTTGAGTTGATGCCCAGTAATTAGCAGCCATTGTTGGGAGTCTAGCGGGAAGGGGGTATCGTGTGGGGGTTAATCTAGTATAGAAGAGGTAGCAATAGCCACCATAGTGCTTTTCCCTTTGGGCCTAAGAGGTGCTGGATGGGTACAGATTATCCAGTTGGCTTTGGGCATCCGGGGGTGTGGATGTGTGGCTGGTATGGTATACGACCCACTAGTTCAGGAGCGCTGGAGGGTGAATCGATGAGGGGAGCAACAGCCTGAATCCAGGCAACACACACCCCTTTTAGCAATCGGAGTGAAGATGAGGTTTGATGTCGTGCAGGTCGGAGATGGGACTCCGAAGGGGCCGAACTGGAGGCAAGAGTGAAAGGCGGGAGTGGAAGGCGCCTAAACGGGAATAGCCGGGAGATTTGGTGACGACCGGGCCGGGGTCTAGTTTTCTTCCGGTTCATGTCGTAAGGAAAGCAAATCATCGCGCCTGGATTTCTCACGGCTATCGGCCTCACCCCAGCTGACCTTCAACGACAATCATGAACGCCGGATTATCACTTCGTGCATAATTTCACCACCGTGATTTTCGATGCCCAAATTATTCACTCACCTTCACCTTCTGCCCTGTTGCGACAGGGAATCCCTCCTCTTCAACTCCGCTGACCCCTCCTTAAAAAAATAATGACGCAGTTGTGATAAGAATCACTTTTCACCGAACATGGACACTGGCGAGTCGCAAAAAGATCGGGACCAGAGAGTCGCCCAACTCTGGCAGCGCTTGGATACCAAGGGTGAAGGTCATCTTGACTTCAATGGCCTAAAGAAAGGACTAAAAAAGATCGATCACCGTAAGTCCCCATCATGACATGATCCCGTGCAGCTCGGTGCAGATGACCTGACGGCTTGGGATGCAACAGCGCTCAAGAATGCAGACCCTATGTTACGCGATATCATCAAGGCAGTGGATACCAACGGGGATGGCTACATAGATTATCCTGGTAAGATCATGCGTCGCACACCATAGCGTCTCATTCCTCCTAGTGTCACTGGCTATAGACGCCAGTCGTTTTTCCAACCTAATGTTCACCAGAATTCCGGGCCTTCGTTGATCATACCGAAATCGGCCTCTGGCAACTGTTCGAGAGCATAGACCACAATCACAACGGCGAGATCGATAAGAATGAGCTCAAGACCGCTTTTTCGAGATCCGGGGTCACGGTCTCCAACGCAAGGCTGGAAGAATTCTTCGCGGAGGTCGATAGCAACAAAGATGGCGTCATCTCTTATGCGGAGTGGAGGTACGTACTATAGCGGTCAGCTGAAGGTGTCTGGGGTTGTCAGCTAATGACCTGTTGGTATCCAGGGATTTTCTCCTTTTCCTGCCCGCCTACTCGTCCTCAAACCTCCGCGCTGTCTTGTCATACTACACCGCCACGGGAAATCTTAACCCGGAAGGAGATGTCCACATCAATGATCTGCAGGGCTTAGGTACAGACCACTCGTTTCTTAAACGTTATATCTTGGCCTTACAGAACCTCCTCTCCAACGTTTTCCCAGTGCACGTTTTGACACTCTTGATTCCTTCAGCCTACGCGGAAGCCACCGGCGTGTCCGAGGTTGGGGTCGAGTTTGAGGATGACTCTACACCCTTAGACAATGACCTGGAACTGGAGTGGTTGCCCATACCCAGGATCGTCGCCATGTGGATGTCCTTCCGATATTATGAACAGAAGTTGACCGAAAGCACTCCTCAATTAGGTTACTTCGTTGCCGGTGGTATCGCAGGCGCAGTGTCCAGGACAGCAACCGCGCCCTTGGACCGACTCAAGGTCTATCTCATTGCTCAGACTGGCGTGAAATCATCAGCAGTCCGCGCAGCGAAAGATGGCGCTCCGCTGCGTGCTGCGGGAAAGGCGTCGAAAACCCTCGTCGAAGCCGTGAAAGATCTGTGGCGTGCAGGCGGTATCCGGAGTTTGTTCGCAGGTAAGACCCATAAATAGTTCAAGTTATGACATATTTCTCACTGTCATAGGCAACGGTCTCAACGTTGTGAAAGTCATGCCCGAGTCAGCCATTAAGTTCGGTGCTTATGAAGTGAGTTAACTGCTCGATACAACTCAAACTTGTCTTCATGCGACTGACGTGCGACAGTCTGCAAAGCGTGCTTTCGCCCGCCTGGAGGGCCATGGTGACCCCAAACGTCTCATGCCTGTATCACAATTCCTATCTGGGGGTTGCGGTGGAATGGTTGCACAGTACGTTGGAGTAGCCATTCTCAAGCAAGATAGCCGATCTAACACATATGCAGGTGCTTCGTCTACCCTCTTGATACCTTGAAATTGTAAGTCATACCTTTGGTTGCTGGTATCATTTGCTTGTTTTTCGAAACTAACTTTACATTAGTCGCATGCAGTGTGACACCGTCGAAGGTGGCCTGAAGGGAAACCAGCTCATTGCAGCTACGTTTAAGAAGGTGTGGTGCAAACACGGCCTACTGGGCTTTTTCCGTGGCTTGCCACTTGGCCTTGTTGGCATGTTTCCTTACGCTGCCATCGATCTGTCCACTTTTGAATACATGAAGCGAGCGTTAATCGCGCGGAAAGCTCGCTTGAACAATTGTCATGAGGACGACGTGCCTCTTAACAACTTCACCACCGGAGCAATTGGCGCTATGAGTGGAGGATTTGGCGCCTCGGTTGTCTATCCACTGAACGTTCTCAGGACGAGAATGCAAGCCCAAGGCACCGTTCTGCATCCCGCGACCTACAACGGGATTGGAGATGTCGCTCGCAAGACAATACAGACCGAAGGGCTGCGTGGCTTTTACAAAGGGCTGACGCCGAATCTTCTTAAGGTCGCACCTGCAGTGTCCATCAGCTATGTCGTTTATGAAAACTCGAAGCGAATGCTTGGGTTGAAATAGACGGCTCATTAGAGCCAGTTTCTGGGGTTTGCTTACTGCTCAGAGACAAATATGGCTGTGTTGACACCGTGGCTTGGAACTTTACCAATTGTTTCGCCATATTCTCGCATTTCCTTCTACTTACCACCGTTTTTAGACATTGCGTTTGAGATACCCATAAAGCCCCCACGGGCACATCGACATCTCTTTAGGGCGATAATGTGGATCTGTCCTTTGTCCACACACCACTCCCCGTCAAGAGATTACCGTCCCTCTTTTTTATTGCTGCACCTTTCTCGCTGAACAGCCCGATGGCTTTGACTATTTCGTTCATCTCACCCATTGCTGGTATCGTGAAATCGGAAAGCTATTTCACTTGGATAGCCAGCTTCCCCACGGATTGGGAGAGTCGCATGACCGGCTTGACTAGCATGGCAGGGCGTCGCGCGACAAAGCATTGCTATGGAGTTTCACATTGCTTCTGTCTTCTGTACATTGAATTTTATGGGGGTGTCGCTGGGGAGGATTCTTTTCCGTTAACCTTTTTCCTAATTGTACGTAGGGTCATACCCCACACCGCACATGTTGCGTCGATACATGAATATAGAGAGATACATAGCTTGCACATTTAGCTGAAATACAACTTTGCATATTTGCAAATTATACAGAACCTTGTAGTAACATTAACATATTCTAAACTGCACCAAAGAACCCCTAAGCCCCCTTAACTGCCCTGACCTCCTCATCCTTGGGCAAGACATCCGGCAGCGGCCCAACTGGCGTAATCGCAAACTGATTAATCTGCTTATGACTCTTCGTATAATGGAACTTGATATGCTCAAAGTTCGTCGTCTCCTTAAAAGCCGGCACATCCCAATACAACTTCCTCATCCAGCGATGGATAGCAGGATACCCGGACCGAATATCGCGAATATTGCACTTGAAGTGCTGCACATAGACAGGATCAAAGCGAATGATGGTCGTGAACAGACGAATGTCCGCCTCCGTGATTTCCGAGCCGAAGAAGTACGGCGCGTTCTTCGAGTCCGCCAGATGAACCTCGATCTTGTCGAGCGAGGAGAATAGCGTCGTGACGGCCTTTTCATATGCTTCTTGTGTGGTGGCGAAGCCGGACTTGTAGACGCCGTTGTTGACGTCGTTGTAGATCCATTCGTTGGAGGAGTCGATCTCGGTGCGGAGGGAGGAGGGGAATAAGTCGACGGATTTGTAGGGTTCCGGGAGGAGGTCGTCGAATTCGTAGTAAAGCATGCGGATGATTTCGGCGCTCTAGTTTCGTCGGAAGATTAACGCTTTGTACTTTGCTTAGTGGGGAAGGATGATGTGCTTACCTCGTTGCTTACGATGCGGTTGGTTTTCTTGTCGAACAGGACTGGAACGGTGAAGCGGCCGGTGTAGTCGGGGTCATTGGAGAAGTAGATTTCGCGCAGGTGAGTGTACTCGTGTAGAGGGTCGGTGGTGACGTTCTGCTCGGGTTGTTGTTCTTCTGCGGTCGCGAAGCGCCAGCCTGTTTTTTGGTTGTGTGAGCTATTTCCTCGGGTTATTCGGTGTGTGAGAGAACAAACCCTTTTCTCCTAGATGCCAGTGGACGGAGGTGTAGGAGATGATATCCTCAAGACCCTTGAGCTTGCGCGTGATCAGAGTCCGGTGGGCTGTGCGAAGAATTGTAGCATTAGTATGTGTAAAGGTAGATCGGGATAAAAAGGAAAGAAACGCACCCCAAGGACAGGCGTAAGAGACGTAGAGGTGATAACGGCCCTTCTCTGGAGGGAATTGAGCGCCAGGCTCTCTGGAGATCCAGTTGCGGAAAACTGATGTCTGGCGCTTGAACTCGCCGGACTTGTCATTGGGATTGACCCAGTCTGTGATCTTGCCACTGTTGCCTGTCTGTATAAGCGTAGATTGTTAGTTTTATGGGATTGGTATTGAGTGGATCAGCTAGTGATAGTAGTGACTTACAGCCATGGTGCGTGCTGGAGTAAAGATAGGCTGTGCGGGGAGGAAGGAGCTTCTGCAGGCGGCTGGACGTGGAAAGCTGGTGATAGATTTGGGTTGCAAGATATGTTGCGAGACTTGTCGAAGTCGATGAAGAGCAGGAAACATTGGGAACAATGAGCAATGGCAAGGAGGGGCAGGGAGCTCGTTCATATACAAAAAGTAGGACGAGGCGATACGAGGCCAGACGCTGACGGATGGGGTGCGGGGAGCCAATGACGTGATGGTTTGCTTACAGCATTGCTTACGGAGGCGTTAATAACGGGGAGTTAAGCCTCCCGCTGACAAACAGCTTGCTCATTCATTAGTTAACTAATTAATCAATTCCTCATCTTTCGCGGAACCACTTAGACTGATTAGTCTGCTATTTAGTCAAGATCATCGAAAAACGCGGAACATAGACAGTAGTATATTCCTAGAAGAATTTAATTGAGAAGATAGAAAAGCTACTTATACTATGGTGTCTAGTGCGTAAACGGACATATCCAGAGAGATCATGGGCCTTTGCTTGCGCTCGTGCCGATCAGCCCCTCTACTTCCTCAGCTTCACCATCACATACGGAATCTCGACATCCTCCTCCGTCTGATCCTCCGCCGTCACCTCGAAGATGACGTTCTTTTGGTGCTCCGGAACTGGCTTCTTGCTGATGTGCTCCACCAACTTGCTCATCCTATATCATAAGCGATTAGTACTGTAATGCTCTCCGTGGTTATCGGGGGTACATACTTCATAGGAAGACGGTCCTTAACCTTTGATGGTCCATAGAAGCTGGCGTACAGGAGACTAACGCCAGAGCTAACCATGCTGATCTCTAATCCCATGTCGGAGAAGTGCTTGAGGAAATCCTGCAGAGGAATATCATCCACCTCGAAGCGATCCCAGATCTGGTCGATCGTAACCTCGCCCTCCTTACCCATGTACTTGCCCTTGGGACTGGCAATAGGCTCACTGAAGCCCAGGAATGGAAGCGCAAGGTTCACGAATCCATTCTTGTACTGCTCAATGTCGTCTTTGCCGTCAATGATCTTGAACAGCTCCAGCGCGACCAACCCAGTCACCAATGCCGTCGTGGTAGCAATGGCAGGAATGATCTTGCCAGCAATGAACTTGGTCTTGTGGCGATCAGCCTGGGGGATATCGTAGTTGTCGGCACGCAGGTTGCTGGCAGCGGTGATGAAGTCGATGTGGTGGTTCGTGTCGTCATCCTTCTCAAATTCAACAGGGTTCAAGCGGAAGCCAGCCAGATCCTTGGGGGATGGAAGGGAGTCCACAAGGCGCTGAATCTCCTGGTTGTCGTCAAAGGACGAGCCAGCGGCCGGAGCGTCCGGGTCAGGATCGTTCTCATTAGCTTGGATCTTGATGCCCGACTTGGGGGTGAATTCTGGAACGATCATGTTGTCGACAACCTTCCTGTAGTAGGCCTTGTCGGCGCCAGGGTTCTTGATGCCGTAGTTGAAAGCGTGGAGATTGGCACCAGCAACGATGAAAGAAAGATGAGTGGGGTTTGCGCTGTCAAACTTCAGCGGAGTGGGCGCACGCTTGGGTCCAGACCAGAAAAGCTGTCCAGAGGATGTCTTGGAGTCACGCGGGAAGTTGTAGAGAAGCTGCTGGATAGCGTTGTTGTACTGCGCCTCGAATTGGTTACGGGCCCAAACGATGCAGTCATCGAAGGTCAAGGGCTTATCGGTGACCAGGAAGTCACGAAGGTGCTCCAGCGTCTGCTTCTCATTACCGGCCTGCTTGAGTGTCTGCTGGATATAGTTTGGCTGGGACAGATACATGTTGACAGCCTCGGGAGGGCCGACAAAGTAGGTCTGGAAGAGGTCCCTGGCCCAAGCGATAGTATGCTCGATCCGGTTGGGGAAACTCTTCAGAGTGCACATAGGGAATGTCTTCTCCGGCGGGTCTTGGGAGCTAGAGTAGGACTCAGTGATGCGAGGCAGGACAACCTGAGTGTTGCCCTTTGTACCGAGAGTTCCACTCTCCAACAGGGGCTTCCTGAAGAAGACGCAACGACGGTCGACATAGGTTCTTGCATCCACGTTGTCCAGGGCATTCGTAACACCGTCCAAGTCTTCCCAGAATTCCTCGTTGAAGACGTGCTCGGTGTCGGGTCCGACACGGTCCCGGAGCGTGACAATCTTACCGTTCAGTTCAGGGTTCATGGCCTGCACAGCAGCGGAAGCGCATTCGCTCTTGAGCTTGCCAACGTCCCGGCTGCGGAACAGGAATTGTCTGTTGAGGTTACTCTTCTCGATCTGATCCATATCGGTCACAATGATCTTCCCCTTAGGACCAGTTCCAAGACCCATCATGGCCCAGTTCTTCAGCGTCTCACACCCAATGGCACCTGCTCCTACGAGGAACTGCCTGACGTTGGCAATCTTGTCCTGGAACTCCTTGCCGAAAACTGCAATTTGACCATCGTACCGGGTGCCGAGAGGCTTACAAGCCTCCTCAGAGCGGGTGATGGAGGTGGGAAGAGACTCCAAAGAGTCAAAGTAGAGCCACTGATTAACAGGGTTGAACTTTCCAGAGACCGCCTTCAAGACTTCTTGCGCCGCAATGCCTCCGAACAAAGCTGCCAGGGGGTTCAGGTCGCCGCGGGCTTGGTAACTCAGCTCCTTGATGAGCTTCTCATCCAGCTCCACCTTCTCTTCGAGGCTCGAAGCCAGTTCATTGGCAATCTTGAACACGTCTTGGGCATCGCTATCATTATGAGGGCGAGGAAGATCGCCATTGTGGCTCTCTGCGAACTTGTGGAGTGCCTGGACACCAATATGCAATTGTTGTGGCCGGTCAAATTTCGCAAAGTCCGAAATGATAAACTCGGGTTTCTTGATCTGTTCGCTAAGGGGAGCGAAATCCATGAACTTAGGCATCTTGACTTGAGAGTAGATACCGCCACTCTGGTATGTTCCCAGATCAGAGACATCACCAATGGAGAAGGTGTAAGGCCCCTTCACAGTAACTTTGCGAGGAGCACAACCGTTGAGACCCTCCATGCCCTTGATCTCGGAGAAAGTCACAAAATCACCGTCCTCCAGGCCGTGACGGGTCTCGTCAAGAGCCGAGACCAAGCCATTCTCGTCGATAGCCGCCACAATTCCACTGACGGGCTCCTCACCTGTCGCATCACCGACAGTGAAGTTCTTACCGAAGTCATTGAAGAGATAACCAAAGAGACCGAAGGTATCCGTGATAGTAAGGTAAATGCCATTCTTGTGGCAGAAGTCGGCAATCGCGAGCTGATCCTTCAAAGGAGTCAAGGTGAGGACAACAGCCTGATAACGCTTCAACTCTTCGAGGTTCTCTGCGATATTGCTGCCCTCATGGACTGTGACGGGGACGTAGGAGTTGAGCTCTGCGACTCTGGGAGCTGTGACCTCGGCACGCGGCTTGCCGACGTCTTGGGGCTGGAGGAAGAACTGGGAGGACAGGTCCGAGATGGCGACAGGGGCAGGATCGTACAATGTGAGGGACTTCACACCGGCAAGGGCGATGTTCTTGGCTGGTAGTAATCAATAATTTGTTCAGATTATATGCAAGATGTTGTACCCACCGATTTCAACACCCAGACCCTTCAATCCGACAACAAGCACGTTTGAAGATCCCATACGCTTCATAGCTTCATGACCGAGGACGTACCTATACACATCACAACCCATCAGTGTCTGTCTAATAGTGGCGAAAGGACATGGAGATAAAACACTTACAGTTGCCGGCTGTACAACGACTCATCAATTTCTCCTTGCTTGATCGCCTCCACAGTCTCCTGTGGGTTATCCACTTGCATCTTTGCGTCCTAAGACTGATCAGTAACTGACAAAGTTGTTTTGGCATCACCCGGGTGATAAGGCATACAGTCATGATCTTCTTCTCCGGCGGAGCTTTGTTGTCGGCAGACGCTCTTCGCTTTCCCAGCTTCGCAGCGTCGCGAACGGGAATTTCGGTGGGAATTGTGAAAACTTAAGATGAAAGTCTTGCCACTTGGAGCAAGACTTTCAGGCAGTATACTCCTGATGTATGGTCAGGTAGGAGGGGTAGGAGCGGTGAGGTACGCGGAAGCGGGCGAGGCGAGATGGCACGAAAGCGATAGCAAAGTACAGACGGACAATATACTCTAGTGCAAGAGCAAGACTTTTGAAGTAGAATGAAAGACAAGGCGCAGGTATCGCAGTATATAATATAGAAAGCGTGAGAGAGGCGGGGAAGAAGGAAGAAGGATGGATCACTAATGCTGCGAGCTCTCTCAGCGGCGACGTAAGAGAGGGACAAGCTGTTGATGGCTGACTCAGCAGGTTTGCCGCCACTCATTGGCTGGAGCCCCGCGGACACGCCCAGCAGCGAGTCGGCAACTCCCATTAAGTCAGTGACAATGAGCTCCAGAGCAGTAGAAGCGGCGGTGATGAGGCATCTTCCCTGGAGGCGCTCGGATCCAGATGAGATTGGCCCGGATAAAGCCTGGCCTCAATAGTGCTAACATTGATGTCTGACAGTCATCTAGATTCAATCCTGAGCCATTCTTTCTACGCCGCATCTCTTGCGCGACGCGCCGCGGCTTTACTGCGTTGAACAACGCGGTGACCCGTGCCTTTCCTTTTAGAGTGGCTTGTTCTAGGGTAACTTCTTCACATGTGTCGATACGAACTTCTTGGATGTGGACTTCTATACTGGCAGCGTCATAAAACCAGAAAAGATAAGGATCATTCCTTGAGGTTTGTGCTTTACCCTCGTGCTTTTGGGCCTGTCTAGATATCTGACTTTATCGTCTCCAGAGAGATCCGCGCACAATGCTCCACGAGATCCTCCTCTCCCTCTCGGGTCAGCCATCGCCTCTTTTCAATCCAGAGACTGAAGGAGGTGCTATCTCTGAAGATGCCTTTCCCTTGGTTTCCCCTCCGGAGAAAGCCCTCCTCGCCTCTCTTGCCCATCTGAGCCGCCTCCATACCGACCTACGAACACATACTGCCTTAATTTCTTCGTCCCACCCTTCTGTTATCTGTCGTGCAGTCTCGACGGCGATCAGTTCACGTCACCTGGGTGAATTCCAGAGGAAAATCTTAGAAGTGGAGAAATCGATTCTGGTTGAGGATAGTGGATACGTGGGCGGTTACGGAATTGTGCCATTGTCGACGATTGTTGGCGAATTTTCTCCATGGACGCGACGATTGGAATGGCTGTGGGAGACCGTAAGGTTAATATGGCCCATATACTCGCGGAATAAAGACCAGCTTTGCACTGGCGTGGCTCTGATCGATCACCTTCGGGCGGAAACGCAAACAGGGTACGTTGACCTGAAAGACATAGCTTTGCATTTGGTTGGTATTGCAGAGACTGCTTGGATGAGGCAATTGTCCCCCTGGCTGCTGTACGGAAATCTCCCCATCCTCGGTGGGTCCGACTTCTTCATACAACGCGAAAATGCAAGCCATGATCGGCCGCCCACTGCCACGCAGTTCATCGTGCATTCAGAGCTCCTGCCTCAGTTTGTAACAGCTCATACGGCCTCATCTATCTTATTCATCGGGAAGACGTTGAATCTCATTAGAGCAAAGCGCAATGCACCTGCTGCGAACCCCTCTGCTGGGTTATCGACTACTTCGGTCACACTACACACGGAGCATATAGAACAGCTTGCTGCATTGAAATCACCTATATCAGCGTCGAGACTGTCAAGTGCTGTGAATGCCATCCGGCTCTCTCTGTCGCAAAGCACGCTCTCCAAGATTTTCCCATTACCCAAGGTCCTCGAAGTCCTCTCGGTTCTCCATGATTTTCTGTTACTCCGACGGGGCGAATTTGCGACGGCATTGGTATCTCATGCTGATACCCGCATTCAAGAGAGGTATCGGAAACACGGGCATTCAGCCTCCAGGTATAAAACTTTAGAAGATCTAAAGGGCCTTTCTATTAAGGAAGGAGATGTAGTGACTGCTCTGTCACAAACGCTCTCAGAGCTCTACTCTCTGCAAACAGAAGACGATCCCGCAGACGATGAACTCGATTTAGCAAAGGAGCTGCTTCGGCTGTCGATCAAGCAGGATGTGGATAACAACCCCGCGCTGTCTCCCGACATTGCTGGATCAGATATGAATGCCAGAATTTCGGACGTCGCTTTCGACGACCTTCTTTTCCCCACTCCAACATGTCTTTCGGTCCACGTCCGCTCGCCCCTCGATTTGTTTCTTTCCGCCTCTGATATATCGGTCTACTCGAAGATTCACTCTTACATTCTCGGTATCCGACGCGCCCAGATGCATTTGGGCGACTTGTGGAAGCATACATTCCTTCGAAAGATCCATCCGTCTCCATGGGGTCCGCCTCGCAGCAGCACCCCTTACGGCCAGAGTAGACTCAACCTCGGCAGACAAAGAGACAACATCAGGACTCGGCAGATGAGGCCAATCTGGGCAACGAGCAGTGCCTCCCTCTTTGTACTGTCAGAAATAGGAAGCTACTTCCAGGGAGAAGTTCTCAATGGCAACTGGCAACATTTTCGAGAATGGATCGAAGGTGGATCTCCAACAACGGGCTCACGGCCTGGAACCGCTTCCTCCGCTAATAGTAAGCGCACCGATAATTTTCAGGGCATTGACGACCCGGCCGATTCTGGTTCCGGAGGTGATAGTCAGACGGTCCAACGGCATGACCCTGAAACATTGACCGCGGCGCATCGTCGCTATCTCTTTTCTCTTGTTGAATCGCTTTTCCTCACGGACATACCCTTTACCAAAGCCCTCCGATCCTTACTGACGAGTGTGGAACACTTTATTGCGCTAGTAGTTCGACTGGAAAGCATACAGCGCAACATGGACCTTGAGACCGATGAGGGCGTTGTCGATGCTTTAGTAGACTATGCAGGGGAAGAGAGGGGGGTATGGCAATCACTCGGTGTTGCGCGGGCTAGTGTCGAAGCAGGAATCAAGGATGCTGTGGCACGCCTGCGAGACATTGATGACAGCCGATCTGGAGAGGGGCGGCAGATGCTTGATTTTGTGAGGGACTCTCGTGAAAACGGGTCGCTTCAAGCCAATGGCTCTGCGACCGAGCCCGGCTCTTTCCACTATGTGCCTCGGAAAGCGGCTGGTGTTGACCGTCTGCTCATGAAGCTGGAATTCGGCAATGCTAATGGAGGCATGGGACTTGGAGTCACTGCTGCAGGTACTTTCGGTGAAATGGCATAATTAGAAGGCTGTTCATTGCTGGCACATTGCATATAGGTGGTCGAGCCGTGGCTGGCTAATGAGCAGCGAAGACAGATTATGACTGTCATGTCACGTTATGATTTATGAATAGCATGGCTTTACGGTGTAAGAAAGTGGCTATGGATAGGCTTCTGTCTGTAATGTGTTCTGTTCTAGGCCCATGTGCTCTGCCAGGAGGAACGTGACCTCGGGCGAGATCTGCTTGCCTATTGCCGCCAGTGCGTAAACATACGTACTTAGTTCCACGCGTCCTCTTCCTCCCAAGCAAAGGCGCCCAAAGACACCCAATTCCCTGCAGTTATGCTCATCGTCCAAGTGTGGTTGGGCTTTGAGATTCATCTAAATTGGAGGGATTTCCAAATTATCAATTAACATTAACCGATCTTGCCGCATTGACAGGATGCTACAATCTACTTCACGGGGCTTCCAATCAATCAATAGACTCGAAGATATGCTTCCGGATGGGCGGACTCCCTGGTCTCATTGAATAGAGAGAATCAAGCACTAATCCCAGCTGACATGCTAGTTCATGCTTACATGCATAATTAGCATCGAATGGAGATGCCGGAGGTCTCAATCTTGTCCAGGCTCAGGGCCAGTTGTGCAAAGATGAAACGAAGGTCGCCCATCTCGACGGTCGGTGCAGTCTAGACTGCCTGCAGGATCGCGACAGCTGTTCTCCGCCCAGTTTATTGATAAACAAACGTGAAAAGTCTGACGATGCACATGATCAGTGTTCGGTCCTATCACGGATTACCCAAATAGGAAAGTCACTCTGGCCGGTACGGAAGAGGAGGATTGTTTACTTTTCTCTCCTTTGGTCTACGTTGGGATTCTCGCGCCATTCCCGTCCCCCGAGTCCTGGTCTTGGCTCTTACCCCTGTCCTGCACATACGACTGCCACTGGACTTTTGTCTCGCAAAAGATTGGATCGAATGCTAATTGTGTAAGGGGGCAAGAGGTGAAAACAAAAAGAGACAGAAAGGGTTCGAATATGGGGGAGGCAGGGCATCTTGGCAGATCTCGAGGAATCTGCATCCTGGAATGCTCCGATCGTTGGACAATGATATGCCGTCGGAGTCATCCATGGTACAGTCCCGGGTTGTCATTATTCGGAAGCTTCGTGCGATAGTGGCAAAAGTACCATCCTTACGCCCTCCCTGGGTCATGTACGGGGTGCGGAGTATGAGAGTTCTGGGGGGACAACCGGCAACTCGAGAGCCGCCAGCAGAGAAAGGGGGGAAGCCGGCATAACCTATCGGCGAATTTTGAGGCCACCGACATTTGGGATTATGAATGATGAACCTCTCATGTGCCATACTTGCTTATTCTCAAACCCGCCCAAAGCGTGGGGAAGATCACCGCCGCACTGGGGAGAAAATCTAGAAGGATGAATGACCCCATGAAAATCGGGTCCGATGCAGCAAGGATACCCGGAAAGGGCAGCCCTTCAACTCCCGGATCTCACTAAAAAGTACTGTACTCTTATCTTCCTGCAGGATGGGGCGCGGATGCCGTGGAGACGGTTCCATGCTGCGAGGGCAGATTAATTACACCACCACTTCGATGCCGAGACCGTTATTGGAGGGTTCCATTCCATGGAAGCCTTCGGAGCAGGAAGCCGGGGAGAGCTCTACCCTGCTTTCGCACGCTACCTCTTGCACCACCATTACCATCCTTCTCTGTTTAGAACGGCTCAGACATCCGAGGAATCATTTTCCGTAGAAACAATTCTCTGATTCACTGAGTGGCCAATATAGGAGTTATTCGCATGAGTCGCTGATGGAGCTGTCCTGACCGCTATTGCGGCGGCGTTGGTTCCAATCTGATCCAGCAGCTCGGTCTCCCCGTACACGGGAATCCCGTTCTGGTGGGCCATTCCACTTTAATGAATGATTGATCGTCATCCCTCGATCAAATGATCAGGGTGACTTGCCGGGTGCAGCAACCAAGCAATGAGAGAAGTCACGATACCTGCTTCAGACACTACCATTCCCCCCTATTGCTCTGTTATGCGTCCGATGCCTGCCTTTCCGCCCTGCGTCGCCCTGTGGCAAGCTTTCCTGGCCATAGCTTATGCATGGACCAGCCCTGGTACCACGGATGGTCTTGGGCGGGGGTGTGGTCTGGGTCTTGAAGTCATCGTGAAAGCAGCTCTAGAATCTGACGATGGACCCATCAAGGCAATCACGCGGCCATCATATTTTTCGAATCCTTCTATTTTCGGATGTCTTGTGCGACAGTTGGGAGATATGCGGTTTCGACGGGTCGTTGTCCGTTGGTCTTCTCCAGGTCTATAAACCCCAGCTTCCCTACCAGAACAATGGTAGTCGACGATATTCTCTATAGCCATCGCGCCCCTGTGGTAGCCAAAGACCCTTTGCTTTGCGTGCACAGTTGATTCCATTCCGTTTTCGTCCTTTATACCTTAATCTTTAATCTACCTAATCTTGCACGCACCATTGCCATGCGTTCTGTATTGTGCCGGTCGCTCTCGGCCATGGCCCCAGCCCGGTCTTGGGCACCATCTGCCATGATTCAGCCCATGTCGCAGCGGCTGCACTCCACAGGGTCAGGCTCACATGGCTCACACCACATTCAAACCCGGATACCGTCGTTGAAAGGCGAGCCCAAGCAGGGACACCGGTTCCGCGAGTTTGACCTCGACGACCGTGTCTTCGCCATCACTGGTGGTGGACGAGGACTCGGATTGGCGATGGCTGAAGCTTTGATGGAGGCTGGTGCGAAAGGTAAGATTCCAAGTATCTCCGAAGCCAAATTCTTGCGTTGAACCGATTCCTAACCTAAATTTTCGTATACAGTCTACTGCTTGGATCGACTTGAGTCTCCTCACCCCGACTTCATCGCCGCTCAAGAGCATGCCGAGAAGAACTACGGTGGCAGCCTGGAGTACCACCGTATTGATGTCCGGGATGAGTCTGAAGTGAACGACTGCTTCGCGGAAATCGCAGGCAAGAACCGGCGACTAGATGGCATGATTGCCGCCGCAGGAATCAACCACCTGCAGAGCGCCCTGGAACACTCGCAGGTGGCTCTTAACGAAGTTATGCAAATCAATTTCAATGGAGTCTTCAACTCGGCCACTGCTGCTGCGCGGCAGATGTTCAACTACCAACAGAAGGGTTCTATCCTTCTCGTTGCTAGCATGAGCGGTCTGATTGCCAACAAGGGCATGACTTCTCCCGTCTACAACGCCTCCAAGGCAGCTGTGATCCAGCTGTCCCGATCCCTTGCCATGGAATGGGGCCGTCACGGTATCCGTGTGAACAGCCTGTGCCCCGGCCATATCATCACCCCAATGGTGGAACAGGTGTTCCAGCAAAACCCTGCGTCCCGAGCTGTCTGGGAAGCCGAGAATATGCTCGGACGTCTTGCCTACCCGGAGGAATTCCGGGGTGCTGCTCTCTTCGCTCTGAGTGATGCGAGCAGCTTCATGACCGGTAGCACCATGCTCATCGACGGTGGCCACACTGCATGGTAAACACACACTTCACTCTGTCAATGATCACCAAAAAAAAAATGCTACTACCGGAGTTGGCAATGAATACATAACACGTTGGGAAATGGTATTTAGAGAGGGTCCGGGGAGGAGTTCTATAAATAGCCTTGTGGAAGGGATGAGCATTTCAAAAGTCGCCTATTATGGATGATTCTTTTTTTTTTGGGGAAAGGGGAGACATACCCGTGGCTTCTTTTTAATGTATCATACATACGGTTTCTTATCTTCATGGCCTCATCAGCTTTTTCTTGTTGCATTCTTTGGTTACGAGGGGTTACAAGCGCGTCAAATAACTGATTTGGTTTAATGGGATGATCTGATAGCAGTTTGGGTCGAAGGATTTCGAAAGAATACGATGGACTTCAGCCACCACTGAGAGCACTATAACCTACCGAATTGTTGATAAATTGATGATTCTATCATAGTCCGAGCATGCCGGTATCCTTCTATCTAACCTAACCAGTTATTAGATTCCCTCCATACCCTGTCACTATCCAACCCACCAATAATCTCATCAACTTAAGATAAATACCAAATCACCAAATCTCAAGAACTCTACTACGTACAATCCAACCCTCTACAAAATATACGTAAACTTCTCCCTCCCCCCACTATCACCACCACCACCCCTCTCACCAATATACCCCATAAGCACCTCCCTCTCCTCCCCACCCCCCTCCTCCAACTCAATCCCATCCTCATCCCCATCATCCCCCTTCCCCATCTCCCTTCCCCTCATCTCCCTCCCCAGCAACCATCTCAACAACCCCGCCAACGCCGCCACAAGTACCATAAACCCCGCGCAGACCGCCATCCCGGGAGACATACCACGGCCCCTGACTCGCCGGATACAGCCTCGTGCCGAGCAGCGGCCCGCACTGCCCAATGACATTCAGCAGGGCCACGCTGGCGCCCTTCCCCTCGTTCGCGGGCCGGTTGTCCATGGTCCAGGTGATGATTAGCGTGATGGCGGAGAAGAACCCCGATGTGGCGGGGTAGACGGCCAGGTAGCGAATTGCGACGTGGATGGGAGATGGGAGGGAGGAGTGGAAATGCCCCGCCAGGGCGATTGCGGCGTAGGCGGTTGCGGACAAGAGCGCGTGGAAGATGAGGTAGGGGCTGCGCGTGCGTGTGCGGTCCGAGAGGTGGGATGTTAAGAGGACGGTTAGGAAGGAGAGGAGGTACGGTGGGGCGGAGAGGGCTTGGGATGTTAGGGAGCTGTAGCCCATGCTGTTTTGGTTTTGTTAGTTTTTTGGGGGAGTATTTGGGGGAAGGGGTAAGTATTCACTCTTGGATTATAGTGGGAAGGAAGACAGGCATGGAGCTGAAGGCGACGTTGCAGCTGAAGAACATGAACTGTGTTGTTGGATATTAGTTGGGGCAGAGGAGAGGGGGGAAGAGATGGAGGGTAGCTCACGGCTGTGATGTAGGATTTGGGATCGGCGAGGGTCTTCTTGACTTCTTTCCAGTTGAAGGATTTGCGTTGCTGCGATTGCTGCTGATGTGGTCTGTGGTTTGGTTTGAGCTCGTCCATGCGGAGCTGTGCGATTGCCCGCTGCCGGGGGTTCAGGAATGAGGCGCTGCCTGGTGTATCGGGGATGACTACCCAGGCGAAGACGGCGACGATGATGCTGGGGAACCCTTCGACTAGGAAGAGGGTACGCCAGGGAGCGATTGGGCCGTTGTCGCTCACGCGGACAATGAGCCAGGCTAGGCTGCTGGCGAAGGATGAGGCGAGGGGAGCAGCGGAGATGAAGAGGCCGTTTCGGAAGGCGAGCTCTTCGCGCTTGTAGAAGAGTGAAAGATAGAAGGGCACGCCAGGGCCGAATGCTGCTTCGGTGATGCCGAGAGCTGCTCGAAGGAAGACGAGGGCTCCGAATGAAGTAGCGAGCGATTGTAAAGATGCGACGAGGCCCCAGCCGCAGACGCAGAGAGCGATGTAGATGTGCGGTGGGACGACTTTGTACATGAGCGTCATCCATTCGAAGAGGATGTAGGTGATGTAGAAGGCCGTGAGGAGCCATTCATATTGCGATGACGAGAGATGCAGGTCGTCTGCGAGACCGGCGATTTTGGCATTTCCAATGTCTGGCTTAGTGTTAGCTGATATCAATCTTATGATGGGTAACGTGTGGTTTTATAGAAGGTCTTGGCTGCGATAGTGGACAAACCACGTACTTGAGCGATCTAGAAACGAAAGCAGATAGAGGAGAGCTAGAAAAGGGACCAATTTGCGATCGAATTGCTTGATGACCCCCTTCTCTTCCTCTTTTGTGTACTTTGGCATGCTAGTTCTACTACTCGAAAGGGGCTGCACATCTTCGTAGGATTCATATCCTTCATCGAACCCGTCGTCAGTAAACGACTCCCCGTCTGAGCTGAAGGCTGTCTGAACTCTCAGGGACCCAGCCGTTGGTCGATTTGGATTGGGAGAACCATCATTCTCGGAGCGATCAGAGACAGGCGTATACTGAGGGGTAGACGATGATCCACTGGAGACGGAGATGGCCTCGGTCGGCCCGGGGCGCAAGGAGGCCATCTTTGGTGGATTGCGAGGGGTTAGGGTGGTTTAGAAAATCATGCCTCCTGAAAGCCTAACGACCCGACCACTACCGGAAATGCTGGTCGGGATTGACTGCTTTGACTTAAAAGCGATGGAATTGTTCTACTCGGAGGTTTACGTACACGCGATGGAGCAAGTCAACATCGAGAAGCAGTTCGGGGGCACGTGGTGGCCGCTAAAGCAGCGATTTGCGCCAAGCCTTCATGTCCATTTCATTAACTACAAAGTACTAGCCGGTTAACTATCATACAGCAACATTCCACCCGTCTCTCCGTCCCTTAGAATTTCCCGCTTTGCCATGCTGCAATTCAATTCATTCCCCAGAATACATATTGTAAACAGGATAACGCCCATCCAATGCACCGAGGTTAGAAACGCTTCAAAACGCCAGCAACTAAACCAACCCTCAATGATCGAGCAACAGCAGCCTTTCCACACTGCCATCACTTATGACCAGGACGATAGGAGTCAACCTCGCGATATCGGGGACGGCGTCTTCTCCTGTTCTTAGAAGGATGGTTGGGTGTTGACGCTGCTGCCTGAGGCTGGTCGAAGTGACGACCCCGGCCCGCCAACTGAGCAGCTTTGCACTTGGCGCGTTCAAACGAGAATTCGATATCGGGAATCAGGGGATGGTCTGACATGTCATTAACTCGCAGAAAGTCAAGCGTAGTCTCAGCTGTATCGCGGAAGTATCTGGCCAAGCCGACATCAATTTCTTCGGGATTCTTCTTGTTGTATTCCGCCTTGGCCTTTTCATAGATCCGAAGCAGTCGTTCCACTTGCTCGCGGCGACGGATTTCCTCAAGGGTCGGAGGTGGCCGTGGAGGAAGTATGTGCTGCTGTCTCCGAGGATGCTCGTGTCCTTGGACATAAGTATTGACCGCTTGTTCGGGACTTGAGTGGGGTTGCTGTTCTGCAGCTGTAGTTCTGTCATTGGTGCTGTTGGATACACTTTCTGCGAAGCTAGTGAGAATTGTCCATAGAAGGAATGCTAAATGAAAGGTAGAAGGGCAAAGGTCACCTCCGGTCACGGTGTTTTGGAGCATGTCATACTCATGCAAACCTTGTTTAGCATGGGTGATGGGAGAAAAGGTACAGATCCCAAGATATTCGGCCAGGTATAGTTCGAGAGCTCCGATGTCTTGGGTATCATGGCCATTACCGGACAAAATCATCAGAGCGTTGTCAAAGACGGTAATCTCTCCGTCTTCGGGATTCTGAGACCGGTGTCTCACGAGCGATGCCTGGCGTTGAATTGCGTTGACGAGAGAGTTCAGACTCTCTGGGTCCTGAAGGATGGCATGCAAAACAGCATTGGGCTCAATGATGCGGTCATACTTCCTTACTAGCTCGTCTACTTTGCGCTGGAATGGCTCGGGCATGTGGCCATCGCGACTGGCCATGGTTGCTGCTTTTAGCGATTTTATGTATCGGTAATGGATCAGAGCAGGACTGCTTGGATAGAGAACGGTAAAAGGATAGTTCTCGATGACAATGAACGTTTATGGGGATGCACACTCGCTGATAAAAAGAGAAAAGGTGTACTGAGGATTTCAGAGGGTCAGGGGGAAGTAAGAATGAGAGATATCGGATCTGTTCCGCACAACATAAACACTGAGAAATGTTTACAGATAGTGAATCGTAGCGCGGGTCAGCCTCGTACGGCAGATTCGTGTTTGAACTGACACATAGGCAGTGCACAGTGCTGCAGAGTCACAGCTTGAGTGGGCTCATTGAAGGGTGCAAACTCAACAACTGATCACAAAAGGCTATAGAAAATGTGCCAGACCACGATGTGGAACAGGAAGGAGTAGAAATAACGGGCAAGCGACGAAAAGAACAATGATTATCATTAAGTAGTAGGCATACAAACTGTTCAGCTAAGGACATGTCATACTGCATATATGGCATAGGTTGCCTTCACGCATCATTTTGCATCACGGAAACACTGTCACATCACTCATAGCACATTATTAGTATCTCACCAAGCATACCAGGGACTTAGTTGACCTTGTCCCACAGCTTCTTCACCTCGTCCACAAGCACCGAGACCTTGCTGCCCTCTCCTTCCTGGGCGCAGTCTCGCCAGACTCCACCATCCCGAACGCACCAGGTAGATTCATTCAGGCGCAGAGTACAGCTGGTCCTGACGTTGAGCTTGTCACTATGTAATGCACTCTGGCGCAACAGAGCAATGCCACTAAGCGGTGTCTTCTCGTCGCTATCATCATCGTCGTCAAGGTCATCATATTCTCGACTGGCACACTTGTTAAGAGCCTCAAAGTCGATACCATGCTCCAAGGCACATCCCTGAACCAGGTCGCGCTTCGGAATGTCGGGATACGAGCTGATAAGGCAGTTGGCGAACCCAAGCGACCGGATTGTTGGAGTACGAGCATCCTTGGAGCACATGGCACCGGACTCAGGCGGGAAAGGCAGATTAGCTGCACAGAGGATGAGCATGTCACCGATGCATTCGGTGGGACCGTGCATGCATTGGATCTCTGATGACTTGTTGGATACTCTGGGCACAGTGTCAGTTTTCCGAGCTAGAAGGTCGAAAGGACAGGAAGTCTACATACGCGGCGATGAAAGACAGCTTGAAGTCGACTTTATCGCTGATCTGCTCCATAGCAGGAATGACAAGCTGTTGGAGACAATCCCGAGCGTCGGGGCATTTACTCATGACATGAGCCTCCAGGGGAATTCTGTTACTCGAGGCTAGGCGGCTCCCGTCCAGGGTGGACAGTTCATGCAGTGGACCATTCATCAACGGAGCTTCCTCCCTGCCCAAGTCAGGGGGAAATGAAACATCATGCTGTCCTCTCCATCTATGGCACGAAAAGAGCTTAAAGCCGGAAATGGAGATAGGGGTCCATGATAAAGCTAGGAAGGCGATGGTGATGAGCCCCAGACATGCGGCCAGCCGAGTAACGACCCGGTCGCGACGGGTGCTGATCGGGCGCGCCACGGACGACTCGGAGAGGTCGACATAGCCGGAAGTGTCGGCTTTGGATTGAGTTGGGAGTTTTTCCATATTGGCTACTACCCGCTACTTAAACGGTAGTAATGGAAGGTTGATAAAGGTTGGTGAAGGGGGAGGATGATGATGATGGAAAAAAGTGAGACCAGAGGTGAATGTGGGGAGATCGCGATTCGATCCAGCGATGCCATTCGGCGGGGGTTTCCGAGAGCAACCCAGCATTTCGCCCTCTCGTTACACTGAGAATCGCTTACTCCCCGGTCAGCCCAAACAGCCCTGCTAGGCTGAGAGCTTCATCCACAGAAGCGACCGTTGGCTGATAGGCTCTAATCGACTCTTTGGAGTATCCTTTCTTAGCTGACTGGTGATGTCTACCGTGGGCTAGTACTCACTCACTCCGATCTTTTCCTACATTGGACTGCCGTCGAAGAATCATGCATGGCCCGAGGTTGCATCATTCCTTGAGTCTAATTAACTAACTTGAAGACTACTCCGCTTCTCCCATACATGCTGCTCCAACCTGCTTAGCAGACCAGACGTAGCATCTGCGAAAGTGAATCTGCCCTGCTGTGGACCATGCTACCCCGGCTTTGAATTATCACTACGGAGTAGTTTGGCCTCTATCCCAGCCTTCAACGCTCCACAGCCAATCAGATCAAAGAGGAGGAATATATGATATGGATTGTGTACGAATCATGCTTGCTGGCACTGTTAAGATGCAAGCATCAATGCTTGGCATCGGCTAGCTTGGTGACTAGGGTGCATCTGTAGCGTCGCGATGGTTTGTACTCACTACAATCACGGCCTTGTATGGTACTCTTGCAGCATCGGCCAGCGTTTGCTTGACGGATAGTCGGTCTGCTCGCGAGCATTAGTCGCATTGTAATGGGCAGCATAGGGCAATACATCCGAGAGCGCATGATATCTGCAACCCTCCAAGCGCTACCGAAAGGTCTATCACATGGCGTGATTGTTCGCTAGTGACAGACTAATATCCTTGGATAGATTGTAGATAGGGACATAGAATAACCGGTGAACGGCAACTTGTGGCCTATCATTAGCGCTTGCGCAGGCTTTATGCCAGCCGATTTGCAAAGGGTTAGTACTCGGAAGACTCCACTTGACTAGCACTCACACTTTACGGAGTAGGCACCCAAAAGAGCTTCTTCTGAATGTAGTTTCGACGATCACAATACCAGAAATGACTCGAAGGTGAGGGTTTGAGTGTTTCCAGTATTTCCCATGTCCTCCATTGCGAAGAATGGTCGTAAGGCGGAGCTAGAGGTCCTAGGGATGACCTCTAATGCCAAACTTCTGCTGTTGCAGGGTCCGCTGGTCCCTACACTACCCCTATCAAGCAGATCCCAGAGGCGTCTGCGCGCTGGACATCTCGGGAGTTCCGCACTCCGCAGGCTATTTTTCCCTGCTCCGCCGTCACTCAACGGCTCTCCGACCTCGGAGTCTAGTGTCTGACATTGACCCTAGATGACGGTTACAGCAGATGCTGAGTCCAGACACCGTCTGCGAAGGTTCGATCCGCCCAATAGCCTAATAAGCCAGGAATTCGTGCTTACGTTTGTAGGTTTGCTACACGATGCTAGCGAGAATCTTCCAAAAGGAGCTTGTTGACAGGACAGCCGGTCATGGGTACCATCTTCATCTCAGGTTCCACAGCAATCTCACCATCATCATGGGAATTAGGAGCATGAGAATTTAGAAAGGTCGTGATGATGAATCTGGACTCTGTACACCGTGAACAGACGATCTTATGGTTTCTTGACAGTAAAGAGTCAGTTGATGAAGGTGTGGCTGGAATACGGGGGCCTGATTGCACTTAGCTTTCCAAAACAACGGTTGAGCCGGAGAGGCAGAACGGCACTTCGTGTGCAAAATACCACAGCGTCCAGGCAAGCGAAGAGGCCGAAGCACAGTTCCCTCTTACGCTTCTTTATCCACCCACACGATGGTAACAGCGAATGGGAGGAATGGAAGACAGCGCCCTGAATAGACTAAGTTGTGAGAGCCACCTGGGTTCTGACTCGACGGGCGTTGATGCTCAGTCTGTGCATCACAGATGGAGGTATCGCCCCACTTCCCACCACATGGTTTGTTTGGCTCCAAAATCGTTTATCTTAGCAATTAATTTCTTGCCTCTGGACACTTGATTGCTTTCTGACATTTGTGTAAAAGACAGTTGCGTTGTTTACTAGTTGCTGCATTTGAGCAGTCTTGTCTTTTTTTTTTCCCCCCGGAAGTCGACTAAATGTCCCTACTACACACCGGGATGAGGAAATATCGAAAGAAAACCAAGAGCTGAATAATAGGAATAGAACTGGGTAACTAACTGTTAGCACGGAGCAGTCGAGGGGAGACTAGCAAGCGGAAGGAGGAGAGCGAGAGAGAATTAATTCCCTGAAAAGGAAGAATGATTAATCTAGGAAGATGGGGAACAGCACCATTGTTCTCCATGTTGACTTGCACTAAAGTAGCGGCGTCACCGATAAGAAAGGAAGGGAGAGAGAAGAGGAGGAGAAGGTGACGTTGGTCAATCAATTGGGGGAACAGAAAGAAGAAGGTAAAGCCGCTGCCCCGGAGAGGAAAAGACCACGACGAAGACAAGCACGAGTAAACAAGCAGAAAAATCCCATCATCATCATCAATCAATCAATCAATGGGGGGGAAGCAGGATGCGCGATTGAATCTCTGGTTCTACCTTGAGGGACCGAAATGGGGCCCCGATCGAGCCATCCGACGAATCCATGGTAGTCGACTGACCGGCCAGCGTCACATCGTCTGGTGTCGATGGTCGCATTCTGCTCCATCCCAGCGGCTCTGGAGCTTGCCTTTGTAACTTAGCAGTAACTTAGGAGTAACTAAGTAGTAACTAGCCTCGTCCCTCTTTGTGACCTCCCCCCAAATACACACCTCTTCTCTACTTTCCCCCCCGTTCTCGCCCTCACCCTCCCTCTCTGTCTCTCACTCTCACTCTCTCCCCTCATCGCTTTTCTTTCCCGTGTGTGGAGACCCGGCAATGCTTTCCTCTTATCCACCGGCTGGTCCAGTTGTTACTTTTCGTCGTAATGATCATAATACTTAATTGATGGGTTCCGCCATTCTTCCGTCGATCCCCGTCCCTTTCATCCTTATGAAGCATACCTCCCAATGAATTTTTGATTGATCGATAAAATTTTTAATTTGATTTTTCTTTTTCTTTTTTATTTGATTAGCTCTCCTACTATTTTATTATCGTCTACGACCCTCGGCTCAGCCTTATTCTAACTTCGGGGCTTGGAACGAGCATAACTGCGGGATCTCCACCAGCACAGTCTTCTTGGTTGTATGTCATTGTCCGTGTCATTGTTACTTGCGCTCCCACCCCCTCCCCTCTTCCCTCCCCTTCCGAGATAATCATGGTCCCCCTGCTCTTTGGGTGCATTACCCAATGTCTCCCTGCATTAGGATCGTCACCGTTGTACCATTCTTAGCATTTCTGTGACTCCATGATCCTATTTGCAAGACACGCGTCACTGCAGTCGACAATGTTGAGAACCGACCATCAGTTGTTCATCATTGTATGTAACCTTGAGACTGACCATCACACTCGTCACTGTATAGGTTTACCTGCAAGATAACACCTCCCCTCCCTCATTCCCTCCCCTGAACACCTCATCGCTCCTGGCCTGGCCTCGACGGAAGTGAATCCTCATTAAGTGAACACCCCTCCCATTCAGGTTCACTTCCTGGTTATCCTTTCCCCATCGTGGGATCCTCGGTTCGCATGCACCTTATCACCGTCCAAACCTGGATCCTCATTCTTGATCTCCCCCACATCCCGTCCTACCTTCGCTTCAAAACATTCCGCAGGGGCGAGTAGATAAAGCCAATCCTTGGGCACTTCCTTCCGCCGACTTACCGCTCCGTTGTACAAAAATACCTCCGTTTGCTGGCTGCAAGTCACACGGGCCGACTGCTTGCCTATCTCGCCGTTGGGCTTAGCCTCTTCCACATCATGGCACCAATCAATGCAATGGATCTTGGTACAGGCAGGGATGATGAGCACGAACATCTACACGAAGAGCCGGTGGAGGATGACGAAGAGGACAGCGCTGACCTGGACCCTTCGCAAAAAGAGTATCTCGAGCGCCAGCGCATGCTTGACGAATACCTGTCACCTATAGCTTTGGATGAAGCGATATTGTACAAACTTGCGCGCCGGTTTTCTACTGTATACCGGGATTTGGCCCTTCATTCGAAGGAGCAGTTCTTACCGACACCGGTGACTAGGTTACCTTCTGGCTTGGAGACAGGCCGATACCTGGCCATTGATGTTGGTGGGACCAATCTGCGGGTTGCATTTATCGAACTACTGGGGGAGGCTACAGAGTCAGACACACGTTCCACAGACGCGTCGGAAAGATCGCGGGACACAATTCGTAGGGCGCAGAGACAGCGGGTCAGGCGGACTCTCGAGCGTGCATGGCCTATACAAGAGCATCTAAAGATGGACAAGGCAGAGGACCTGTTTTCTTGGATTGGAGATTGCATTGCGGAAGTGGTGGCGGAAAGCCTGACATCTGAATCCACCAAAGGCCATGTTCCAGAGGAATTGGAAATGGGAATTACCTTTAGTTTCCCAATAATGTGAGTGGCTTTACCCGCTGGGGTCAACCTACGCGGGCAGCAACCTATTGCTACAACTCGTGGCTTGCATCTGCTGACCAATTACAGGCAAGAATCCCTTACGGAGGCTACTCTGATGCCAATGGGCAAAGGATTCGCCATCACGTCAGACCTTGACTTGCGCAAGATCCTCCTGAGTGGGTATGAGAAACATACAAGGCGCCTAGATAATGAGTTCGAGCCTTCAAGTAAACGGCGGAAGCTCTTCGAACTCCCAAAGCTCAAAATAGCAGCTATCACCAACGACACAGTTGCTACCCTTGCTTCCCTTGCTTATGCTGTCAAATCCCTGCCCAATAGTCGAGTCGCTATGGGCATTATTGTGGGTACCGGCTGCAATGCCACAATTCCAATGAATTTGAATATGCTCCATGAGTCGAAGGCGAAGCATGTGAAATCAAAGGACCCGCAAGCAGAGGAGACGGTCGTGAACACTGAATGGACGATCGCTGGTGCTGACCCGCCATTGAAAGAGCTCAACATCATAACAAAATGGGATGTGGAACTCGATAGGGCGTGTGCGCGACCCGGATTCCAGCCTTTCGAATACTTGACGGGTGGTCGGTACATCGGAGAGCTCATCCGGCTCATCCTATACGACTATCTTACCAATGTTAGTGGACTGTCTAAGAAAGTATTGCCCGCGACACTCATACAGGAGTATGCCCTGACGACAACTTACGTCTCGGATAATGTTGCCCGTGCTCGGTCGGACCAGGAGCTTGCCGATGAACTCTCACGCTCCATGCCTCCGCCAGAGAATAGCGAGTGGCATTGGGATGCTGTGTCGGCAAACGTGTTTCGCAAGATCGCTAGGACGGTTCAGAGACGATCTGCTGGTTTGATAGCCGCAGCGGTTGTAGGATTACTTGCTTGTGCGCAGGAGATCGAGCTGAAAGTGGACAGCCACGAAGGTTCACCGCAGAATGTCAATGTCTCTTTGCCCGAGTATAATGGCACTCCGGATTTGTCCGCCGTGTCCAACAGTCTATCTCCGTCATCCTTGGTCCCGGAGGGAGCAAGTCCGAAAGATGGTAGGGTTGTTCCTGTCCTATCTCCCACTCCCACTCCCGCGGACTGGCAGTCAGGCCCTGAGGAGCTGGTCGTGGCGTACACTGGAGGCATCATTCAGCATTACCCCAACTTCAAGGAGACATGCCAGCAATATATTGACAGGCTTATCATGAGGACTGGGCCGCAGAAAAGCGGTAAGTCGGTCTTTTTGCGGGAAGCGTCGGACGGTGGTGTCATTGGTGCTGGTGTTCTTGCAGGAATGGTGGGCAACAGGTGAACGATAGGTAGGTCATCGCACTCTACTGATCTCGGGAAAATATTGGCACCTTGAATTGCTTTGGCGAGCGTTTATTGGAGTCTATGGTCTTGTAGTCATGGTATATAGAGCCTTCATGCAGGCATGTCATTTCCAAGCGGACTTTGGCCTGTTCTCGATTCTTGGTCCCCCATTTTCACACCTCTCTACCATACATAGGACCCAGCCGAGATTGACAGTTTCGACGGGATCTATCCAACCGAACCAGTATGTTTCTTTGAAGTTGGCGTTCCTGTGCGCCGTGCAGTGTTCAATCGGAGAAGATTCGTTATAGCGCTGTATGCGACATCCATCAATGGGCAAGATATGCCCTGGCACAGCTGGAGAACTTCACAAGTCGCTCACATCTGATCATGCAATTTTCCAACAGACTTGAACGACCTAGCTGGCCTTCGGTCGCCAACGCCTCGACTTGTACCTCAGTCTAGCAATTGATATGGATAGAGTAGCCATCGTAGGTTTTATTCGGCCCTGCCCACACACCTCGACATGATGGGACGCTCTCTGGACGTAATTCACTTCTCCGGCTCAGATATAGCGGAACATGTTGTTTCGTACGCTGCGCTTCATGGCATTGGGCTTGCCATCTTCATACTCAATTCCTGAAGCGCCACCACCGCCAGACATTTGCTCGAGCCGCTCTCGGAGCTCTTGATCCGCTTGAGCTACGCTTTTGGTCTTGTCTTGCTTGAGCTTTTGCTGTGCTGATTGGTCATCTGATGCATCATTGGACTCCTTTTGGTGTGACGAGTCTTGAGCTATATCTCAATTAGTTCTAATTTTGAACGAAATACCCAATTATCTGAATTACTATCTTACTGACCTTTTGTTTCTGCGAATCTGTACGCGGTCGAAGTTATATACCGTGCTCCGGGAGAAGCGTTTGACAGACGAGCTGTCCGGAGGAGCAATGGAGTTGATAGCATTGAAAATGAATTCATTGCATTAATCTCAAAAGGAACCTTTCGCAAGAAAACAATGTCGAAAACTTGACACTGCTGGTCCCATCAATTGATGTAATGGCTCCTCATCATCACATGATCCGGATCACGTGCAGATACCCCCCGCGACCAACTGATCGCAATCATCCGGCTCCACTTCCACTCTCTTAATCTCCCTTGTCGCCTCACTACCAACTTCACAATGAGCGCCCAGGCATACTACGAGCTCTATCGCGGGAGCAGGTACGATAGGGTCTGCGACGACATGTCAGGAAATACCACTAACCCTCCGCAACAGCCTCGGACTCTCCCTGACCGATACCCTCGATGACCTGATCAACGAAGGACGGATCGAGCCCCAGCTCGCCATGAAGATCCTCTCAACTTTCGATCGCGTGATCACAGAGGTGCTGGCAGACAAAGTGCGCGCTCGTCTGACTTTCAAGGTACGCTTGCATATGAGGATAAGGAAGGCTGCGCTTGGAGCAGATGAAGGAGGCGAACTGAGGCTGACATGGCTTTTCTTACCACCACAGGGACATCTTGATACCTACCGATTCTGCGACGAAGTGTGGACATTCCTTATCAAGGACGTTACTTTCAAGCTGGATAACCAGACTACGGTCTCCGCGGATAAAGTGAAGATTGTGAGCTGCAATAGCAAGAGGCCTGGTGAAGCCTAAGGGTGAGGGATCGTTTACCTTGCGTCATCGGTTGATACTCTCGTTACCTCACTTCCTCACACTCTTTTTTTCTCCTTCCGCCACTTGCTTTGATAGGCGTTGTTGAACCTATATTTCTTCTGTTTTACTCTTCATGTGGATTGCTCTTTTGTGCCCGGGACATGGCAAGTTGCTTGATATGGGGCTTTATCATATTTTTGGCGTTTCGCGTTAGCATATGAGGCTGAATTATGGATTTGCTATGGTGCTACTAGAATAGATTGAAATCAGATACCCGAATCTACACCATCGAAGAAGAGAGTAGTAGATAGAAATCCGTATAGCTTACTTGCAGAGTACTTCATTCACTTCTAAAAGAAATCACGATACAAATCTCACCGAAAAAAAACAGCCTCTTTCCAAAGACACATATTCCAAACGGTTGATACCCAGTTATTACCAACCCAAACAGCCAGACAAGCATATCAACATGAGGCTGAGAAGTGGATCTCCAACTAAAGTAACTTAGATAACTAATCCGTGCGGAGGCGGGGAGAAGCCGCGTATCAGCAGCGGTCGCAAGACACCACCATTATTCCCTCCTCACATCCTCCCTCTCCATATCCATACATACACTCCTCACTTCATATTCCAATAATGTTTAATTGACCATAATCATCATCCTAACCAGCGACAAAGATGCCCCGCAACCTACCATGGCTACTCAATGCAGCAACAACAACCAAACGAGAACCGAAGACATCTCCGTCAGACACACCGCGTCGAACCGTGAAGCGCGAGACCAGAGCCAAAGAGAAGGAGAAAGAAGAAGATGACAACGATGTGACTCCAAAAGCCGAGATGGCGATGACTCCAGGTTCAAGGATGAAGAAGCGCGATTTTATGCGGTCTTGTATGTACCTTTTACTCTAACCGTTGCTTTTCGTTTTTGCAATATGAGTATACTGAGGTCCACTGACGCCTTGCTATAGCTCCTACGCCGCCGTCCTCTCCCATCCATCGCTGTCCGTCTGAAGAGTACGTGATCATACCATAGCTACACACACCTATGAAAAAACGCAGTACGCTGACAGCATGTGAAGATACCTCCGCGAAGGCTTCGACAACGACGACATATACATGATGGTAGAAGACGAGTTCTACGCGGTCGCACAAACCTTCACACAACACCTACACTACGCAGAATACATACGACGGAAGAAAGAAGCCAAGTTGCAGAATGCCACGACCATACAGAATATCGCTCGACCGACCGATGGTGTTACTGCGCAGAGCGAGGAAGCTAAACGCAAGGCTGCGGCGGAGGATTTGTCCGCTCAGCAGAAGGAGGGGCTGCAGAAGATGGTGGAAGGTGGACGACCTGCTGTGGATTCGGAAGAAGATGATCAGGAGGAAGAGGAAGATGATACTTGGGCGGGTACGTCGCTGCATGATCTGCTGATTAGCCCCCGAAAGGCGCGGTCGTTGGTCGGGATGCAGGGCATCAAGTCGACGACGCGGGCGGCTGCTGGACTGCGGGCGTCAGCAGGAAGCAGCGCGGTTACAGATGGGGCAGCAAGGGAGCGACAGGATGCGATGGGGGACGGCGATCAACTAAGTGAAACGACGGATGACGACGATCTGGACGCACGGACGAGGACCCTGACGGGACCGAGTCGTATACAGCATCGTACTACGGAGACTACGCCTACTGCTGCTAGCTCGCGAAGCAGCCCGATGAATAATCGCTCTACCGGGGACAATGGAATCAGAAGAGTGCAGTCTATGAGTAGTAGATACAGTACACCGAGGGCGACCAAATCCAAGAAGAGATTAATATTCGATGATGACTTTGACGGGCTTCCAGAGCCGTCTCGGTCAAGCAATCAGATGCAGGGCCCGATATCATCCCCGTCACTAGGTCGAAGAGCACCAAATCCACGAGGCCCGGACCCCAAGGCAAAGAAATCGCGTCTCAATGAAGTTCCAACATTCTTGTTTTGACGTTGCAGACCGTGAATCACGCTGAGAGGAGAATTTACGATGAATTTCCATGCTTCCGTAACGAGATAAACTGTCGATGATGTTGATATGCAACCGGCATGTACAGCTGGCATCGATTTGATCGGCTCATTGCTCATCGTGGGCATCAGAAACTGGTCTCGCAACCCGGACGCTCAGCCTCCGGACATGCGTCTTGATCTTGTCTCGTGTCGATGGTTGACGTTCCATGGCGGTGGCCGCCGCTTCCTTCTCCTTCTCTAGGGTGGAACCCCGACTGTGCAAGGTTGCCGCACTGCAGTGATGTTAGACTGGATAGCAGAATAGTCAGGGACGTGAGGTTACTGACTCGTCATCAGAGAAGAATGCGGGCAATTCCTCTTTACGAAAGTCGGTTGGGGGTCCCTAGAGTGCACACTGCATTAGCATATGGGTGGGAGAGACATCATGGGGACATGATGGGATGTGTTGGACTCACAATTTCCAGCACCTTCTGCTGCTTCTCGCGCCGAAAGGGAGACTTGACAAGTCGAGCTATCTGCCGAAAACACTCCATAGTGACTTCAGGTGTTTGTTGTTTAGGTGGTGATGATGATTATGATGATGATGATGAATCAAGCGAGTGTCGTAAGGTGAGAATGGTGGTAGTGAACGAGAGATCGAGATCGGTCACTATCTACAAAGGCAGGGACCGATGCCAATTAAGAAACACAAAAAGCAAAGATAGTGCTAGTTCAAGCAACCAGCAGATCGATCAACAAAAGTGAGTGGATGCTTCGAAGAGCAGCTTTCTATCAATCACAATCACAATGACGAAGATGACGACAATGACGATGTGACACTATGAAACGAGTGACAAAGAGTTAAGTATGTAGGGCTTAGTTTTAAAAAACGAGTGGCAACACCGAAACACGAAACACAAGAAGCGAGCGAGCGAGCGAGCGTGAGAGTAAGTGAGTGAGAACCAAAAGGAAGGACTAGTCGGCAGAACAAAAAAAGCTCTAGCAGTGGGACATTGGGCGCATCAAGAAAAGAAAACAATAAAAGAATAAAAACAAGGAAGCAGGAATAGAAGACGAAGAAGAAGGACAAGAGAGAAAGAAAAGACCGGTCAGAGAAAACAAGTCTAGATATATGGAAACGACGACGAAACACCCTGCAGGAGAAACTCGATTTCGGCCCTCTTTTCTTTTCTTTTTTATTTTGGTTTCCCTTTCGCTCGAACCGAACAAACGGTTTTTCGCCCGTGCAAATCTGAATGCAGGCTTAAGACGGATCGGCGGAATTTTGTGGCACGACAACTATCTTACGCTAGCTATGCTACCCTTGGATGGGGGAGGAAGTAATATGCAATATCCACAGTGACAGCCTTATGTTATGTGCCGGAAACTGATTGGAAGCATTGCTAGTAAGTAATTGAACTTACGCGCCGCGGGTGACACATTCCCCCTGGCAGGTCCAGCTCAGTTTACTGACTTTCTTAGTATCCGTCACAGAAGCAAATATGCTCCCCGTCCATCCATCCCCTTTCTTAACTGGGGGAAGGAGACGGACTAGAGGAGTGAGTGACGCGATAATCTCCGAAGAATTGTTGGGCAAATCATACAGACATACATACATACATACATACGGTGTGTAGACATTACTTGGCTAGTCTAGTCTAGGTGGCACTGAAAGCCTTACGTATGTAAACAACTAAGTAAGTAGGCTACATATGCCACATCTGTAGGTACCCAAAACAGGGCGCCATACAGTATGTATGTATGTAACCACCCGCTGCACCGATTGCTGACTGCATGAAACCATGCTATATGCTATAGAATACTATAATAATAATTATTATTATTACACAGTTGTGAAATTGATGAATTAAGTTTCGCATTCGTCATCCCCATATGGAGGGGGGGAGGATTAATTGTTGGTGGTGGTGGCTTGGATCACCGATCGGCCCCAACTTGGGCTGGCTGGCCCCCATTTTGTCCGGTTTATCGGGTTACCCAGAATAGAATACTGCAACAACGGGAATAGTTTTGGTTATAGCTATTACTACTCGGTATATCTACGGTGTTTGAGAATAGATACTCCGTGTGAAATAAGTATGTACTCCGTTGCACAGCACACATTTCTTACTTTCAGTTTTACAATGTAGAACACAACAGAAATAATAAAAATAGATAGAAAATAATCCAGAAACATAAGGGGGAAAATACTACTGGGGGCAATGGGTAGGTAATAAGTTAGTTATGCATCGAACATTCTAAGAATACTTCCGGCCCCCCCTTTTGTCCCCTCCTCCCCCGTCCCATCCCCTGCTTACACTTACTGACTACTTAGTTACGAAGTAAACTATCCTGCTGTCATTGTTACGATTGCCAGACCCTGGATACAGAAAATGAGTAGTAAGTAAGTAAATAAGTAAACTGAGTTCCCCCCGGAAAGTCAATTCGAACCCCTACCTAAGTACTTACTCCGTAGATAGATAGGTACTAGGTAACTACCGAGATGAAAGGGAGAAGAAGAAGAAGAGGGATGGTGGCGATACCTAAGAAGACCGACACCCACCTCCCTTGCATCACAACAATGCCTATTCTCTTCAGTTTCCGGCCTTCTGTAACTGACTGGTGAGAGATTTGCCCGCTGATCCGCGGGTAAATAGTGTGATAGGTAACGAAGTTTAGCATTCTTGGAGATAAATATCTGTAGGGGTTGAGAGTGGAGAGGAGAGGGACAGGAGAGTTGGGGAATTCGTTATGGCTGAAATTGGGGGTTAAAGGGTCTATTTATTATCTAGACTTATCTAGCTGGGTGTTTATCTTCATGTTGGTGGTGAGGTAGGGTAAGTAGATAGTGGTTGTTAGTTGATGAAGTATGGATGGATGGTGTTTGCCTGAGGCAAGAGGTTTATAGGAGCCCTTTCTAATACAGTCCAATTCAGATCATTCATTATATCTGAAATCTCTCTGTAGTCATTGAGTTTTCATGGTTTACCTGGTTAATACCCTGCTACCAAGATAAATCGTCTTATCTGAATAGTTCTCCTCCGTGGTCCCTTACAAAGCGCCCTTGTCATCCCACTCCCATTCCCATCACGAAAGAATGCAGGACATCATACAAAGAATGCACCCCCCCCTCAATACCATCACTCTGTACATAGTATTACATCACATTAGCTTGTTATCATTGTATACAAATATCTACTTATCTCAGCCTCAGAACATCCAGCCAGCCTCCGGTCGTATCTTCCGCCCATACAGCGATCTTTCTTGGCTAGGGTCCGTCATAGTTGGGCGTTACCAATTGCCTTTTCGTTGCTAGTCAGCTAGACACTTAGTTACCGCCTGGCTGGCTGGCTACTGACTGGTATGTGATGCCTTCGCAGTGGGTACTAGCTCCTTAGAGGATGGGGCCAAATGCACTTACCCACTCAATTGGTGGCATTGCGACGCAGTACTACTCCATACAATGCAATGTTCTGGTCCCTTCGCTGCTGAAGGATGGCTAGTGCTTATGTTTACATTTACGCGATGTGTGGATTTGTCATTGACATTTAAAGTTGTTATTATCGTTGTCATGGCAGGACTGGAGTTGGTCTATCGATCATCAAGGCATCATTCAAATCAAATCAAATACAAATCAACAAACGAAACAGCCCGCATAATCTATTTGGGATAGTCCTTGATATGGTAACTCTTCAGCTTGACGAATTGCTCGAACCCGAACCGACTGAGCGTTACTCCGCGTCCTGAATTCTTCCAGCCTGTCCAGGCCAGGTCCTATGCCTCCGTTAGCACATCTCCAGAATCATTGTCAACATCAACAGCGCAAACTCACCGGACTAGGATAATCCGATCGATTGATAAACACCGTCCCCGCCTCCACCCGCTCAACCAGCTCCTCCGCGGCAGCAACATCCTTCGTCCACACACTAGCTGTCAGCCCAAACTCACTACTATTCATCCACTTAACGGCCTCATCATCCCCCTCCACCTTCATAACCGGAATCACCGGCCCAAACGTCTCTTCCGTCATGACCCGCATCTCATGCGTTACCCCCGTCAACAGCGTAGGCTTAACATAATTCCCCTCAGACGGAGGATTCTCAAACGTCTCATTCGCCGGCGTCTCATCCTTTGCCCCCTTCTCCACGGCATCAGCAATATGCGCCTCGATCTCCTCTTTCGCGCGCTTCGATATCACAGGCCCGATCTGCGTCTTCTTATCGAACGGGTCCCCAACCACGAAATTGCTCAGCACCTTCTTAACCTCCGCCACGAACTTATCGTAGATATTCTGATGCACGTAGACCCGCTCGATAGCGCAGCAGCTCTGCCCACTGTTGAAGATAGCTCCGTCGACGATCTCCGCCGCCGCCCAGGGGATATCGACGTCGTCGCGCACATACGCAGGATCCTTGCCGCCTAGTTCCAGTCCGAGGTTGACGATGCGATCAGAGGCCGCTTTCTGCGTAGCTAGCCCGCCCTCCACAGAGCCCGTAAAACAAATGTGATTGACACAGGACGAGCGAACGAGACTCTCCAGTAGGGTTGGGGACCCGGAATGCACATATTGAATCACGTTCTCTGGAAGGCCCGCTTCTTCAAACGCATTGGCGACTTCCTCTGCGATGGTCGGTGTCTGCGGCGACGGTTTCAGAATGACTGCGTTCCCGGCCAAAATGGCGGGGATTAAGCTGTTAACGAGAACAAGGTAGGGGTAATTCCAGGCGAAAATGATCAGGACGACGCCGACAGGCTTGCGCTTGATGTAGCGCTTGAAGCCCTGTTCTTCTTCTCCGGGGACGATGCCCGCTTCGCCGAGGACGGAGTCGCTGATGCGGTTTAGGTAGTGGCTGCGCTTGATGGCCGTGGCGACTTCGACACCGGTGTATGATATGGGCCGGCCCATTTGCTCGGTGATCTGTCTGGCGAGGTCATCTTTTCTCTTTTCAAGCTTGTCTAGGGCGCGGGTGACGATGTCCTGGCGTTGTTTGAGGGTGGTGGATTCGGAGAAGGAACGGTAGGCTTCTTGGGCGGATTCGGCGATGCCTACGATGTCTTCTGGGTTGGCGCCGGTGCGGTTGAGGATGGGACGGTTGGTGATGGGGGAGATGGTGGTGATGTTTGGGACCGACATTGTGAAAATGGGTCTTGGTTATTCTGGGGGGACGTGGGGAAGAAGTTGGGGAAGAAGATGGAGAACCAGGCGTGGATCATTTAACAACGACGTCAGGAGGGGTATGGCGTCACGTTATCGGGAGCTTCCCCGCTGCGGTGGGCCTTGGGATTCCTACGATGAAGTATAGAGCTACATGGGACATGATTTACGTTAATGTTATGTATGCCTGCTTTCCGAAGGGTCCGAAGTTATGGGAAATTCTACTGTCGATCCGGTGGCGAACTGGTATGTGTTATTGCATGAGTACCTATTCTATCTTAGGCATCCCCTCAGACATCCCGCACCAGCCGGGCACCAGCCCAGGGGTATGGGTAGTTCCGCTGGTACCAATTGACACTGAACAGATTAGCTCATGAACCCGCTAGTCTTGCATACGGACTTACAAGGTAGTGCGGCCGGCGATCCGTGGATGCGTCGCCCATGACCCTCCGAGGATGATATTGTGTTTTCCGTCGAAGAAGTCGGCTGTTCTCAGTTAGCTTGTGTTCATATATCTCACACAGCAAGCTTACATGTATATCCGGGGTAGATTTGCATGGCCTCGAACCCTTCGTGGGGTGCAAGTTCCGTGCTCGTCCACTCCCAGACGCCTCCCAGCTCTCCATGACCGGCGAGTCGGTCGCCGTTCTGGATGACCGGGGTAGGGTGCCAGTGTTTGAAGCCGACGTTGCAATTGTCGAGCTCAACAAACACCGGCAGAGATTCTTGCGAAGGGTGCTGTACCGGTTGGTGGTCCGGGGTGCGAGGCCGTAGGGGGTTGGTCTCGCTATGTTCGTGCCCGTTGACTCCGTTCGTTTCACTATGACAGTAAGTCCTGTGCATCTAGTGGAAGCGGTATGCTTACCTGTGACCGTTCAGGCCGTGGCTAGTTTCCTTCAGCCGAGCTGCATGCGCGTAGATACTCTTTGCCTCTTCGAAGGTTGGTATCCTGCAGTCCACCCACTTGGCATACTTGGCCAATTCATCGTACGACGCGATAACCGGCCAGTCCTGGGCTAGCTCGAGCGGGACGGAGCCAAACACAGTGCGAACGGCAAAGTGTGCCATGAATTCATTCGTAGCGTAGCTACCGTCTTGACTGACACCATTGCAAGTCGGGTACGTCTCGGGCTTGATCAAGACCCAGGACTCTGGCTTCTGGGGCAGCTGATTCGCCTGTAGATACTTCGCGTACTCTCCATTTGTTATTGGTCGCGCTTGAGCTTCGAATGCTTTAACGGTTATCTTTCTCTGGGGCTTTTCGTTGTCCCAGCCAAAAGAGTCACGAGGAACTGAATGTCCATCATCATGTAATCCAACCGAAAGCGTCTTCTCGGGAATCGAAAACCACTCGTTTGGTCTTGACTCTTGCCGGGCATCGTGGAAAAACTTCCTAAAATCGGGGCGCGGAACGGCGGGGGGCGGAAGTGTTCTTTCACTCTGGATAAGCATGTAAAGGAACGTTTCCAGATGCATGGCTTCATGCTCAAACCCGATCCAGAGTGCTTCACCAAGCACCCTATTCTCAGCCACATTATGCTTCTGAAAAATGGACCTCACCCTACTTCGAACCCGCACTTGGTAGTCCAAGATGTCTCCAAGGGCAGGCCATTCGTCTGGAATCTCGCTGTGAGAATGGCACTTTTCGGGGTCATCCACATCGGGGTCGATTCCGCGTTCGAAAATGAGTCGATATGACTTGGGGTGCGTTGGCTTTTCGCCCAATGCTCGGGTCAAATGAACATCTGCGCTTGTCAATATGCTGACCCCTATACTTGCACTCCACAAATAGCCAAGCAGAACACTGACCGAGAAACGTAGGTATGTGACCGAGGTAGAAGATTAATGCATTGCGCAATTTGATTGGCTTCGAAAGAAGTTCCTCTCTAGGAACCATGGCCTTGGTGACAATGTCCCATGCTGTCCACAGTGACTGGAATTCCTCAAAGCTCGGAATAGATTGAGCCGCATACTGTGATGGTCTCGTTGAAAAGTTGAGAGAAGCCGAAGAGAGCACGTGGATAACTGCTCGACAGATTATGTTAGTATGATGGTCTCAACTGGTGTAACATGTTTTTACACAATGCAGTGCAACATGACATGCAGAGTAGCACATTGCCAAAGGATGACATACGGTAATCCCCAGACTCATTGCCAAACTCAGCGTCCTCAATTAAACCCGCATCATGCCAGAGCTGATCGCACTGCTCGGGATCATATTTGAATGCCTCCTCAAAAATTAGCTTCTCGCCTTTCTGAAGTAGTACCCCGTTTATAGTCACGTCCCGGTTTGGCGCGTAGAACGCCTGGTGCCGCCCTTCGACGTTATCGTACTCCGTCACGATATCCCATTCATCGAGTTTGAATGCTTCGTATCCAAGCACAGCGTTCGCATGCAACAACCCGTTCTCGTAGAACTGCCGTGTGATACCCTTGGAATCATTGTATGCCTTGTACACTTTATCCGAGTCCGTGCAACTATCCAAACCGAGCACCATCAAATCCGACGGCCCTAAGAGCCTGGCAAATTGCGACAAGAATTTTGCCGCTGCAGGACGATCAAAATTTCCTATCGACGAGCCCATTGACATGATCACCGTTGGGACCTTTCGATTCGCGGGGTTTTCTAGCCAGGTGAGGGCGTCGTCGTACGTGCCATGCAGGCCGTGGAGCTTGACATATTGATATTGATCGAGGGACACTTCCGAGAATGTGCGCTCCAACTCTGAGAGCGACAGATCCAAGGCATAGTAGTCCACTTTTTTGCTCGCTGCTTCGAATTCCTGGAGAAGGATCTCAATCTTGCGCAGATTGCTACCGTATGTTAGAATCCCGTGTCTGTACCCTATACTCTATACATGCTCCAAGCGGAAGGAAGACGCACCCACTGCCTAGTTCCAGTAATTGCGCATTGTCCGGGATGCGTTCAACAATCCTCTTCGCATGTGTCCGTAGAACGTCAATCTCCGCATTTGTGAGATAGTATTCCTCCAGGTACGTAATGTCCTCGAACAGCTTGAGCCCCTGAGCATCGTAAAGAAGCATTGTGGGCATGGATCGGCAAGTTCCTGCCGGAGGATCTATACCTCGCTGGATATCATTTACCAGGGAAAACTCCACGTCATTTTGACGGATATCGACGATGTCAACGCCCTTGACGACCGGACATAAGGGTGACATATTGGGTAAGCACCGAACTCTAGCAACAAGAAAGCAAGTAGAAAAGCAACAGTTATACAAGCCACTCCAAGGAGAAAAAAGTACAAGTTCAAGGGTAAGCCACAGAGCTTATATTATTGTATGCGCGCGCAAACCGCGGATGGTATCGGGGGGGCTAATGAGGGGTAGATGAGGAGAAGCGCCAGTCCTTGCAGAGAAGAAATGCAAGATTGATCAACTACAGGTAGATCCACCACTGGATAAATAGGTCGACAGGTCAGACTCGAAGTTGGCGTGGGGGATCAGAGAGACGAGTATCATGCTGCTCGTCCCACCTCTCTCAATATTACCAGGGGGCAGCTGTTCCTGCGCTATCCAAAAAGCGGGCCCTTGCAAACAGCACATCATGACTGACTGGGTCATCGAGGTCTGGACGCCCTCCGCGATGTGTAAGCTCAGGGCGATTTGTCCCACCGCAGACCGGAAATTACCGTTGAGGCCGGCCATGCACGTCAATCAGACCATACTGGGCAGGGTACACCATTCCGGTGGGATGGCTTGGGAACCCACCATCCGGGTTACTTTCCAAGGAACAACCAGGTGTCACGGCGATCCAATGGATGAAGCACCGCCGGCCAGTGACGCATGCGGAAAAGAGGTCCAACCGCCGAGGCCAGAAGGAAGCGCCGACACGAACATGACGTTAAGTTTGCACTGATTGCATTGGTTTGCATGACTTAGCTTGGGGCGGGGATTACCATGTTGGGTATTGTTTGTTCCGTTTGGTTACCCCACCCTGGTTTGTCTGGTTTGGTTTGCTGCTGTTGCCTGTTTGAGGCAGTTTGTCATCACAAGGACACGGCAATTCCCAACCACCATCTTATCCTATACATCCATCAGGCTTGTCTGATTGGCATTGGACACATCCACCTGATTGATCCGTATTGCATGGAATATGCCTCAGTGGAGCTCGTATTGACCAGTGTCTGTGTCAGTCCTGTGCTGAACTACTGTCAGAAAAAACAATGAAGTTTTCATCAGCACTACGGCAGTAGTCTTGAAAGTTACTCAGCATTCCCGCGTGAGTCCGGCCAGTGACGGACCCGACCCTTTCAGGCACACTTAGTGTAGCTGCTTATCCGATAAGATTAGGGCTGATCAGTTGCTGAGACTAGATCAGCGGAGAGATTCCGCTGGATGAACAACAAATAACAAAAGATGTCTTGAATAATCCGATCAGGTGGAGTTATAGTAGCTGCCCAAGAGCATCATATATACGAGCATTGGTGTACTTCGGGGATATCTCCGTTGATCGCCGAAGACCTCAGCTTCTTTTCAATATATATCCAACACTATTAGCAAGTCTGGTGAAACAATTCATAATGGAATATTTGTCAAATGTCTTCTCAGTAGTGAAATACCGTAAACTAGTAGTGTGTATGCAGCTCTCCTTAGAACCATTATGGAATATAAATACCGCTTCAAACCCAGGATCACCCAGAATCCTGTGTTTTGAAATTCAGTGAGTTGGATACCAATTCTAATATGCTGCAAAATGTCACCAAACAGGCGCAATTACTCGCATATGCGAGACGCCGCATTGAATATCAGAGCAGACAGCGACGACGAGTACGAGCATTCAGATATGGCCGCCAGCGGGGACGAGGCATTGCAGATCCTTATGGAAGCAAATTACAACGATGGCGCTTCGTATGATCAAAGCTCCACGGATGAATTTGCAAATGATGACGGGGACCATTTATGGCAAGTCCAGGCTGATCTTTTGTCCAGCAGGGATGAAAGCGGTTGTACAGATGAGCGAGAACATGCCTCATGGCAATCTCAATCCACTGATCCTGACACCCAGTGCCAACAATTTGATTACCCACCACCACCACCACCACCCCCACCTCCCCAGTTACAACATCCAACCAGGTACTCGCTTGAAAAAAGGAAACCCAAGACGGCAACCGAAGACAAGCCAGATGATATCATATCCTACTGTAATATGGTCGTTGACATGAGCAATATGAAGACTGCTCTTCGCAACGTAAAGGACTACCTCGATAAGGGCCAAACCCGCGAGGCCGAAGTCGAGGCCCAGAAAGCTCGGGACTTGGCAGAAAAGTATGGTGAGAGACCAGTGATCGCACGGTGCAGATACTGGCAGGCTCGGGTGAAGTTTGCTCAAGGAAACTATGAAAAGGCGTATCGACTGTTTCGCAAATGCCAGTTATGGATCACAAAGCAACCTGAGGCGAGAACAATGGCATTTTACCTGCCACTGTGTCAGCCGGGATTGAGCGACCAAGATCGACAGCGCATGTTGCAGGACGCTCACAGACCCGCAATGCAACTGCAGAAGATACCAACGGTTAGTGAAGTGCCAGACAACCGAGACTCGAAACGAAGATGGAATGATAGCCTTCACTTGTTGTCGCAAGACAATATCCCACAATCCACGCATCGGCAGAACGTAGCCCGCCCCAAGTCACTTCTCGAGAGGCAACCTGAAGATTCCAGTGGACTCAAACTTGGTGGCAAGCAAAAGTTATTCACTTTCGAGATGCACCCCAAAGGCATGGCACCCAGATTCCGGCCGACAGATATTTTCGCAGAACAGCCTTATGAAGTTATTGTGCCACAAGAACAATGGGAGGATTTCATTGACTATCACAGGGACCAGAGCGTCACGTTGAGTTATCTGGAGAGGGAGAGACGACGGTACCAAACCGTCGTCCAAGAGAGGTATAATCAGCGCTAACCCGCTGCATGCTGGTCTGCCTTTTTGGCGAAGACATAGCCAGTTCGGTGAAGAAGTGGGGTATTGTTGGAGTAATGGTCTTTGACATTATATATAGCGATTCCTTCATGACGCTCTCCTTACCCGCCGACTAGCGAGTGTCAAATGCACGTCTTTCTTTCTCCCCTTCCTACCTTTTCTACGGATCAAGAATCTAGTCTTTCGAATCAGTCAAGGTCATGAAAATCGTCATAGCATTGCGAGTCATAGATACGCTTCAAGCACCCAATGGCTACCACAAAGCCAAGTCAGCCAGATTTAAACCCCAGGCCCAACTTGCAGCACCCATAGCCCCAACACTCATTGCAAAGGCCATCAGAAGATTCACGGCATTGTTATCCAAGAGGTCCCGTCCACTCTCTACCCTCCGGCTTTCGTGTCCCGATTCAATTTCTCCTGCGGACGTCCCCGTCGACGTTCCAGTAGCCCTGGTTCCTTTCAGAGTGGCAGTGTTAGCGACTGCCTCTGTGGCGTGTACCTGCGCACTCGAGCTTGATCCGGCAGGCTTCAGACCGGTGGTATCAGCTGGGACGCCGGGCTTAGTAGAAGAGGGATGAACAAGGACCTGCATGACAATATCAGCACTATCCTCTTCCTAACAATCCGGTAGATGTTAATCATGTGCTGACCTTCTGGCCACCGGCTCCTTCGATGACCTTTCCTGTTCTCTTGTCCACCACGCTGGCCTGGAGCAATCCACCCAAGACACTATCCAGCACACTGCCCAAACCTCCCCACATTGTCACAGCCAGAATCCACTGAGCCCGGCTCTTGAGTGTCGAGAGAGTATCGCCTTCGGAGCAGAAAGGTAGAATAGCAGCGGATGACACGGCAATTGTAAATGCACCCAGCACTCCTGCTAGGAGTCCGGTGCCCGTTACACCGCCATTGGTACCGGGGGGGACAACGCGGAACGTGGGAGAGGTGATCAGGCGGGGTTTGGACTTGGACAGAATACCAAGCTCGGAGGAGTATGTATCAGCGGCGACAGCGGCGTAGTTCCTACAACGATGACCTGTCAGCAAGCGCATAACAAAGGGTAAGGAATAGAGGTAAGTCTTACGCGACTATTCCCACGACCAACAGATCCGCCACATCATGACCATTCGAAAAGCACTGTGTTGCGCTCGCAGGCTTCCCTGCCAGAACATATGTATGTAGGAGAGCAAGCACTGTCGCGACAACAGAGTTCGCCAGGACTTGGATGTGGGTACGTTGACCCTCGCCGCCCTCGGAGCCGGTCGCGGAGAGCGTCAAACGAGCTTTGACATCGTGTTTAACCTGGCAAGTGTGCGATTAGCAATTACAAACCGCGGATCGACGATGTTGGAGAGGATATATACCTTGGTAACTTTGGTGCCCCCAAAGTAGAATACTCCTAATAAGACAAAAGGAGCGGACCATGGATGAAGAGCATGGGCGCTGGCCGTCAGCGCAGCCGCAATGAGGCCGGGGGTGGTCAGCGACTTTCGCGACCAAGCACGATGAACGAGCACTATCACCGCTGGGATACCGATGTATGGTTTCATGGTGAAAACAGGTAGCGACACCAGGGAAAGGCAGGGTAAGTTTTGAGAGAGGAAGAGATCGGGGAAAAGAAGAGCTTCGCGTTATCTTAGCTTGACCTTTTAGCGCGGGTAGCTCCGATGGGCCAGGTGACCATCCGCGGTTGGTGTTTGTGATCGGCAAACACAGAGCAGCATGACTCTATGCAGATGGATGGAGCAAAAGGCAAATCCAAGAGTATATAATTCTTCTTCAATGGCATCTTCATTTTTGCCCTTGTGCTGTGTACATTGGTCTTCATTTTCGTGACAGTGGAGCCCAGGCTAGATGGATTGATTCTCGAGTTGATTTACCCCACAAATATACCACCATCCCTAGATTAGCTCATCAGCTCATTAGCTCTTTATGAATGGAATGTTCACTAGATTTAAACTGAAGCTGAGCTCCTGTCATACTTACTTTAGCAGTAAGCTTGCTCGATGGAGGCGTCAGGACTGTGGAAGCATTGCTCAACCATGGCTTCTGCCTGACATGTGCGTAGCTGCAAGCGCCGACCCCGCCTGGCCAGCTCCATCCCCTTCACTTCACACTCCCAACAGCTTGTTCCCTTCTCACCACTCAGAGTATAACTACTAAGACATAGCCTTCTGCTTGATATTTCATCACCTTCATAGTCTAGCATTGAAATCACGATGGCAGTTATCTACGGATTGCCCACGGTGGCTTCCACAGTAGCAGCAGCGGTATGAGCAAGTCCACTGTTCTTGAACGCCAACTAACAAGTCATCGTCTCCAATAGTGTGCGATAATTGCTATCATTCTTGGAGCGTAAGTCACCTTCTCACACTTGATACAGCGGTGTGGCGTCGAGAACCAAGCTTAATCATCTCTTCAGGCTGTCCTGGTCTCGTACAGCTTCACTTTACCTTCCCCTTCCTGAATGGGTTCCAGCCATCGCCACCATCTTCCCTCCTCTTACAGCACTGGCTCTGTACCTTGCCAGTCGACTCGCCCAGCCTGCAGATGACCGCCAGTCGTCTAGCCCTTGGCGAAGACTCCTTCCCGTCATGAACCACCTCCAATCTATCATAACCACAATCATTGCCACCGTGGCCCTCGCCTACTTGTACCCAGAGAGCATCACAACCTGTCGACTGGAACAGGAATGGCAGTCATACTTCCGCGCGAAAGACGCTCAACCTATTCGCGCTATTCAGGACGAATTTCGCTGTTGTGGATTCCGGAGTATCCATGACCGAGCGTGGCCGTTCAAGGACAAAACCACCGGAGATGATGCATGTGAGGTGCAGTTTAATTACGGGACAAGCTGTCTGGTCCCGTGGAGACAGCAGCAGCAGAGTGCTTCATGGATGGTTTTTGTAGCAGCTGTTTTGACTTTGCTCATGAAGGTTCGTGTATGCGCTTCGTTACTGTTAATGATTTACTAAGGAAAACTACAGGTTGCGTTATACCAGGCCATGCGTCAGAGACCGAGCTGGATGACAATGCAGTTTGGAAGACAGGCACGCAGCCAGCAGTATATTACGCCCGCTGCGCTGGAGGATGAAGACGCCAATGACGACGCGGAGGGGGGGCGGCGGGGAGCGTTCCTGCCTCGTGCGGGTCCAAGGCTTGACAATGAGTGGAATGATCGGTAGATCGCTCTTCTGATGGCTGACTGGCTCGTGATTGCAATCTATTCAAAGGTCGTTTGCAAGGGTTCAGTAATTTGTGCTGCGCGATAAGCTCCACGGGGATTTGTAGCATCTGTTTAAGGATATTTCATATGTGTTTCCGCAATACTCTCGAGACTGATAAGACTTGGATAGCTCTAATTTAGACCTTTGTGCGCCATTCATTTCCAGCGATAAAGCTACCATTCAGGCTATCGGTGCCCTCGCTTGGGACGCTCCACTGCCCATCGGCTCGGCCCGAAACCTCACTCTTAACCATTCTACCGAGCGTCAGAGTTGGAGATGTTACGTGGTCAACCCCGCGATGGGCTCCAAAACCCTAGGCCTGAGGAAGTACTCACCGCGGTCTCGAACAGGTTGCCGCACATGTCGAACACGACGTATCAAATGCGATGAGACACCGGGACCAGCATGCAAGAACTGCACGTCGACAGGTCGTACGTGCGACCGATCCCCGGTATTCCAGCTCCCTGTAAAAACGCGCCTCCGACACGCTAGTCTTCTGCACACGCACATTTCCACTAATGTGCCCGGTATGACAACCGACGAACGCCGCTGTCTCGCCTTATTTCAAACATATACGATGCCCATGCTGATCGGGGTATGTGACTCGGAACTCTGGCAACGCCTCGTGCTACAGATGAGTCAGACGGAGCCGGCGGTTGGACACGCTGTTGCAGCGTTGGGGGCATTCCACGAAACTACAACTGGAAGTGTTACCGGAACAGAAGTAGTAGGTGGCAATAACGATTATCGGCTCTTTGCACTTGAGCAATACGGGCGGGCGATTGCGGTTCTTCGTCGCCGTCTTGCATCCGGGTCCGGGGATCCCCAGCTACGGGTTACGGCGCTGGTGTGTTGTGTGATCTTTGTGGTTATAGAGTTCTTGCAAGATAACTACAGGGAGGTGTTGGTGCATCTGAAAAATGGGACGTACATTCTTATGAATCAGACTGGTCCGAGAGCAAGGGAAGCAATGTTCAAAGCCATCTCCGCTGGTACGAATGACGGTAGCAAGCCAGAAGAGGACGCGGTGTTCATGCAGATGTTTGCACAATTGGCAGTCCAGGCAGCGCACTTTAACAATGATTCCGTGATGAGGTTGCAACCATCGGATACGCATCTCTCCAGCGTGCAGTACGATAAATTAGAAATACGCAGTCTGAGGGAAGCAAAGGAAAGGTTGGACCCGTTGATCGATAGCATGGTGCGCTTCTGGACGCGCTGCGAAACAGAACTTCGTCTTCGAGATCGCTCTGCAGACCATCGTCCTCTCTACGTGGAGCAACAACAGCAATACAGTAACATGCAACGCCATATCAACGCCTTTGAGACATACGTCGCCCAGGCCCAATACTTTACACCCAAAGAGGTTCGGGCTATTGATACGATCCGCGTCAGTCACATCGTCATGAGTACCTACATAGCCACCTTTTTGGATCTCTCCGAAACCATCTACGACCGATACTTAGCAGGATGGTCGCGAGCCGTGACCCTAGCAGAGCAGATCGTCGCCAGCCTTCAGGCGGAATACGCCCACAAGCAACAGCCACTCCCCAACGTCATCTCCGATATCGGTGTCTTCGTCCCACTGTTTTCGGTAGGAATCAAGTGCCGCAATGTGGGTATCCGAGAGCGTGTGCTGAAACTGTTCCGCGCATGGCCTCATCGCGAAGGACTACATGATTCGATGTCATACTTATATATGGTCCGGGAAATAGCGAAGATGGAAAGGGAGGCAGCCGATGCTGATGGGTATGTACCGGAGAAGGCGAGAGTGCGAACAATGATGTTCGAGAGGGCGGGAGATGGAAAGCATGCGGTGCTACATTACGCGTTATCGGATCCAGAGGCGAGGGCATTGGTGATGCGGAAAAGGGTGATTTTGATGGATGAAGTGATGTAGTTCTTACTAACTGTATGATAGATCAATAGCTTTGTATTCGCATTTTGAAAACACAGGGTTCCTTAATGGAAACTATTCGTTGAGACACCCACTGACCACTGTACCTAGACAACCACAAGACCCTTTGTCGCCTCTGCTACCTACATGAGTGCTCCTCATCTTTATCCTCAGCGAAGTCGGGGCATTGGTTCTACTACTCCACTCTCAGTGACGAGAGTCAGATAATGCAGGCTTCCTTGGTGACATAGTGTATTATTCTCTAAACTACCAGCTAAGATGGCCTAGCGAATACCATAGGTGCATATCCCAGCGATGTCATGGACAATGCCCAAGGATCCATCCAGGCCTATTGAATGAACCACCAGAAATTCCAGAATCCAAAGAAATGACCAATCCACATACACAGCCTCTCCAGGCATTGATCGCAATAGTGAATCCCTATAGTAATGCAGTTTAACATATCTAGAGTAATAAGTAAGTTAATACCATCTAACCAGGCAACAATTACTTATTATGGATCATCACCCAGGGGCAAACTCTCAGCATCCAGTCGATGCATCACTGAAAACAAATCCTTCCAACGCAATGACATGTGGTATCCTCTCGTGGGATACTTAAAAGAACAAGCTGACGTATATAAATCAACCTCGCAGGTCCAAAGACGGCACTCTTCGTAGGAAGAACCAAGCCGCAGTCGACCGATTAGCCGTTCGAACTCCAGAACCAGCGGGCCCCCATGGGGCGACGGCAGCGACAGCGCCATATCAACAGCATAGTCGAGATGAACTGCGACATGAACTCTACTATCTCATCATCGGCAGCCCGTGCCTTGTAACTGCACCACCACAGCTATGGGATGTATTTTTCGATGGTCAGGGTTTTCTTTCTGCACTTGGTATGCTGATGGCATACTCGGGACCGTGTGTCGCACCACATACGCCATTTGGGACGCACTCAATTTTTCTATAGACCAGTTACCTCAGGGGTCACTAGTAAGAAAGAAGACGGCCTGGTCTGGCACAGGGCCATTAACAAACGTATGCTCATAGCATCAGGATCTGGAATGCCAGGTATGAATGAAAAGAGTCTGTCAGATAGGATCTTGTCTCAGACTTATGCCCTTTTTAGTATCTTCAGTCAAACCCACAACTTATACGATTCAGTATTCGTCGCTGGCATCCGGTAAATGGCTATCAAGCAAAGTGTCGGGGGTGGATAGGACATACTGGTTCACTAAACAAAACAACTAGGACCTTGCCCCCTGAGTTGCCGATCTACCAATCCACATTTTCTCTCAATTGAGGGAGTGACTCAGATAATCCACACTCTATTGCCCAATGCAGCCAGTCTAGCTCGGCGCTAGGTCTCAGGATTCCAATTTCGTGGACAGATCCAGCATCTATCCGGTGAGAAGTTAACCATCTGCCTTGATGGCAATAACTTTGAGGTGCTTATATTTGGATGGTGTTGCAAAGGTAACACGCGCATCCTGTTTGACGGAGACGATCGGCTTTACAATTGCCTACTGCCACTTGATTGCTCTGGCGAGTATTGCACACCACCACCGGATCATCCAGGGCCTCGAATGGGATGGCGCGGGGTTCCAACTCGGCGGGAAGTGTCCTCCAGGCGCGCCCTTCCCTGTCTCACGGACGGGTGATGCTGATAGTATAGGCTCCGGAGGGGTGTGAAACTGATGCTGTCGGTAACGACTGCCGACCACGCGGAATCCGGGCTGAGATTCTCCGTATCGAAGAACACTTTGAGGGTATTATCCGGCTGCAGGCGCATCCCCTTGCTATTGGGCAGACGGACAAAACCAATGAGCAGCAGCAAACCCAGCCTAGGAACAGTGACTATGGCCAGCTCGCTGGTCCTATGTTCCATGTCTAACGCCCAGTCGAGGCCAATACCAACGGCATGAAACTAGAGCGTCAGGTTTGCTACGAGTAGTTGTGGATTCGACATATAATATGAGTTTGATCCTGCTCCTGCTCCATGAACATATTGTAAGTATATACGCGGCCAGGATCCCAGGTCAGACTAAGTTGCTAAAGCCCTGTCTCTGTGTTATCTTTCCTAATCTTGTATGGTGCTGCGCGAGGCCGGGAAGAGGAAGGCAGGTATCTTCAGCAAGTGATGTATCTTCTGCAGAACAGATAATCTTTTTCACTGATTAATCGGGCTGCTGCCCTGTCCAGGGTGGGGGAGTCCTGGCAACACAGCCGGAGCTCTCGCGGACAGGCCGGTAAACCAACCTGCCGCAGGCAGATCCACGAATTATGCCGAAGCCCACTCCGCGATCCCGACCTGCTGCGGGACAGGAACATCCCACTGGTCCTTGTGTGTACCCTCAGGAGAACCGGACCCTTAGTAGCTGGGGCGGCCAAAACATTCGCGAATGTAACCGTCTCGCCCTTGTAGATGACGGGGGCGCGAGGAGACAAGAGACAACCCCGCGATATCAGCAGCGACGGCGGCTTGGCGACGGGGGAGACGCGCTCCATGAACCACCAGTGAGGAAGATGGAAGCCTGGTTTGATATGAAACTGTTGACTAATATCTCGTCATAGGATGTCTGGACTTGGATCTCCGGGTATAGGGGAAAGCCAGACTGTTGAATAGGATTCAGTCTCACACAGAGATGCCCTTGGTTGTATCTTCCACCACACCAATAAACCCCAAAAGGTCAGTATTGATCGCTGTCATCTGGTTAATAACTACCAAGCAAGCCGTCAAATGCGGTAACGACTCTGATGGTCCCGTCTCTATTGCCCAGTGGGGCCAATTGATATCGCTTGGACTCGATAGCCCGTTTTTGTAAGCGGAGTCACCCTGCTTTCTCGACTCCGAGAACAGCACCGCTGCTTCGAAATTGCAGTTCGTAACAATTCCCGCTTATCAGGGTAGATGTGCATATTCCCAGACGACACACGGTCTCATTAATTGTGATTGCGGGACTGTTTCAAGGGCCAGAATGGGGGCTTTTATTAGTAGTACTTCAATATCGGGGAAGTATGTGATTCGGATGGGCTTTTGCAGACGGGAGCGGAGTTTCCCCAGGAAGCGGCATGAAGCCAAGTTGGCATCTTGGTAAGAAAGGGATTGGCTTGTGTAGTTGTTGTCGATTTGCTGGACGAACGGGCCCATAGGAAGATAAGATATGTTTTCATACTTGGAGTCCTCGATATTCATGGTAGGGTATGGAGTCCTTAGGGCTAGGAACAGCGAAGGTCGTAGGATGGAGATATATAGCATATCATCGTTTGAGTTCGTCTTCGGAGCTATTGAAGTTATGATGTAATGACGATGGTCCGGGCACTCTCAATTCCACCTGCGAATATCGAGTGCTTGCGGGTCAGCTTGTCTTTAATAAAATCTGCGCCTTGTCGGCGGCCGTCTCTGTAATATAGCAGGATATTGAAACTGTCTGAGATGGAGCTGATCTCGTCCAAGTTGGCTTCCTGTGCGGTCAGTCTACACTGACGGATTCTTGTATTCCGCTTAAGCCCCTCCCAGGGTACAAACTAGCTTAGTTGGCGCGTACCCTGACCTCCGGTGTCAAGTCCTCATCTTTGCAGAATTCTTGGCCCACGGTCAAGATTAGGTAGAGGGTCTAGAACTATGTCTTGCGCGTCGAGCACGCGGTGGAGGAGCACTTGGCCTTGGATTATAGCGATTATCAAGGACGATCATGATATGTGGAATCGGAAACATTGATTCTTATCTGGGATATATCTGCGACACTATGCCTGCATGCCAATCGAAAATCGCCACTAAGTCCAGTGTGTTCCCCAGCATACCCGTCGGGGTCTATACCTATTAGCGTTCTTCATATTCCATAGGGTGCACGCCATGTGGTCTCTTTCTTGCCAGTCTCTCTTATCAATATGTCGCTGGCTATAGCGTTTCTTTTTATGGCTTTCGCTCTTGATCGTAGCTTCTGGGTTTCATTCTCACGGGAGATATGAAGTGAGGTATGAAGTGAGAAATGGGGTGAGAACCTCCTGTAGTTAGTAATCTAACGAAGGGATTGAGCTATGTCATCTCTGTAGTCGGCCACATGGCCCACCCGGCGACGTAAGGACAGGACATGATAACTATCCCCAACTGTGGTTGGTGTATTCCATAGTAGGTGGTGTCAACCCGCTATCTAGCTAATTTCACCTTTCTTCAAGAAGATTTACAGCACCTTTTCCAATCCTCGAGGGCTATGGATACTCGCATCCTGCACTCCGGGGCTGTATGCTTGATCCCAAGTCGGATGTTTTCATTCCAGTCTGTAAGCTCGAGTTCTGGAACTGGCTTTGCTTGCTATGATGAGGATGATTTGGTTAAATAGTATAAAGTTCGCTGATGCCGCCGCGTATGAAGGATGAAAGATGATAGATGAAAGACAACAGTTTCGATATATTCGTTTAGCTTATGCCTATCATAAACTCAAGGCTATATCTAAATATAGAAGGTAGGGGCTCTTCAAGATCTGTAGGGCATGACGAGGAGGAAGATGAAGAAGAGAAGGAGGAAGACGGGTTGCAGCCGAAGCTTTTATAGATAGTAGAGAGACGGAGTTAATGAGAGGATAGTGCTGGGTTACTTCACAGGCTCATTCCCTAAATCTATATTATATTCCCTTTAGATGGTATGCTTCATTGAGGTATCTCCTATACTGATGGATGAGATGCCCCCTAAATTGAATTGATTAGATGCAATTGACCAAGGAGCCGTGAATGGGTCTATTGACTCGGGGCGACTGCAACAATGGTGATTAAATCCTTACTATCATACCTGGTAATCACTCACGGGATCCCACGAAGAACAATCCCGCCAATCTCAACCAAATCCTTAGTTTCCTAGAAAGAGTCAGTGTGGACTGTTATACATCCGTGGCTGTCAACACTACCGGGTAAAAAAGTCAAGTTTTCATAGGATTGCCCAGAACACACATTTATATGTTTACTGCATGCTCCTAATAAGAAAGGGCACCACTCCACCAATCTAGTAAGGATAAAAGCACCATAAACACCATGATAATCAATATCATACACTCCTATCTACAGATGAAACCCCCCCATCTCATTAACCTCACAAAACCTCCACAACCCCGCCTGCACCGCAGCCTCCCTAACACCCCCCCATTCCTCCTCCCTAACAGCGCGATTAATCTCTTTATACCTGACCTCCCCATCCTCCTCCTCTCCACTCCTCCCTCTCTTCCTCCTCCCCACATACGCATCCGGCCTATACTGCTCCATAACATGCACATACAAATCCCTGGACACATTCTCCGCCAGCCATCTCACAATCTCCCTCCCCTCATCCTCCAACCCCGGCATCACCAAATGTCTCAACAACACTCCCTTCTTCGCAATGCCATCAGAGGTAAAACTCAAATCCCCTACCTGCCGATGCATCTCCTTGATACTCTCCTTCGCTGTTTCGACATACTCCTCTGCTTTGAGTAATCGCTTCGCGGTACTCCCCTTCCAGACTTTAAAGTCAGGGAGGTATATATCCACCAACCCATCCAGCAGATGTAATGAGTCGAGGGAGTCGAAGCTGGATGTGTTATAGACGATAGGAATCTTTAATCCCATATCCCTCGCGTCTAGAATCGAAAGCACCACTTGCGGGACGACGTGCTCTGGCGTGACGAGGTTAATATTATGCACGTTCCCCACCGTCTGGAGTTTCATATACCACTCCGCTAGCTCGGTGGGCGTGAGATCATGACCTGCTTTCTTGTGCGCTATATCCTGTCCACAACTGTCAACCCACTACAATTATCTAAACCCAGGGTTGGGGGTTGGGGGCATACGTACATGGTTCTGACAAAACACACACCGCATATTACACCCGGAGAAAAACACGCTGCCGGAGCCATGAAACCCCTGGATGCAGGGTTCCTCGCCGCGATGCGGGGCGATGGTATTCACTTTTGCGGTTTCGGCGCCGATCATGCACATGCCCGTTTCATGGTATCGGTTGACGCCGCAGCGACGCGGGCAGAGATTGCAGTTTTGGAGGTGGGCGTAGGCGAGGGAGCGCTTTTTGGAGGCGTCGATGGACGAGAGGAGTTGGTAGCGCGGGATGTAGTCGTCCAGGAGGTAGGCGGGGGGGATGCCGAGGTGGCGTTTTGATGTATACAGATATAATATGGGGTTTAAAGGAGGGGGTTTGGAGCGGAGGAGGGGGGAGGTGCGGAGGGAGTGTAGTAGGGAGGGCATTTTGGGGATTATACTATTGTCATTACGAGTGTTGAATTGATGGATTGGTTATATGAAGAAGGTTTTGGTGTTTCGATGGAGGATGGAATGCGAATGCTTATCGACAGCTTATCTCAGCCATGGCGTCATACCTCGGCTGTTGCACAACAAATGAAAATAAAGCAATTAGATTGACCAGGTATCAAAGTATCATGTCCAAAGATCACGCATAGTAGTGTACATGCCACAAATATCCACATATATCACCAAAGTATATGTACGAATCCATATCAACACGAAGTAAGCATATTTCCATTCGCCATGCCACCCCTCTTGACAATGAAGCCAGCATAAGCCCGGAGTGAAATAGCAAATCCAAAAGTAGTATCAAATCAGAATGTAAGAAGCCATTGACCGGTCAATGCACCGCCATAAATCGCATCTCATCGTCAGCCGTGTTACTGCAAAACTACAGTGCCAGCCCACTGCCATCGCCGCTCCAGCGGTATAGCGCAAGCACTTCGCGTCGGCGCTGCTGCTGCTCCCCAAAGTCCTCTGGGATGCGTCCTCGAACCTGTGCCAGCGCCGATCGCATGACCTTGCGGAATGTCCTCTACATTGTGTTAGCTATTATTACCAAGCTAGGGAGCGAAATAAGAAAACCTACCTGGTACTCCGTGTTCAAGGTCACGACGCACGCTTCATGCGCCCGCACGATCGTCTCGCATGCCCGCACGACACTGGGACTGGCATCGCCCTGCAACTTGTCCGCCGCCAGTAACAGCAAGAAACTGCCCTGTAGTAGGTAAATCCCGAAGAAGAACGGCATGAAGCTGAGATCCGGGTCGTACTCCAAGATTTCTGCCGCTGCTTCTGCGGCACCGACCGCATGGCTCATGGCCGAGACAAACGACTCCGAGGAGATCCACAGATCATGGTCTTCCAACAGATTCACCGGATCCCATTTTCCCGCGAGCAAAATATGCAGGACATGCATGATATGCGTCCCATAGGCGACGACCATCCTCGTGTGGACGATGGACTCGCTCACCCGCGATCCCACGGTGCTGCTGGAGCGCCCCGAAGGACTCGTGTGATCCAAGTGAGCACCTTCGACGACAGGTTCGTTATCCGTAGCCCCCAGAGTCAAGTTGCTGGTGTAGCGGGCCTCGAATTCCTTCAAGCTGCGCCCATACGTGTCCAGCTGCCGCGTAACGTCCAGTACCTGACGCTCCCATTCCGGGCTATTGCGGAACGCCAGGCCAAAGCGCGGATGATTCTCAGCGTGGTGCAGATCGACGATCCCTCCAAGAATCGTCATCAGCGGTAGAAAGTATCCATACATGCTGTGACCCGTACACTCGACGGGCGGTCCGACCTGGCGGTAGGCAGCCGCTGCAAAGTCGCCGACCTGCCACAGATCATCGTTCATCGGCTGCAGCAGCCCGCCACATTCCTTGTCCAGCAGCGTGAGGGGCCGGTTGTAGCACAGCGCCAGGTGCCGATCGGTCGCATATAAGAGCCACCATAGGCGTCGACGCTCCTCACGCTCCTCTTCGGTGACATTAATGCCGGAGCTTCCCGATCCATGACCCAGTGACGTGATGAGGGTCGGAGGATGTCGTTTGTCCGCCTCGCCATCCCCATCTCGCTCTCCATCTTGCCGTGCGTGGGAAACATTGGGCGGCAGCTCACGGCCTAGCTTCAGCTCACGCGCTAGAGACCACGCCGCAGTCCACCAGCGCATGCTGGCCGCCTTGTACTCGCTGGCGGATACTACCGTCGCAAGATGCACATAAGTTGCTACATCATCCACGGCGCCGGTGGCGCTACTTTGCGCACCCAACTGATCCATGGAGACCCCAAAGCCGCCCAGAGCGACGCCATTAATGACCATATTCGCCGCATAGTTGGGCGACGCTTCTCCGGTAGCAGGACCATGGACCAACGGTCGGAGCAAACCAATGGTCAGTTCTAGCAGTTTCTGGCATACACGCCCCCGAGCCGAGGGCGGCGATGTCAGAAACGCAGCTTCACTCGTTTGTGCGGCTACCCAGAGCATACTCGCCAGGAGACCGGGGCTGCATATTCGGGGTTTTGTCGGGTGGAGGAAAGACTGCTTGCGGAAGATGTAGCCCACCACGTATGGGGACAAGGGAGACAGGTGGGACGAAGAAGAACTAGTGAAGTAAACATCCAAAAGGTCACACGCTAGCGACTGCGGAATAATGGAGGCGATGTGAGGCAGGACCGGCTGCAAAACAGGGTATCGTAAAGTGCTGGAAAACGGATGCAAGCTGAAAGAAGGAAAGTTGGCAGGAGATGGCGAGGGAAGAGGGAGCCATCCAGGCGACTGTCCTGGAGGCGAGAGACCAAGAAACGGTGCGGTTGGGTTTTCCGCTGAGCTTCCCAAGCGAAACTGGTTAGCTGGTGAGCCCGGCTCTTGCGGGTTCACTAAAGCGAAGGCGCTCGCGTTGTACCCGGAGCTTAGTCCTTGCGGTGGTAAGACGGACGGGGGTAGCGAACGCAGATCGGATATGGACATTGCCGGGCGACCGGAATCGTTCATCGTGTTGAAATGATTCAAATGCATCGCATCGATAGTCGTTCCTAGCGATGGTTGCGAATGCGACGGTGCCGTCTGAGACTCGTGCAGGCCGGATATCCCTGCAGTGCTTGCATGCTGCATATGCGATGGCTGCGAGCTCAGATGGTGGCTCTCAAAAGCCGAGTCGTATGTGCCGTTCACGTCTTGTCCTGGCCGGCTGTCTTCAGATGTTCGTTCGCCCATCAGCGACGCGTTGGCCTGCCCGGAATGACCATTCGACCCTTGGGTAGCCGCCGCAGCTGCCGCCGCCAGATCCTTCTTCGATGCTTTTCCACGCTTTTTGCGTTCTCGCGCATACTCGCAGGTCAGTCCGAATTCTGCAGAACAGGTCAGTCAAGCGTCCGCCTCATCGCCGGCATCGGAGAAAGAGCGAAAGCCTACCAATGCAATGAGCGCACGGATGCTGCCCGTCGCATTTCGTCCGGAGTTGGTTACACTGGTCACACGCACGGCTGATTCGGCGGCGAACCGGAGCTGAAGACGAGGTTTTGCGGATGGCAGAGCGAGCCTCCACGAGTGGATCTCTTTGCAGAGCGTCCCTAAAGCCCGAGCCAGTGCTCTGGTTCTTCTCATTATCAAAGGGTGGTTGATCCTTCGTATGCGACATGGAATTTCGCAAGGAAGTGGAGGGCGCGCCATCGCCGGCACCGCTTCCCGCAGCGTCTCGCGACAGCTGCAATTGTTCCAGGACGTACTGCGAGCCCTCGGCGAGCGTATCCAACCCGACAGTCTGAGACGGCGCCATGCCAGTCGAGTGCGATCCGGAAGAGAAAGGAGAGAAAGGACTGGTGAATTGAGGAATCGAGGGGGTTGACATCCTCACCGGGCGGAACAATCACCCCAGTGGGTCATGAAGACCCCGGTCGTTGGGGGGGGGAAAGGTGAGGTATTCAGACCGCTGGCGAATGGAAGGGCCGTAAGGCCCCAAGCGTGAAAGGGCACTACACTAGCGGGAAAGGAGATTAAGGCGACACTGGCGCAACAGATCCTAGACGAGGGCCAGGCGATTCAAGACCAGGAGGGCAGGAGGAAAAGATGATGAAGCAGAGGAGCGGTCGCAAGGAAACCACGGAACGATCAACTCCACGGCATTGCCGATTCAGTCTGCGGGGCAACTAAAACAGGGACTAAAAAACAGGGACCTAGAAGGCAGCAGAAGAGGAGAATGTCAGCCGGAGAAGCGACAAGGCCGACCATGAACTAAGGAGACTAGCAGCAACTAACCAGTTGGGGGGAAGTGGCTTTTTAGTGTCGGAGGGCAGGTCCGGGGAAGGTGAAGAACCCACGAGAAAGAGTGACTGGACTGACTAGCTTTCTTTTCTCTCTCACACACACCACAGACACCACGGTCGGGTCAGACCATCAGACAGTGAGAACAAGGATTGTAGTTGGTAGCAGACCCTCACGCATGCTGTCAAAGAGAAGCTGACGAGGGAGGAGGGGGAGGGGAAAAAAAAAAAGACACAGCCTGGCGAGGCAAAGAAAAAGAAGGATTGGGGATGCAGAATTGCAGGGGAAAAAGGCGGGGAAGCCAGACGGAGACCAACCAAGCCCGGGGCTCTCTCCGGATCGTCAGGTCAATGCCATCGTGGCCCATCATGCAATCCCACTCAGGGTGACCAGACACGGTGGACTATTTTCCTGCATGGTTTCATGGGCCATGCTGTCCTTGCGCCAATGACAAGGCGGATCGGATAGATGGGAGGAGGGGGAAGAGCGAGAAGCAAACAGCAGGCAAGCCAAAGCAAGCAGGCAGGCAATTCTCCTCCAGACTCTCGGCCCATGCAGGGTTCGCTCCCCAAAAGGCAAATTAATTCTACGGCCTGCAGGTCAGCTTATCTCCGACTCTCACGCGGCCTGTGCCCAATGGGAGGTTTTACGCTGCTCACAAGGTCACATATTTATTCACTTCAATGCATTTCACTTCATATATACAATGTGGTTTAAAAAAAGAGTTCCATCCCGAATATATACACCAGTCCCCTTTTATGCCAACACAATGATATCAAACACAACTTGAAACAAAGACTGTACACGTTCATTCATGCATTTCCAAACCCATGCAGTATAGCCATGCTAGAAAACAACCAGAACCAGTATTAGAAGGAGGGGATCCCAGTCGGGTCGATTTTGCCACCCGAAACTGAGACCACCAGAAGATCAATAAATGTACAAGAGGCGTTGACATCCGGAGAAGGATCAGGACAGGACACGGTCCTACCGAGATCAAGCTCCATGCCAAAGCGCCATAAGCAGAGACAGCCGTGGCCCGCGCGAACTGACCCCGGCCTAGGCAAATGCGCCCAAGCGTTCCAGGGCGGTCCCGCCTTAACAGAAGAAGTACTTGCTGTCGCGGATCCGCGTCACGTCCCAAGTACCTTTGGTCGGGACGGCACGGAACCGCAACGGGAGCCAAATATGCACATACGATTTTTTGGCCTGCTTGCGCTTGCTCGGTGCCGACTCTTCCGTAGGCATCTCCTCGTGGGGATCCTCCTTCGCCCCAAGGACATTGTCGAAGCCCTGGAACAGGGTCTCGATGGCCGGATCCGTAGGGTCAGCCTCCATCCCGGAGATCTTGCGCTCCGCAGCCGCCAGGTCTTCCGGCACGTGGCCGACCGCGGTCTCTCCCAGAGAACTGGCGATCGCCAGATCCTCGTCGCTTCCAAATTGCTCGAAAATGCTGGCCGGGGTCACCATGGCACGTCCCTGAGCCTGCAGCTCTGGGTCCTCTGCCTGCAAGAGCTTCTGTCGCTTGTGCTCCTCCAGCAGCTCCTGCACCTTGGTGGCCTTCTGGGAAGCCTTCGATCCCTTCCGCAGGGCCTTGATTTTCTGTCCCAGGGCACTGCTGGCGTCCACCTTGGCGAGGAAGAGATTCTTGCTGTACCGGACTTCGAACTCCGCGGCCAACCGCTTGACCACGTCGTCCGAGTGCATGCGCACGAACGCCTCACGAAGGAGCTGGTTCATCGAATCGATGTCACAGGCGTGTGTCCAGAAAGAATCGTGGACGGCGGAGAACTGAAGCCCGGCGCGGTGGCATGCGATCGCAGACAGCATCATGTGGGTGGCATCGAGGGAGTGAATAAAGTTGGGAGGGAAGGCTTGCAGCTGCTTACGCTTGGAGACCACATCACCCGAGCTGCCATCGACAATGCTCAGATCCTGGAGTGTAGTGTAGATACGGCGGGCCTTGCGAACCCGGTAGGGCTGGACAACAGGCAAGCCAAGAGGAGTGGTCCAAATCACCGTAGACCGGAACTTCTTCGTCGGGTCCTCCATCTGCTTCGCATCCTCCGGGTTCATAGCCTCCTTGGCAATTTGCTCGATCTGTTCCGGAGCCAGCGACTGGGTGATACGACTGGCGCAGTCACCCAGCCAGTACTGGATATCGTGGGCACCGTTGAACATGGTGCCCAAAGCCTCGAAGACCTTCCGTGCGATGTAGATGGCTCCCTGGTGTTTCTGGTCCTGGGTGAGTTCGGGATAGTGATCGATAAGCTGCTTGCGGACCTGCTTCATGGCTCCCATGAAGGTCACACCGTACACGTTCGTCATGACGGTCTGCTTCACCACCTTTCTGGTGATTTTGCCGTCCAAGTATTTGGCTACGCTGTGGCCCTGCGCGGCTTCCCGAGCAACTGCTTCCTTGACGAACTCGGCGACACCAGTATACACATCCGACGGGCGGTCGGACGGCTCGAGGTTGACTTGCTGAGCACCGATCTTGTCACCACCCAGTGCAGCATAGTGCTGCAATCCGTTACACGAGCCATCCTGATGGACGGGAAGGCGTGATGCAAATTGAGTGGGATCCGGGTGCTGGAGCGCGTTCCTCAACTCACAGCAGGCAGCCAAGCATTGCCACGGATCATCGGCTTTCAGCCACCAACGCCTGCCATGAAGACCGTTGTTGGCAGAGTCAAGCACATCGTCCAGATGATCCATGGTGAACTTCTCACGTTCAGAGAGACTAGCCTTGTCGAATCCAGACAGGTTGGCAATCTGGACTTTCAGCCACCTCAGTCCACTCTCTCCGAGCGGCTTGGCTTGGCTGAACAAGAGCAGACCTCTCGCATTGTCTGCACCCATCTGGTTGAGATAAGGCGGAAGGGGATAGGCACGTCCACGGAAATCCAAGTTGTGGGGTAGATAGAATGTCTCGTTCCGATACGCCCGGGCCACCTCCATTTGGAAGTTCTGGAAACAACGCTGGGAGTGGAAACCGGCTCTGCGATTCTCAATCTCCCGCATGTCATTGTCCCATTTCTTCTCAGCTTCGTAGCCCTCCTCCGGGGATGGTTTAGGAGGATGAGGCAATTCGGGCTCCAAGGGGGCGAGATCGGCGACAGGTTCTCCGGAGTTCCAAGCCTCGAGCATGACCTTGAAAACGTCTTCGTTGATAACCCACCCGGTGTTACCGAGAATATCCAGTCCCTGGCGGATTTGCTCAAGCCCATTGTTCTCCAAGGCTGCCTTGACGTAAGCAGGTTGCAATGTTTCACCAGGAGTCGTACGAATCAGGTTGCTCTTGTAAACGTGATATCCACCATCAGATACACCCTTCCACGGCCTAGGCTTGCTCAACATGGGCAAATGGCGACCCAAGAGATCAGAAGTGGGCTCTTTGGTGACTATCTTGACAATTTCAGGGTGCAAATGGATGAAACCAGCACGTCTACCCCAGTTGATTTGGTAGGCATGCTGGAATGCAGGCTGCATGGAAATCTCGGGCTTCTTCGTTTCCGGGTTGTCGATTTTCACAGGAGCCTTGGCGACTTCGAAAAGGAAACTCATCAAGGCAGCACCAACCTTAGCCTTCACACGAGCTGACCAAGCAACGGCAGGGTCATCCTGTTCCAGGTTTCTGACAATTGTGTGCCATTTTGCCCGACCGTCTTTTTGTTTGCGAAGCGAGAGGGTTTGCTTAACGGCTCTCAGCCGTGCGGCATCCGCTGCGGATTCTTTCTTGAGAGTGAGTTCAGCGAGGAATTCGTCGTGAAGTTCAGAGCCAATTCCAGTAGCGATTGAAGCGAGCTTCAGGCCCGAATCCATACCACCCCGTCCAAAAGATGACAGAACGCTAAGGATGGTGAGCGCGGCCAACTTGTCCGAGTCAACGCAACGCAAGAAGACACCGTATTCGCAACGCTCAGTATCCTCCAACGTCCGAGGGGGCTTGGCCTCGGATTGTTCCACAAGCTTGAGCTCCGCCTCGATTCTGGACACTAGATCGGTGTGCCATTGGTTGATGATACTGCCCAAACGCTTCTCGCTTCCAGTAGTGTTGAGGCCGGCCTTCTGTCGGTCGATAGTCTCTTGTCTCCAGCGGTTAAGGGCGGCCTGGATAGAATTGGCTTCAAGCTGTTTTTGTCTGGATAGGTTGTACATGTCTCGGGACTCCGCCTCTGCGTATTCACCTTCTGCGGGGGCGGCTACTTTCGAAGCGCCGTTGAAAAGCGAAAGCGACTCCTTCAAGGAAGACAGACCGAGACCCTTCTGTTCGACGGCCTTGACCTCTGGCAAATCGGATGAATCCGCGAGGGGATCTTCGGTAACAGCGTTATTATCCAAGCTACCCATTGAAACGCGCTGAATATCGGAGGAACAAATCTATTCGACGCTGTGATCAGTAAATGTGATCAAATGTAGATAGTAGAATGAAACTCACCTCTGATAGCTCGCCAACTTCCAGTTCAGAGAGAACAGGAGCAGCCAGAACTTCTTCTTCAAGAGACGCATTCTTCGCAAATTCCCAGTATCTGCGGACTGCTCTATCGCGTTTAGTGCCGTGGAACATACGCAGGGCCATCCGAATCATAACTGCATAGGTCGTCGCGTCAGGAACCACACCAGAGGCGGGCAGGTCAACCTCGAAGAACTTTTGCATGGGCAAAACAAGGTTGTGCTGCCTTGTCAAGATCATCTGCGAGACCATTCCCTCGAGATAGCGATTGTGAAGGGCCAGGTACTTAGGAGAAGCAGGCGGGTAGCATCCTCTAAGCCGGGAAAGAAGAATAGCAGCACGGTCGTAGCGGTGGAGTCTCAAGGAGAGGTCGAAGTTTGCCAGCATCTCTTCTTCATCACCGCCAAGACCCTTCACTCTCCGCAACACCTTGGGTTTTGTTTGTAGGGCATCATCCACGATGACCAGAGACGAGGGATCGAATTCATGGGCGAGAGGAGAGAAGAAGGAGGACAAATGGTGATCGAAGTACTGCTCGGGGTTATACGCTGGGGTTTCGAAAGATCCATACGACCCTTGGTCAATGGCGGACTGGTCGGCGGCAGTGGCGAGGCTTCGACTCGACTGGAAAGACGGCCGGCGAGGACGTTCCTGGGGAGTGTTCGCAATTGTGTTTGTGAGAGCGGAAGGTCGACTCGACTGAGAGTGAAGTCTCAGTGTTGCAGGCGAAGGCAACACCGAGCGCCCCTTTGCAAGGCGCAGACGAGCGAAGGCATTTTTCTGAAGAGCAACACGGGACAACATGATACACGAACACCGCTAGACGCGATGCTGGACAATTAAAGGTATATCGCTGATTATTTGCAATTATAAAGAAGGGAGATGATTAGATGCAGAACAAAACAGGGCGTCTAAAAACTATAGAAGAGAAGGGAATCGGAAATAGATGCAGGATGGATGCAAATGACCCAGAATAAAAAGCTGTCAGATGGTGCACATCTATCCAATCTGACAAGCCGTCCTGCAGCCCTTCAACGACCGAGGAAGGGAACAAAAGAGAGAAAGGAAAGGGAGGATGGGGGAGAATGGGGAGGAGAGAAAAGAGAAAAAGGCGTGAAGGCGAGAACTGCGAAACGGGATCTCCAGTCGAGACGGAGACTTCGGCGGACGGAAGTGAAAATTGGTCCACCGCCCGATTGAGCGATAAGGCACGTGAGCGGCACGTGATGTTCTGGAAGATCGCTGGTGTTTTCACACGCGCTCATTGGCTGGAGGCTCTCCGTGTGTTTTCTTCCATTGATTTCGTCCAGCAGCGATGATCTCGATGGCAAATGGAACAGGCCCATCGAAGCAATGCGTAGAACATTGAGCTGTTCAGGAGCTGTATGCTTCGCTATATTTTCGCTCCGCCTGAAAAATATGGTTGTCCGACTCCCCTAAAGTCTATTCTCCACCACGCAAACTTAGCCGTGAGGTACTACAGCCTACTGCCTTTCTACTATATATACGGCCTTTTGCTTCCAAGCTTATGTGCAAGTCATTCAGCATTCGTCATATTGCATATCGTATAACCCCCGCCAATGCAGCTAAATCACCCTTGCTCCGTTGTCCCCTGAGCAGACTGCTGTTCTTCCCGCTGCTTCATCCGGTTCTGTTTCATAGCCCAACCCGTCATCTCCGGTCGTGCAGGATCAATCCGCGGCGCACTCATCGTATCCAGATAACTTTCACTATCAATCGCCGACTGCAGCTGCGGCAGACTATCCACATCCTGATGCATCATGTAGTTTTCGTACAATTGCCACGATTCCTCAGTCTGCGAAACAAAACACAAACACATTAGCAAACATTCCCTTGAGCCTAAGGAATCCAACAGCATAACACTCACCTCAGCATCAACCCACTCATAATCCTTCCACTTCTCATCCTGCATCTTCTTCAAAAGATCCAGATTGCCCGCAACCTGCGCCGCCTCTCCATCCTCCGCGGCCTTGATCTTTACATCAATAGCCCTAGCCTCGCTCTCGCCGGGACGATCCTCCTCGCCTTCCTTCCTCGCCTTCCCCTTGCCCTTAGTCGGCATCTCATCCAAAGCATCCAAATGATGAAGTTGCGGGTGTAGCTGTACAACAGCCGAAACAGGCGAAAGATGCAATTTATCTGTTCCCACCAACATCACACACATTAGCCCTTTTTCCCCCGAACTCCAACCAACAAAGAGAAGGGAAGGGAAAAACTCACCCCCCCTAAAAGCCGCCAACATGTAAACCGGATCCCCATCTTCGGGACTCTTAATCCGCCCTCCCAGAGTTTGCACCCTCATCAACGACGCCGTCTCGCTCTTCGCATCCGCCGCTTCCTCCATCTTCACCTTCGCCGGCGCTCCACCGCCAGCACCACCGGAACTAAACCCACCCGCCATACCGAACGCGCCGCCTTCGCGCGCACTCCGACTCTTCTTCAATGCATCACCGTAGCGCAATCCCTTGCTGACATCGTAATTCACCCGCGTGTTGATGGGGACGTCGACTTCCACAAGACCCGTCTTGGGTTTCAGGCGGAAGGAGGTGGGTTTTTGGCCGTGGCGGTCGTCGTAGGAGGAGCCGGCGGGTCGGTCGAGGTATTGCAGGACGTAGCGGGAGATTTCTGAGTCGGTGAGGCAGATGTCGTAGGAGGCGATGACGGGGTCGTCGGAGGGGTCCATGGTGGGTAGATTGGGGTGGGGTTTAATTATAAGAATGTGTTCATGGGTTGAGGGATCGTGGGAGAATAATTAGAAAATTCGGGGTATAATAAATGGGAGTCGACGCAGCAATGGCTGTGTGCTTTGCGGGGTGTCGGTTTTTTTGCAACTTTTTCTTTGCTTTATCGGAGGCGGAGGAGGTTTGATAAGCTGCCCGCTTGCAGAATCGATGGGTTTACACCGCCTTCTTGTTTGGAAGGTAGATCTATAAGTTGGAACAATGAGTGGATGGTTTTGATCTAACATGGATTAGTGATTATGTGAATCTATGTGCGCCTAATAGTGGCTATTTATCAAGTAGAAAATCGGGAGTGTACATTTTACAATCACAGCTATGAATGCAGATGCGACAATAATTTGGTCATCAACAGTATGTACAGAACAGCTGTATCGTCGTAAAACTCATAAAACTTCTTGATGTATAACAGTATCACATGAATGCCGACTATCCACAGGCATTATTTTTGGGATATCTCCAACGTCTACTCCTCCTCCTCGTCGTCTTCAGCAACCTGTAGCAGTTTGTTAGTGGTGCGTCAAAGGGGACAAATAGCAGAAAGGGTCAACATACTCCTTCGTGGAAGTTCTGTCCGTCGGTGGTCGCCTTGATGACACCCGCACGGATACACCAATCTCCGAATCTCTCAGGGGTCTCGCCATCAGTGTTACGCTCCTGGGAGTACCGCTTGAGGAGACCCTTCATAATCTCGAGGATCTCATCTTCCTTGATCGAAGAGCGGTAAAGCTTGTTCAGACGCTGGCCGTGGTAGCCACCACCGAGGTACATGTTGTACGCACCGTAGGCCTTACCAACGAAAGCAACCTCGGCAAGCCAAGGTCTGGCACAGCCGTTGGGGCAACCAGTCATACGCATGACGATGCTGTCGCTAGCCAAGCCGACCTCCTCAAGAGTAGACTCCAGCTTGGAGATCAGGACCGGCAGGTAACGCTCGGACTCAGCCATGGCCAGACCACAGGTGGGGAAGGCAACACAAGCAGATGAAGAGAGACGCAGACCGCTGAAAGAGGTGTTGTCAAGCTTGTACTGAGCCATCAGCTCCTTGATGGCAGGAAGGTCTGCATCCTCGATGTTGGACAGGATCAAGTGCTGGTTACCAGTAAGACGGAACTCGCCCTTGTCGAGCTTGGCAAGCTCACGCAGACCAGTGCGCATCTTGAAGTCAGCGGTATCCTCAATACGTCCGTTCTCGATGAAGAACGTGAAGTGGTTGAGACCCTTCTCGTCCTTCAGCCAGCCAAAGGTATCGACGTTCGAAACGAACTTGAAGGGACGGGGCTCGGCAAAGCGCAGGCCTTCGGGAAGAAGAGCCTCGACCTTCTCCTTGTAGGCAGCCACGCCCATGTCATCGATGGTGTACTTTAGACGAGCGTGCTTGCGGTTCTTACGGTCACCGTGGTCGCGCTGAACCAGCATGATCTTCTCACAGACAATGTGGGCCTGGTCAGCAGGGACGTAACCGAACATGCGTCCCGTCTGAGGATAGGTCTTCTTGTTGTTGTGAGTCGCACCCATACCACCACCAGCAGTGATGTTGAAACCCTCCAAGTGTCCATCGGCGCCCTTGATAGCAATCAGACCAATATCATGTGCGTAGACATCGGTATCGTTGTGGGGAGGAATGGCAATGGTGATCTTGAATTTACGGGGAAGGTAAGTGGGACCGTAAAGCGGCTCATGGTCAACAACAGCGTCGCCCGCAACCTGGACCTTCTTGTCGTCCTCATCCTTCAACCAGATCTCATGGTAGGCAGTAGTCGCAGGAAGCAAGTGATCACTGATCTTCTGGGCGACGGCGTGCGTCTCGCGGTGGAAGTAAGAAAGCTCAGGGAGGGAACTGCACATGACGTTACGGTTGACATCACCGCAAGCAGCGATGGTGGTCATGAGCGACTTGTTGATAGCGCGCATGGCGCCGCGGAGCTTGCGCTTGATAACACCGTGGAACTGGAAGGTCTGTCTGGTAGTCAACTTCATGGTCTCGTTACCATGAGAGCTACTGATAGCATCCATCTGAAGCCACTGGAGGGGAGTGGCTACACCACCGGGCAGTCGACAACGGATCATGAAGCTGTAAGCAGGCTCAAGACCCTGGGCCTTGCGCTCGTCACGGACATCACGGTCATCCTGCATGTAAGTACCGTGGAACTTGGTGAGCTGCTGGTCACTGGCGGAGATAGCACCAGTGGTTTCATCCAGCAGTCCCTCGGCGATCGTACCACGCAGGTAGTTGGACTGGATCTTGATATCCTCGTTGGTCAACGGCGCAGGCTCCTCCGGCAGACCCTCGACCTTGTCCACACCCAGAGCCTGCCAGAGACGAGGCTCCCACTCGGAGTAGCCGGTCTGGAAGGCATCGGGATCTTGGTCATCACCAAGACCAATGTCGGTCAGCTTGCGTCCACCAAGGAAGGCGATACGAGCATCAAGGTCCTTGGCGGGCTTGTTGTAGTAGATTCTGTCTTCCTTGCGCGGCCAGTAGTGGCTGTCACCAAGACCGAAAACGGAGTAGTTGATGGAAGACAGATCCAAATCACCGGTGTTCTTCACGAACTCCCACAAGCCACGGCCATTCTGGGGGAATTCACCCTGACCGGCGGTACTGGAGATGAAGACCACGTTTTCTTCGGTGGCGAGGTCATCAAGAGGATAGTCATCCATGGCCATGACCATGGTCTTCAGACCTCTGGCACGACCACGGTTGCCGAGGCGCTTCGCCAGAGTCGCGGCGTTGCCGTTGTCAGAGGCGAAGAGAATGGTCAGAGGAGCACCAAAGAGACCCTCAAGAAGCTTCTCATAAGAGTCCTTGGCCTGGCGCTTCTGAAGAGAGCGGACCTCAGTTCCGTAGGACTCAGAAAGCACAGCTGAGTACTTGGGGTGACGGTTCATGAGCTGGGTAAGCTGGTTGTCCCTCCGAAGGAACTCTTCAAGTTCGCGCCTGATCCGGTCCGAATCCAGAGAGAACTTAGGTTCGTCGTTCTCATCGTTGCCGGGGTTCCAGCGGTACAGCGGCCAGTAACCAAGGTCAACAGCCTTCTTGGTCTCCTGAAGCACGGTCAAAGCAGAGTCGTTCTCCTGGTTGTAGGGAAGGTAGGCAACGACGACGGAGGGACCCTTGAACTTCTCGGCCTCAGCCATAGCCTGGAGAACCTGAGTGTACGAGCCGTAGACGGCGACGGAGGCAACATAGGCGTTGCCAAAGTTCATGGCATACAGACCGATGTCCTTCTTTCTGCGAGTGGGGTCCGCGGCGGTGCGCTCGGAGTAAGGCTGCGAATCAATGACGAGCATGTTGACGTTGGCTCCAGAGGCAAGAACGTGGTGAACACCGGAGTTGCCGAGATCATAAGCCCAGGCGTCAGAGCCAATGAGCCACAAAGACTCATCGTAGAACAGCTTCTTGGACTGCAAGAGCTGTCTGGCAAGCTGAGAACCGTCGTTGGAGAGGCGGGCAATGACATCGGGTGCCAGCTTGTTGGCCTTGGAGGCATCGGCAGCACTGAGGGCCCAGTTGGACAGCCATGTCCTGGGGACATCAGTGGCGAAGCTGGTGGACTTGGATGCCTCCTCGACTTCGCGAATAAAGCGCTGGCGGTGCTCCAGCCTGGCGATCAGCGCACCGAATCCGTATTCAGGGCTGGCAGCAATGGTAGAGGAGATTCCGGCATGCTTCGAGCCCAGCTGGTTGGCGATGTGCAGGCGTTCACCGAAGAGCTGGTTGAGAATCTTGAGGTAGGCGTTCTCAACATGGGGCTGCTCAAGAGAAGTCTCAATGGAAGGGACCTTCGAGGTTCCGATCTCAAGGTTTTGGATAGGGGAGGGAGAGCTCAGGTTCTGCACAATGCCACGAAGAGCCTGAACGGCAGTGGAGGGCTCAACATATCCCAGTCTGTATCCCACAATCTTGGGGGTGGCCCGACCAGCAGCCGGGGACAGACTGGAAAGAAGATCCATGAACGCCGGTCCCCACTTCGTAGTCTTGCGGACCTGCTCCAGCACGGCGATCTTCTCAATCGAGCTCGGGATAGATTCGACAATCTGGCCGCCAACCCAGGGGCGGTACAACCGCGCAGTGATCAAGCCAACATTTCCAAGCTCACCGGAAGCCTCCTCCTTGCCCAGAACGTCCACAAACACGCCAGTTGAGCCGAAAACGAAGATGGCCGACTTGGCATCGGAGGGACCAGTATACTCGATCGCGCGGTAGTTGCGTCCGGTGGTCTCCGACAACACATTCCATATTTGAGAAGTCCATTCAAAAATGTCTGTAGCACTGACGGGCCGAGTGGCCGAGGCGTCGATGGTAGTAGCAGCGGAGCTAGTCGCACGGCTATCGACACTGCTGTCCCTCTGAGAAGAGCCAACAGACGAAGTGTCAACACTGACATTGGAAGGGGTCTGAGTAGCCTGGGCAGGGGTGGAAGAACCCTCGGCCTGGCCGGTGGCACTGTCCACATCCTCGGTCACTGTAGCGACCCGTCCGGAGTCAGTGTACAGCGTCTGGGCACCCAGGCCAGACGTATGTGTCACAGAGCTTCCGCCCAAGTTGAGAACAGAGCGAAGAACCTCGGTATCTTCCTCGGCAATGGCATCATCGCGAGCGGAATTGGCAGGGTCGAAGAAGTGGATGACACCTTTGCCGGACTTGCGGGACAACGCATGAGCGGTAATAGCGATATCCTGGGCCTCCTGGAGCGTCTCGGAATGCAAGAAAGTGAACCCGCATTGCCTGATAGAGCTGATCACGGAGTAGTCTGGGAAGGGATAGGGCTCCAGAGCGACATGGATGACGACAGGGGTGTTCGCCAAACGGTAGAGGTGAGGGATGGAAGAGAGCAGAGTGGAGGAGGTGGTCACAACAGACACGGTGTTTCCTGTTTGCAGAGGGTGGAAAGCGGAGAGGAGGGGATCTTCGTTATAGCGAACAGCCACCACCTGTGCAGGAGTTAGATTTGCCTTCATACAGTCCTGTTATGCGAAGCTCAGTGTGACTCACGTCAGTGACACCGCGTGGCAGAATGCTACGAGCATTGCTGGCCTTCAGGGTCTTGAGAGTCTTGGAGAACCAAGAATCGGCCTGCAAAGACGGTTGAACGGAGAGAACGACATCGCTGGCCAAGTAAGCGACTCTCGCCACTGGAAGCATGAGAAGGATGGTTAGCACTCAAGAAGCGGACAATGAATGATTCCTCTTGAATGATAGAGATCCAATCACACAAAGCGAGGAACCAGAGGAACACCATACCTGCTTCACCCGCAGTCGAAACGGACGCCATATTGACAATTGCTGGCTGCGCAGCGAAAAGCGCAGGAAGTGGGATGGCAGAGAGAAATGGATATCACCGCATACGGTGACTCCCCACTCAATTCGGGTTCAATAGATGAGGATGATGGGGTAGGAGAAGGAGAGAAAGAAGGAGAGGAGAAGAGGAATGACTCCAGCTAAAGACAGGGGAAATTTTAGCTTCACACTCAGCCCGTCTTTCCCTAATTTTTCTACAAAACTCCGTGCAGCGACGAGCAATGGTTCTGCTCCTCATAGACTTTTGGGGCCCTTCTCCGCCATCGGGGTTGGATTAGCCCGACGCTGATTGGATTGCGATCACGACATCGATGCAAACAGCCGCTGAACAGCCTTGCAAACATCCCCAATCAGGTCAAGTGCGGGGGCCTCGTGACTGGCTCTCGAGCACGTCACCCCATTGATGCCTCGTGCATCAGGCACTTATCGGCTTTTGCTCTGAATGCCGGCGGATTTCAAAGCACGAACTACTTACTAGTACAACTAGTACAACACAACATCAAAAATGATTCACCAGACAAAAGACATATAACGTTGTATTGCATTGTTCTTGTATCGATGAATTAGTAGTATAACGCTCCAGTCATACACACTGGTACCATCCTCTACTACTAAGTACCAGACAGAATTCATTTCGCCCTGATTTTTCCCAGCTTGTTATAGTAGTTGTCGGATATATATTCACAGTGGAACCAATATATCGGTGCTATTGACGACTACACCAAGACAGCACTATTACTCTATGTACTCCGGATGTACTACTAGTAGTAGGAGTGTGTAGTATCATGTATTCAGTATCATGCATTCCTTACATCGGGATTTCTCACGGGTTTTGCTGGGATTCGCTCCAGACTGACTGTCCCAATCACATTAAATGCACCTGACATCATCTTTTCTCGGGCGAGACAGCATCGGAGATAACTCGGATCAAGCATTAAATTACCTAGATAACTATACAGCACAACACCATCCGATCTTATGGAAACCAAGCCACTATTCATTGCCAGTGGAATCTGACGAATCAAATTTGGCGAGGGGTATCTATGTTCTGCACATAAAGTATATGATGCTGTTCTCGGGTGCCCAAGTATAATGGGGGAGGAAGTATATGCAAATCCCTAGCATGATGCAACAACAATGTACCCCGAAAACAAGAAAACGCCTCGAATGAACCATCCCTATGTCGATACAAATATACAGGTCCCAGACGCCAAGTCCATGTCGGCCATGACGACAAACCTCCTCCAAAGCCAATATATGTTCATCCGTCCAGCCTTGGTGCCTCCTGGTAGCCGGCGCCTTTCGCGCGCGTGCCAATCTCTGATGGATGCTTTCGATATCGCATCACCGCGGCACAAGCCAAAGCTGAAGGAGCGCGGTACCGTTCCACCTTGTTCCCCTATGTCCTCCATTGTCCCGATTCATAAACAGTGTATGTAGATCATTTCGGCATATATAATAACAGGATTGAAAGGAAAACCACGCAACGTGGGTGGGCACAGAGGGAGGAGGCTACGGAATTTTGAGCCTCTCCACAGTTAGAGTGTGACATTCTCAGCAAGAACAGAGCTCTCACTCTGTCCTCCTGTGAAGTACGGCAGACGGTCACAGATCCTGTCCGCCGAAATGCACCCTTGAGTCCCTGAGTAGTTTCATGAAAGTATTACCGGGTCATAGACCGAGGATCCTCAGAATGATAATTCACTGGAAAGACGATCGCAAAATTACCTGCTTTCGGTCCAGCCGTGCATCTTCACGTTCATTCCCGGGACCTGTTCATGGATCGGTTGTTGCAAGGCTACAGCCTGAAAGGCGGACTGGGAGGGCTGGGGAGGTCCGGTTCCAGAGCGACGTCTCCTCTCCCGCTCGAGGGGGCCGGGGAGTTCGTTGTCTTCAGCACGAGCCCGGAAACGGCGGCCAAGGGTGGCCATCCAGTTTCCGCCTTCCTCATCCTCGCCGAGCCAGTAGTTGCGACCGATGCTGATCATGATGCGCCCAAGCTTTCCCTGCCAACCTTGGCCATCGGGACTATACGGGGAGAAGGGCTCCCGGTCGATGTCCGCAACACTGGCGACGCTCGCGATGGAGGTATTACGGCTGTGAGTGGGGAGTTGGGTGTGGCGAGGCACGGCGACGTAGAGGCGGAGTGCCTGACGAGCAAAAGCGAGCATAACGAAGACGAAGTAAGCACGAATGACCCAGAGACAGCAAATGACCAGGATGCTTTGGAAGCTTTCAGGTTGTGCCACAGCGTTCCCGAGCGCATCCGGCCTCCTTGCGTAGGGACCGCTCTCTGTTTTGGTGGTGTCATACTTGGGGCTGGTGAAGCCAGCGGTCTGGGCGATGGTCTCACCACCCGGTCCCGAGGCGTTGCCGTTGTCGTAATGCTGAGACACAACCAGGAACCAGGTCACACCGAAAGCTGCAGTATAGGCGGCATTTATTAGGCTGTCGAAGACATAGAGCCAAGCGAGCGCGAGACATTGTAGCGGCGTTTGTTTCCGGATGTGCGGGAAGAGCAGAGTTGCGAGACCGAGCGCGAGGAGGGAGTAAATGTACATGGACAGCTGCACCGGAGAGAGGTGGTAACCGGTCAACAGGGCGAGCAAGCCATAAAGTCCGCTGATTTTATTGAGGAGTAAGGAGAGAGTGATCAAGGAAGCTCCTGTCTGGAGACTCATGACATAGAGGAAAGTCTGTGTGAGGTCACCGGAAAGCCGGGATGCGATGGTTAGCCTCATTTCAGCGCGCGACCGGGCAACGGGGGTCCAAACAGGGTCTGGTTCCCATCCTAATTTTTTCAATTAAACAACGGGGGTTTTGTAATATTGGAACATACCTCTGGCCGCGGGATGCGGAGGAGACGGGATAAACCCATGATTGATATCGCCGAGGAGGGATATCACAGCTGAGGGAATGTTATGTAGAGGAGGGGGGTTGAGTATTGGGTGGGTGGGTGGTGTTGGTGGTGGAAGGAAGGGAGCGACAGAAAGAGGAAAAGGAATGGAAGGACTGGCGGGAGAGCGAGATTGAAAGAAGAGGACGCAGCCGGGCGTGTTTAAGTGACGCTGGCGCCCAATTGCGGGTTTCACAGGGGCACGATTTTCCGGGCGATCCGCCCGCCGATCGATGCCCTTTTCTTGCGGTGCTGCTTGCAACAGACCCTGTGGTCACCGCCAATGCGCTGCCCCATGACGTTGTTCGCTGTAGCCAACAGCACAAGAACTTAAAGCGACATACTACTGACCCCTGTTATACTGACTACTATTACTATCTTGCTACTGTCAAAAGAGTATCGTATACAGAGATTGAACAATCCATTTGTTCGATGGGGGCCTTGATTTCTCACCCATTTTCTTTCGCCCCCCCGTTTTGGATGGATCCCCTGCCGACTAGGAGGTACTAGACTGCCCATGTCGTACGTACATTCGCTACTTGAACTGTGCTTGCCAAGACATCATAATACGAGTACGACCAATGCTACTGCCTGATGGCCTGCTTACTATTGAACCCACCCTTCTGCATGGAATTCTCTCTCAGGGGCTGATCTGGAAAGGTCTTCCACATCTATGTTGTTGATTTTTCTCCGACAAGACTAGTCAGATCGCCGGGATGAGCGGTTGACAAGATAACCTAATCGTCACTCCCCGTTGATCATACGACGAGAACCGCAGCACTTGGTAGACCACCAGCGATCCCAACAAAAGCTTATGCCACCCATGCCTCGGCCAGTGCAACATGAACGCCATCTGGAGTAGTGGTATTTCTAACAAATCGCAACAGTAGCATCATCATTATCATCCATGATGCCCCCTCGAAGCGAGCGACACAGACAAGAAAACAGCACAAAAGTCGGGAAACCGCGGGGAAATGCAATATGATGTCAATGCACAAGCCGAACGCCTAGGTCTCCCGTCAAAAGTCGGATTTCAAGGTAAGGTTTCAAGAAGAGCAAGAGAAGACGCAGTCGAAAGAAAAAGAAAAGCTCAAGCTTGATCTAAACACGCTATTCACCTGGAACATAAAAGGAAGAAAAAATGTACATCTTAAAAATGAAGAGCATTATGGACAATCTCAAGCCTCATCATTGAGATTCAGGCACAGATGGAGAGGGATCGCAAGTAGGGAGTATGGCCGGAATGAAACGAATTAGAGAGTACAATATCTAGCAGGCGCATCCGTCGTTGGTCGTGGTCTCTTTCGGAGTGATGTTGACATCGATCACTGTAAGAGTTGTCAGTACTCATCCCGTGTAATTCGAGCCATGGGCGGGGAAAGGATAACGGACTCTGGTTGTCTCCCCGGTTGGCTTCACCCTCCATGCCCGGTAGGGCTTGCGCAATTCTCCTGAAAAGCTGCTTCACATTGTGGCCGACTTTAGCACTGGTCTCAATGAACATCAAGCCGTTCTTCTTCGCCTCCTCCTCGCCCTGCGCCGTCGTGACCTCGCGCTTGTCGTTCAGATCGGTCTTGTTGCCCACCAGGACGATGATGACATCGTTACCGCGTTCTCCCCGTACATCGTCGATCCATTTGCGTGTGTTCTGGAAAGACTTGGCGTTGGAGATATCGTAGACCACCACAGCGACACTGGAGTCACGGATGTAGGAAGGAATCAAAGATCGGAAACGTTCTTGACCAGCTGTGTCCCAAAGTTGAAGGCGCACAGTTCTGTCTTCCAGGTACATAGTCTAAGACGAGCGATGCGAATTAGCTTTTTGCAGCAGCGCGAGCGTATTGGGAACCATGAGACCGTGTGAGAATGGCTCGGTGAGGGCCTGCTAATGCAGGGCACAAGCAGTCGACTAGGCGTAGTATACCTTTGACAAGAAATCGATTCCAATGGTCGCTTGGTACGTGTTGTCGAATGAATCGTACATGAACCGTGTGATCAATGAGGTTTTTCCAACTGTAAGGCAGATGTCAGAGACCGGGTGGCGCCAATGATTGGAGTATCGTCGCAGAAGATATCCGTACCACTCTGCTCGCCCAAGAAAACCAGCCTGCAATTCGATTAGCCGCACATTAAGGAAAGCCGAAAGTTATGCTGCAGGCGGGACATACTTGAATTTCTTCAGAGGGTTCGAATACGACCCTACCCCGGAGGTGGATGCCATGACTGCAGATGTTCTTGATAGTAGGAGTGGCGGCGAAATCAGGGGTAGCGGAGGCACGTCGCAAAGTCAACAAGTGTTAAGGCGGTGGGCAGCGGTCAAGTGTGGGAGGAGGGCACTAAGGATACAAGGACATATATAGGGGTGGAAGTATATCTGGGGGAGAGACGAGAGGTGCGAAAAGCGACCGTATATATCGGGAGCAGGGAGGTTCAGCAAGACGACGACTGGAGGAGAGCTCGACCCATGGATCGGTCCGGGGAACTTGGACAGTATTATGTACTGCGTATTTGTATTATGCTGGGATGATGGACTGACAAGCACACGCCCGCGGATTAATCGGCGGCCCGACCTCCACCTCCCGCTGTACTGGCGGCTTGTTCCAGCTACACGCTTCGGTCAAGAGCTCCCTACGGTCCTCGTCTCACTCCCTATCTTCTGCTCCTCTCCTCTTCGGGGCCCCCGTCGCTTGTTTTCTTGATATCCTTCAGCACTCAGGTAGTGCCGTAAGCCGGGGTTTCATCATGGGTCTCCTCTATCCTGCCGGTGTTGTAATCGTGGCCGCAGCGGTGGTCGGACTGTGTAAGGAAACCCCATCATTCTGGCGCAGTGGGCTTCATCAAGATACTAATTTGGCTTGTTTCCATGATTAGACTACCTCTTCCGCGGCGAAGGCGAACAGATTAACGTACGCCACAAATCCCTACGACTACGATGAGCAGTGAACACCCGCTAATTCGATCTAGATCGGCTACTTCCTCGAGTCGGTGTCTCCGTATGCCTGGGCGAACTTTGGGATTGCTATGTGCATTGGCTTATCGGTGGTTGGTGCCGCATGGTATGGCTTTACGAGTTCCGCTTGTGTCATTGGGAACGAAATACTGACTTTGTTCCCATCAGGGGTATCTTCTTGACCGGCTCCTCGATCGTTGGTGGAGGTGTCAAAGCACCCAGAATCCGTACCAAGAACTTGATTTCGATTATTTTCTGTGAAGTCGTGGCTATCTATGGTGTTATCATGGCTATCGTCTTCTCCTCCAAGCTCAACCTCGTCGAAGGCGATGAGGCCTTCTCTGGCAGCAACTACTACACCGGATATGCGCTGTTCTGGGGCGGTATCACTGTGGGCGCCTGCAACCTGATTTGCGGTATCTCCGTCGGTATTAACGGAAGTGGTGCGGCCCTGGCCGATGCTGCTGACCCTAGCTTGTTCGTCAGCCCCTTCTCTCTAACGGAGTGAACGCTAACAATATGCACGATAGGTTCGTCAAGATCCTTGTTATCGAGATCTTCAGCTCTGTTCTCGGTCTTTTCGGATTGATTGTTGGGCTTCTGGTCGGAGGAAAGGCACTTGACTTTGGAGCTGCCTGAAGAATGGTGCTGGTGGAGGTGTAGAGGGCCATGATGGGAATGATCTGTACGACCTATATCATTCTTGTCTTCACTTTTCTGTTATTTGTCCTATTTATAGGCCGCATTGGGCGCATGGATTCGATTTGACTGTAGACCGGTTGGCTATGCGTGAATTGCATTGATAGTCTTGCTTTTGTTGGTTTGCCTGATGGGGAAAGAAGAGGAGGAAAGGTGTACAGTAATTGTTAGGAGATATCATAGGAACTTTTACAAAACCAAGATAAATAGGCGAGGCTATGTATTCCCTTCTTGAAGTGAAACCTACTGTAGCAGTTTGCAGTACTAGAATGATATGCAGCATACCTAGTAGGCGCTGCGGGTCACCACTCCGGCCAGTCAAGCAGCCTCCGCTCTTATCGACATCTCCGTTCTCCCCACCCTTCCCGGTAGGAGACTCTCCAGCAACCCCTCACATCCCTACAATGGCAGACAACACCCTCAAAGCGGCGATTTTGATCGTCTCGGATACCGCTTCGCAAGATCCCTCTACGGATAGAGTGGGAGACACACTTACGACCGTCATCTCAGCCGAAGGATCGAACAACTGGGGTGAGCCCGTTATCAAGATCGTCCCCGATAGTGTGTTGGATATCCAACGCTCCATCTGTGACTGGACTGATGGACCAAACTGGGTTAACCTTGTGATTGTAAGCGGTGGTACTGGGTTTGCTACAAAGGATATCACGCCTGAGGTTGGTCTTCTACCTGTCCTTGAGCTTCGCGCTTCATTGCTAATGCTAGACAGGCCGTATCGCCTCTCATCCAACGCCATGCATCTGGCCTGGTGTGCGTCTACTTCAACTCTTCTATGTCGGCTTTATGACCGGTACTAACTTACTGCGCCTAGACACGGGATGATTGCAGCTTCTCTCAAAGTCACCCCTTGTAAGGCCGTCAGCGATAACATTGTGATACTTGACTGCTAACAAACCTAACCAGTTGCAATGATGTCTCGCCCTGTTGCAGGTGTGCGAGACAAGACATTGATTGTCACCGTACCTGGATCTCCCAAAGGTGCCAAGGAAAACGTTGAAGCTATCATCAAGCTCTTGCCGCATGCGTGCAGTCAGGCGGCCGGCGCAAACTCCAGAGCTCTGCACGCAGGCGGGGTCAAGAAGCTGGAAGCCGAGGCAGGAGTGTCCTCTGCGCCAACTTCCTCTGGTAGTAAGGCAGACCAACATCATCATCATCATCACCACCATCACCATCACGGTGGCCATGATCATAGTCATGGACATGCCGTTCCCCGCGCACATACTTCCCCGTCAGAACGACCCCAGTCAAATGACCCAAACGCCGGTCCAAACCGGCGATACCGCGAGTCCCCGTATCCGATGCTCTCTGTTGACGAAGCGCTCAAATTGATCAGCCAACACACGCCCGAACCGACAATCATTGAAGCTCCAGTGACAACAGCTCTCGTTGGATCCGTCATTGCTGAAGATGTCTACGCCAAGGAAGCTGTGCCTGCATACCGTGCCAGTATCGTTGACGGTTACGCCGTCATCGCGCCCGAGTCACCCAATGCCGGGCCCAACACCAAGGGAATATTCCCCGTTGCATCCATAACCCACGCCAATGAAGGAGGCGTCCTATCCCCACTCGAACCCGGCACTATAGCCCGAATCACCACCGGAGCACCGCTTCCACCGAACGCCAACGCCGTAGTAATGGTCGAAGACACCGTTCTCGCCTCATCGACCCCAGACGGCCAAGAAGAAGCAACAGTCGAGATCCTAACCGGCGACATCAAGCCCCAAGAGAACGTCCGCGAACCAGGCAGCGATGTAGCTCTGGGGTCATGCATCCTCCGGAAAGGCGATCTCATCACCTCGGTAGGCGGCGAGATCGGCCTTCTCGCCGCGACAGGTACCCAGACGGTGAAAGTCTACAGGAAACCCTGCATCGGAGTCCTCAGTACTGGCGACGAACTGGTCGAACATAATGACCCTCGCAAGCTCCAAGGCGGCCAAATTCGTGACTCGAACCGTCCTTCCCTCCTCTCCTGCCTTGCCTCTTGGGGTTTCCCTACCGTCGATCTCGGCATCGCCCGCGACACTCCAGTGGGAGCACTCGAGCAAAGCCTCCGCGACGCCCTCCGAGGCATCGGAAAAGCCCAAACCAGCGTCGACGTAATCATCACGACCGGCGGTGTCTCCATGGGCGAACTCGACCTCCTCAAACCCACCATCGAGCGATCCCTCGGCGGAACGATCCATTTTGGCCGCGTCTCCATGAAACCAGGCAAACCTACCACCTTTGCCACGATTCCATTCAAGCCCTCCTCAACACCATCGTCATCCTCAGGACAACAAGAACGCGAAACGAAACTCATCTTCTCCCTCCCCGGTAATCCTGCCTCCGCTCTCGTCACCCTCAATCTCTTCGTGCTGCCCTCCCTCCACAAGCTCATGGGCATGGAACAGCGGAAAATCACACCCGCTGGGATCTCCCCGCCACTAGGCCTTCCCCTTGTGTCTGTGGCGGTGGCGCATCCCTTCCCGGTTGATAAGAAACGCACCGAGTATCATCGGGCGATTGTTACGGCGTCGCGTTCGGATGGTCGACTTTATGCTATGAGTACTGGATTGGAGGGAGTGGGACAGCGTAGCTCTAGAGTGGGCAGTCTGGCGAGTGCTAATGCGCTGTTGGTGTTGAAGCCCGGGACTGAGAAGGTTGAGAAAGGGACGTTGGTTGAGGCGTTGATGATGGGGGCTGTGGTGTCGGAGAAATGAAGAGGGATGGCTTGGATACGAGCTTTTATTAGTATGATATCAAAACTATATCACTCGGTTTACAACCGTTACCATTATATGTGCAAATCAGTTTCTTTCCCCGTTAAATGAATTCTGGTTATTTTGCCAAAACCATGCAAGAATACAATATTCTATACCAGAAGACAAGTTCAGAAGCTGTTGTATCACATCGCACTGTGGACTCCAAAACAAAGGGTATCGCTACCACCAAAGAAAAACAAGTGTTAGATCAATCAATGTCCGCACCACAAGATTCCCAGGACCAGTCGCACTTGATAACCAACGATGATTAAATAGACCTAGATATGATAAACGAACAACACGCAAACTTTCGCTATTGTGTCTCATGGGCCTGACCAACCCATCAGCCTTTATGGATCTTCCACCCCTTCTTCTTCGCCGCCCGAAGCACAGGCAGGGTATATTCTCTGCCCTGCTTGCGAGCAACTTCAATGACAACGAAGCGAACAAAGTCAGTCAAGGTCCAATAGCTGCTATGTGCGCTGAGCATATTCAGGTACTGGATATTCAAGGGCCCGCCGCCGCCAGAGAGGAAGTAGTCGATCTGGCCGTTGTCGTTAAGGAGAAACATGCGCTTTTCGGCAATTTCTTCATGTGTGAAGTCGTGCGTTTCAAGCTCGACGTTGGTGGGGAGCTTGTTGAGGGTCGCTGGACGGGTGGGGACGGTGGTGTTTGAGGGGAGTAGAGCTGGGGGGTTGCTCCAGCGGAATACGCTGCCTACGGATTGCCAGAAAGATGCGGCGGAGGTAGGGATGGAGGCGGGTCGGAGAGATCTGGCGAGGCCGCTATCGACGGCGGCGTTGACGTGGTAGGCGATTGCTGGGTTGTGTATGTTAGTATGTGGTGGTTTGGAGTCCGGAATGATATATGCTTACGATCAGTGGTGTGCATGATGTTGTATAGGTTGTCGACGGCTAAACAGCCGTATGTGTCTGCTTCACCTGCTACGCCTCGGAGCCGGTCGTCGCCTTCACAGCCGGGTTTGTCTCGTCCTCGACGGGGTAGTAGGTTCGCTGTATGCTGGGTTAATCCGGTGTATGGAATAAAGGTGGACGAGAGTCTAGATTTACCTTTGTTGAGAAGGAGGAAGAAGCCGGCCGGACTGCCGCAAATGAAGAGGTTCTTCGTATCAAATTCAAAAATGTCCCCGTGAACTTCGGTTTTAGAAAAGTTAAAGGAAGGGATTTTCGTTGGCTGATGAGTGAGTATATCCAAGGCCATGGCGCTCCCCAGGGAATGTGCAAGCAGATGCACTCGCCCGTTCTGCTGGAACCCTGGATTGTTCTCACACCAAAGGCGAAAGATGCGGTTAGCTTCTTTGACTACTGCTCGGATCATCTTAGGCTTGTGATGAGACAGATAGTACGGGATATCCAGCATGACATCGCTGATCAATGATCTGACAGCCGGTATCGTCTGTGGCGTGATATCGTCTAGCGAATAGTGGTTCGCAGCAGGGTCTTCCCCAGCCGGAGACTCCAGGTTGGCTTCATCTAAGGACAAGGTAGAACGCCAATTGACAGGAAGGGCCATAATGCCCCCGTGGCCTGGGCGCACATGTGGCCAGACTGGTTCGCTGTTTAATTCCACGTTTATTTGCCTTCGAAAGGCATTGATGGCATGGGTAAAATGAAAGCTCTCCATCCGTTCCGACAGTTTCTGGCCAATACCATGTATGACTAGCACCAAGTCTGTGGGAGCAGGCCGCAATCCCTCTATCGCACATGCATAGCAAATGGGCTCAAGGGATGTCGTCGACATCGCTCGAGATTGAGTACTGCGCAGATAGTTCCTCACGTCTACTGGGCTGGGTTTGCTTGGGTGTAGTCGGTCCCACAGTCGTCTACTGAAGCCACGAATCACAGGAATACCAATTTGTCTCCCTTTACGGATCGCACTGAGCGGCTTGCGTCCCCTTGACACAGATGGAAGAAGGCTGGGCCGGAGAATTTGTGCGTTTCTCGCGTCGGCGTAGATAACACTAGAATTCAAAAACGGTTTGACAGTGTCGGACTGCGCGGATGTACTACCCGCAGCTCGATTGAGATCTAAAGGCATAATCTCAGGTATTTTGCGCTTGTCTTCGTTTGACAGACGAGCGGTAGAGCTTCGGATCTCAGAACCTGGCGCAGCCACAGCTGTAGGTGGTCTAGTTGTATTCTCTTTCGGCCAGAGCTTGTGTACAATCTTCAATTCGGCGTCGGCACCATTCTCAACGCAGCTGTTGAGTTCATCTTGCCATGTTTCAGTCCACGGTTTCAGGTAATTGTAGCCATCTTCCAATCTATTGGCAAGTTCGGTCTCCACGGGTAGCATGGTATTCTTGTAAAACCATGTCGCACGAAACACGCTCGAGATATCATGTAGGGGGCTCCAATAAATCGGTTTCATCTGTCCGATTTTAGCCTCTCGCTATCATGGCCAACCGCATTGAAGAAAAAATGGACTTACCTTCAGACTTGGTAACTCGACCAGATGAAGCCGAGATGCACCTACGGGGACTTTGTGCCGCGGCTCTTCAGCCGGGTTGGCTTCTCCAGTTTCATCATGAAATTCATCAGCAGATGACTGTCGAATCGTCGTTCGTAGCCCTGATGGTTTCGGTGCTGATTGAGTGGGCGGATCGATTAACGAATCTTGGTTCTCGTCTTTCGACGAAATAGACTCCACTGACCGACCCAATGGGCTGTGTCTGGGGGAGACTGGAGCTCTGGCAAAAGGGGAGCCACTGATGCTCACATCACGTGAAGGATAGCTTCGCGGACTGGTGCTCTCTGCGCCATCAGGTCCTGTATCATCACTCGTTAGTACCTCATTAGCCTTAGTTTCTACTGATCCGAATTTGTCGTTAAAAGGTGGCTCTAGTCTGCGCCGTAACACGGCACCGGCTGCAGGACCGCCATCTAAGCTACTGCCGAGTGTGCGTGACCTTTCTCGAGACCCTTTGTTGTTTGCGCCTGCTTTACCAGCTTCGATCCTGGACCGTATTTGAGAGCTGGGTGGTAATCGGTCATCCAAGGAGCGCGAAGGAGCATCGGCAGCACTCTTCTGGCCACTAGCCAAGTTTCTGTCATGTAGTCCCTTTTGCTTCAATTTCCCAGTATCCCCAGCATATCCCCGGCCTGGTACATCGATTCCCAAATTTCTAGTTGACGAAGTAGCACTATGAGATTTGTATTTCCCATCGAGTTCCTGTCTTATGGTCTGCTGCAATTGTCTCCAAGAATCTTCCAGGGCGGCATTATCCCTCACTGAGAATGGTTGGAGCGGAGCCCACTCATTTCCAGAACCTTGACCGCCAGTTGGAGGAGGAAGGGCAGCCAAAGGATCGTCGATCGCGAGGGTGGACGTGTAAAAGAACTGCGGTCGAACGCTAGGTGGTTTATCCGAAGAAAGCCAGGCAGAGAGATCGGGATCGTCTTCCGCGAGTAAACAAGATGGGCCGTAGGTATGGATAGGGCCGGTCGTCATCGTGACGGCACGTAGCAGGCACAGGACTACCACAAAAGAGAGCTGTGTAAATAAACAAAGCCAGTGTAAAGTGATCAAGGGCTAACCGGCATGGCAGTGAGTCCGAGCCCGGTGAAAATGTAGGCAGAAACGCTGTTCTGTGTTGGGGACGTCCAGCGCGCGCTGGATTGTAGGTCAGCAAGGGAGGCCAGGTATCAGCGAGAGCTTCGAAAAAGCCCGATACCAGCTTCGAGAATATGATTCATAATCGAGGGAGATGCACCGAAAAGACATGCGATGCTCCAGTAGCCAGCCAGCCAGCTGGAGATGGATTTGGGACAGAAAAGTTGGCTGCAGGAGAAAAGTGATTCCTCGTGAATCCGCAAAGGACCCCATGACGTCGGCCCACGTGAAAGCCGCCAGTCGATCGCGGATCTCGATTGGCAGCCAAACCACTCTTTCCACTACTGCTTAGTCTACTAGTATTTCAACCATTACTCAGACAGCACCAGCCACGAAGGATTATCCCTCTTTGTTTCTATGGGAATTTTTTTTCTTGATCTGCAGGTCGCTCGATTTGCTCAAGTAAAACCGGTGAGGATGTCGCACCAAGCGGAGCCAAAAATCACGGAGTTATCGCGGCTAACTGTCCGTGTGGATCTTGTTTAGCTACTATCTTATCTCTCTCTACTATGGAGTAGACCGCAAGAATAAGCCATACGGGTGCTGGAGCGCTCCTAGCGTTGGCGGAAAGCTCTCGAGACTACTGGGAGCATGGTAGCAATGCAAGGAAGACCGCTCGACACGTAGCTAATTAGGTGCTGCCAACAAACCTCTACATTCCAGTAAACTGCGCCTGACATATCAAGCTGAGGTTTGAAACTCATTTTATTTTTACAGCCAGACACGATAGTTGAGCTGTGCGAGTTGTTATCGATCGCTCCAAGAGGACTACTTAATAATACCCGTTTCTTGTTATAGTTGAACATTCTCAAGAACTTTTACGGACCTTCTCGGAAGTTTATGAGCCATTACCCGGATGATCTGGCAAGGTGAGGTGTGATCGACTGTTGTATCAAATAGAGTCAGGGCACTCGTAAGTGGGTTCAAATGATTGGTGATATATTGCCCGGGAGGGGTTTTAGGCGGTTTAGCTGGTCTCAGGTCTCCTCGTGCCTCATTTCTGTACTTTAAAGGCTTCGGGGCGATGTGGTGATGCATACGTGGCGATTGGTCCACGGGCTGCACGGTGAGTTGTGTCTGCAGGAAAGCGCCCGCCAAGTCAATCTGTCAGAATCCCGATTGTGGAGTCAAGTACCTCGCTACGCTCACTATTCCTCTATGAGAGTCTGAGATCAGTCTCTTTGCATGTATTATGTCCTGGAATGGATTTCTATCTAGATAATAGATACATCTCTTGATAAACGCGTGCTAAGCCGCTAATTACTCGTCACCGCTCCTAGCATGTACTATTGCTTGTTGTGCCGAGCTGGAATATGAAACAGATAGCAGGAAGGAAAGAAAACCGAAATAAAGAAAATGAAAGAATGAGGTACATCGAATTGCTCAATGCGCCATCAAATGATGCCCATCGTACTTTCGACCTGGGTGACGCAGCTTCTCATGACTACCATCAACTTGGCAGAGCTTTTCCAGATGGGACTTCATCAAAGACAGTATGCTCATCTGAAGCTCTTCAAATGTGAGATATGTGGTAAGAGGCGCGTCCAGCATGTCCAACAGTTTATGGATGTCATGCATGTGCTTGCGGACAGCGCTATCAGGGAAACAGAAGGTGCGGACACCCATCTCCTTGCTAAGTGCCTTCCAATTATTCAAGTTCGACTTCAGGAGAACTGCGTTGGTTGAGCATTCGCCACTGAAACGAAGTGTCCGGATATTCGCCAGGACCAACCGGCGCTGGGTGGCCTGGTCGAACTGGAACTCAACAACCTGAGGACGGTTTTTCGATCCCCAATAGTTAGTGACCTTTCGAATTGACTCTTCGGACAGACGGCCCTCATTGTATTGTCCGAGAAGGAACTTGTTGGTGCTGACGCACAGCATGACCTCCATTTCTGAATACAGCTTTGCTTGGGTCGGAGGATCAAGCGAGATGGGAATGGTTGATTCGGGGACAAGTCTTGGGCGAAGGCTGGCATGGATGATGGGGTTTGGATGAGCCCTGGCCATATCTTCTGCCTGAAACCAACATTAGCATATATATGCTATGGAGTGAAAAAATGAAAGCACTTACAAGTTCTTCCACTTGTTTGATGACCTTTCTGCCCAGTCCTCTCAAACCCTTGAATCTATGAGCGTTGCTCGAAATATCGTTCATGTCGGCAGTGCAGCCGAGCCAGCCATGTTCACCGAAAAGCTTCTTGTGCGTGGTTTTGGTTGGCATTAAGGCAGGTTCCACACAAGAAGTATCTACCTGATTATGATTATAATGCTCGATAGGATGGACCGAGTTGAGAAATGCGTTTCTGGAGCGATCAAAATGTTCGACGACAGCAGTTTGTTCAGTAAGAACCCCGTCGTGAGTCCGATAAGAAGGCTTATGCTCTCTACCAACCTGGAGCAAGGTGCATGCCTGCTTGGGTACATGACGTTCGGCATAGCACTGGCATTCTCTCAGCAGAGATGCAGATGCTTCTCGATGAACACAAGACTGTTCATTTCCGGAATGTGTCGACGGAGATGACGGAGAGGACTGACTCGACGAGCCTCCTGAGGAGATGATCATTTCACTTGCGGCCTGAGCTGATTTGTTCCACATATCCATGATCTTGTCGTAGAAGGGATTGATTCTAGCGATTTCCTCAAAGCTGAGGTTCCTCCATTGCAGTTAGCATTGTTGAATGGAAGAAACAGAAGGATATCTTACTCCGGACTGAGCATGATGGGAACTTCCCAAGTCTCGCTGCTTTCGTTATTACTCTCCATCGTGAAGTCGAGGCGTTTCAGTTAACCGATCGAGTATAATGAAGCTTGAATAGACGAAGTCTGACAGACAACGAAGGAACTGAGGTATGCAAAGATGATTGGAGCTTTTGGATAGACAATAATCCGAAATTGTTGGAGAGTATAGTCCTGACGGTCAGGTAGGCAGGGCACTGTTACCAATCCTATTGTTCTATTGTGAGCCTTTTAGCCCCATTGAATGCCGTAAGAATGAAATTATACCAGTATCAAGCCTACAGAATGAGGGTTTTCATTTATACAGGGCAATATTTTTCCCAGATAGGAAATCATCTAGTGAATAATGCTATTGTTCTCAACAATAGAGCACATTGACCTAACATGTGTTCCTAGACTAAGCCAAAATAGGTTATTCTATAACTATTGAACAATAGGATCTTGAACAATAGGACTTTCTCAATAGGCTTAATTGAATTATGTTATTGTTGCTACAGGCATTCATCCAGTGTTATTGGTCCAGATTCACCTAACACCAAACAGAGAGATTAAGCTACGTACATTGTGCTAGAAACAATTATAGAAAGTACCACACATGCAATAATCATATAAGGAGACACTTGTAGCTAGCTAAGTTGCTGGTAAGATGAACACAACGCTATTCAAAAGATCCTTACCCACTATGCGCTTCTAGAGGCCAACCCGTATGCGAGGCCATACCCACAACACACCACAGCAGACTCCAGGAGATGTTCCACCCATAGAATGAGTAGATATCTAGTAGCCTAAAAGCGTTGTAACTATTTCTTGAGTTCACAATTACTGCTGTAACCACAGCAACCCTTACCGGTATGGATTTATAGTAGTTACCGACCTATCGTCAGCAGTCGGCATGCCGACGTCAAAAGCTGAGTTTGATCCCGACTGCCTCTGGAAACCCTCTCGTTACTTGTCTCACATTCTAGAATGCCTCCACAGGATTTCAAGTCTCGGAACGTGTCAGGGCTCTGAGCGGCACACGATACATGGTATTCTTATTAACGTGCATTCCCCCACGTGAAGCAATTGTGAAAGCGCACAGTCCGGAAGCTGGTGTGTCAGGCTTTAGATGCACTCTCAGTAGGACTGTGACTCAGAGATCTCAGCGAAGTTTAGTACCTATGAAATATTTCACTGGTGTAAGTGGAGTGCACAACATACGTTTCGCTTACAGTAAGGGAATCTCCTACGAATATAGTGCATCCTATGGTTGGGATTTGGTGCGACTAATGATACAGTGCAAAAAAATGGCTACGTACTCTGATGTAGAGCCAAGTCTCATGGCTAGTATTAGTGGGAGTTCCAATATGTCTGATAAGTGTGGAGAGTAAAGGCTACCAATATGTTGGTATTTAAGTCTCATGACCTCAATACTACGGGTCTGATATTCCGATATAATTGCTTATAAATTGGGGAAAACATATCACATAGTGTTGCTAAGATTGGTTTCTGGCTTCATGACCCTGCGGAATAGCTCAGAATAACCAGAATGAATAAACATGGTTCACGTTAACGTTGACAATTTTAACAAACACACGAATGTGACACTGAAGTGAAAAGGGCAGCAGGCGGGAGGGCGGTAGAGTCTTTATGTGTGCTTCCGAAACCCGACATCACGGCCCCGCACTGAAGAACTTCCTTCCTCCATATCAACACTCTCGCGCTCAAGCAACAAACACAGCCAAGATGCTTTCCCTCCTCCTGTCTGCCGAACTCAGCGGGTATGTCTTGTTCTTATATTACTAACTGGCCCTTTCACCTATCTATCCCTTCAGTCAAACCCCCAAAGGTCATTTAATGTTTCCCCTCCGCAGAGATCCTTCCCCGCACCTCATCTCAAACCAACTCCAACTCACATATCTTCACCTCCAATAGCGTCACCGACCTCCGTCCCAAGGACACCGAGGAAGAGCCCTACTACTTCACTTTCAAAGTGCAATGCACCTCTTGTCGTGAAACCCACCCCAACTGGGTCAGCTTCAACCGCTTCGTAAGTCCGCTTCATCTCCCCCATCCTATAGATTCTCTGAACGGGAAACTTACTCTGTATCCAGGAACAACATGAAATCCCCGGTAGTAGGGGCGAGGCGAACTTTGTCTGGAAATGCAAGCTGTGCCAGGTGGGTTGACTTCTCCTTTCTAACTTCATTCTCGCAACTGAGAATACTGAAACATCGGGATGATGTGTAAACTAATATTGATTGGTACTAGAAAACCCACTCTGCCTCTATCACTGCCGGCCCCAACGTCTACGAGGCGGATGAGAAGCGCACTGCGAAGAAGGTGATTGAGATTGACTGCAGAGGATTGGAATTTACCGAGTTTAAGGCTGATGTAAGTGGTTAAATCGTCCTTTTCTTTTTCTTTCTCCTTCTTTTGAGACTTTTGTGGTTCTTTACAGTGCTCTTTGTTGGGTTACCAAGGGATAGCAGCAGCTAACGACTTATCAGGGTGAGTGGGAAGCGAAGGGAGCTGAGTCTTCTACTCCTTTCACCGGCATTGATTTGTCAGAGGAAGAGTGGTATGATTACGATGAGAAGGCGGGAGAGGAGGTTTCGATCAAGGAGATCAACTTTCAGGTCGGAAGGGCATAAGGGACGGAAATCACAAGTGTTTCTTGTATTATCATTTAATGAGAAATGGAGTGTAGTTTAGCCTGTGTAAGCGACGATAGAGCCTAAGATTTCTTTGATGCTGTGTATGGCTGTACAGGATTAGGATGGGGATGGAAAACTATGCCTATTTTAAACCACCTGATCTGAACAAGGTTTCAGGCCCGGATATTGCCATATACAGCGAAATACCACCTCCAGAGAGAGAAAGAGAGCAACTGACCCGGTGGGTGCACATTGAAGCTGATGAAATGCGGAGCGATATTGCAGTACTCACAAGGCGGTGTCTTTGTGCAGCTTGTGATTGGGTGATACCCGCGTCTGGCGGCATCACATTTTCGCGGACGGCATCAGCTCCGTCAAGTTGGCTCTGCGATCTCCGATAGACTGCCCAGCTCTTTTACAGCACGCGATCAACTCAATTTCACCTGGACGTGGAGACGGTCATTTTTTATTTCCATCATTACACGATTCCTTTGGCGCGTCCATCTCCATCGACATCCATATTTTGCAAACTCCTGCTGAGCAGCTGGCATTGATTTCAGACCACCAACCATGAGTGTTCGTACTCTCCTATCCCTACTCCATTGACTCAAGCTTTATCTTCAGGCGTACACTTTTGTTAATAAGGAGTAAACTGACTCTGCGAATCTAGTTCAACCCTGTCAACCCCCGGCCTTTCCTCCAGGCTAGGTACGCACCCGGTCCCTTGTCGCTTGATCGCCCCGCCGCAATCCTATCCTATAACTTCCAATTTCTATTGAAAAATATCCTCTAATTCAAATCGCAGAGTCGGTACCGAGCTCATCATCCGTCTGAAGTGGGGCCAAACGGAATACAAGGGCAAGCTTGAGAGCATCGATTCGTACATGAACGTGCTGCTCCGTGATACGGAAGAGTTCATTGATGGAAAGAACACGGGAACATTGGGTCTGGTCCTGATTAGGTGCGTTTACTCGGTCGCCTGATATCTCGGGGGCTGGGGTTTCCTGATAGCAGTGCTGGGATCTGCGCATCCGTTACCCCTCTTCGGAGATACACTTGGACGCATATTGGAAGGACATTTGCTAACGCAATACGCTGATAGGTGTAACAACATCCTCTGGATGGGCTCTGCGGACAGTGTGGAAATGACGGACCTGGGACTACGATAGACGGAATCGGGCGCTATACCAGGCAAATGAAGACACATATACCAATAACTCTTCCCGATAAGATACGCGCACATTGGAAAGGTGCTCAGAAAGAGGCATATTGACGGATTTTCATGTACGGGTTTTTAGCAAGCTCCGTCCTCTACTTTTCTTTATTTCTGGACCAGGCGTTTTTACATGATGGCTTTCGAGGATTGATTCGGGGAAATGCAGTCTGAATTGTGCGGAGCTTGCTGGAAAATCTAACGGTCAAGGACATAAGAGAATAAGGTCTCTGATTCTGGTCTCCTATTATCTGGCACTGAATCACAGATATGTGGTATCATCCCACAGCCTGTGACATTCAATGTGCCGTTGAAAGTTCCTGTCAAGTACTTAGCCACATAGACGAATGTGATAATTACAAAAGGCCAACGAGTCGGAAGTATCTCCGTGTAGTGCATTGCGTGTACTACGTGGTCTGAGGCCAGTGTTGTTTGCCTTGGACTGCCGCCAGAGAGCCTCTGCTTTACCCCACTCGATCATGTCATTCACATCAACATCCCATCCAGTACAACACCACCACAGACGCGTCTCTAAGCATATACTCTTTATCTGGTACGAAGTCAGTCTTCTCAAGCAGGCCTGCTTAGCCACTCAATGATTACTATGACTTCAGTATTTCCAAATAATGGCCGCCAGTAGCCTCTAGACCCAAGTATGGCATTAATACTACACACTTTCGAGCACAGAGTAACGATTTTAGAAGACAGCCGCAGTATACAAGTCTAAATTTAAGATACAACAATATACTGTCTTGTGCGAGGCAGCACCCAAATGACATATAGTTGGATTTACCATGGATACTGAACAGTTTGGAGCAAACACCCAAAGCCAAATCATGAAGCCTTTTTTAAGAGCAACAGATCCAGTAGCCGAGTTTCCCCATCAGGCAATTTTGCTAATAACGTCAAGGTATATAAAGTGTGATTAGGTCCGTTGTTGACATCAGCTGATACTGGCATAGGATAAGTTCCAGTTATGGAAGGAAGAGGTCAGAGAAACGCCATTCGCAGCTGTGCAAAACAAAAAGTTTTGGGCGTAGCAGGCCTCCCCACCCTTCCGGGAAACGCACACCCAATGCAGATAGTACCGCACTGGGCACAAACAGGTATATCAAGAGCAGGCGCTGAATATAGGTCGATAAGATGAACCATACGAGGTAGGTAATGTATATTGGGTTCAAGGCAATCGATTGCCGCAGGCTCAGCCGAGTCAGAAGCGCAGTGAGTAGGGCAGGATTGGCACCCGGGCCACGGTAGCGGTACCATACGCCCCAGTGGGGATACAGCCACCACTTGAGGATGAGTCCATCATGAAGCATGCATAGTCCGATGGCTGTTCCAACCCACAGCATCAGCAAAGTCGAAATACCGAATGGGATCAATGTTTTCGAGAACCAGCGAAGGGCCATAATAGCAACGGTTAGGATATGAAGATTGAAAAAGATCACGCAGGAAAGCGGCATTCGGGCCTCACACCCTATCCTTCGTGCCACACTTTCCATGAACGCATTATAATCAACCAGCGAATTGACTTCGGGGCTGATATAGTAATACTCACGCTCAGCGGCCTCATCTTTTCGTGCCTGTTCTGCATAATCAGCGGGAAGCTGTCTTTCGTCACGCAGTAACAATGCGATATATCGGCTCAGCATCTCGGCAGCAGGAGGAATGCCTCCCTGGCCAGGCCGTGCATAGCCCAAAAAGAAAAGACAGTCGCCCAGCTCCTCGGGGAAGCAATGCAGGAACCATGATCGTGGGTTAGGCGAGAAGGGAATACCGTCAGGGAGCTGAAGCCAAGGAAATTCCAATCGGAAGCCATGACAAAGCAAGATGGCATCAAACTCGCGCCGTTGCCTTGTCCCATCTGGAAGGCTAAATTCACAGGTCCGCCCACTAACAGAGACAAACGGGGTTATTAATGCTTCTAATTTCTCTTTGTCTAAAGCCTGACACATTCGCGAACTTTTCGTGATAACTGTGGATTGATCACTGCGGAGGAACGCCGTTGCCAACCTTTCCAAAAACCAGCGCTCTCTTGTGGACATGATTAGGCCATTATAGAAGACGGCACGACGGAACAAGCTATAAAGATAAACGTTTTGTGCTGCACCCAGGCGATTTGTAGTGATGGCTTCGAGGAAGATGCTGACCGGGAAGTCCACGGTTTGGTTGGCTCTCATTTGTTGCATCTCATCAAGCCTGTTAAGGTAGCGAATGGCCACACAGGGTGGACGTCGCAACCAAACCGTCAGATTAGGCGACAACTCACAAAGGTCTGCTGAGATATCGGCACCGCTTTCGCCGCCTCCTACGATCAGGACCCTAAGCTTCTTTTCCGCGACTTCCCGCATAAAATATTTGTCGTACGCGTTGGAATGGATAATCTTGCCCTCGAATCCCGCCAGCTGTGAAGGTACATCATTCGGAACTTGGCTACCCCCTGTTGCAACAATAAGGGCGTCTGCCTGCAATTGAATGATGGATTCATCGTTCTCATCGTCTCTTGTCTGCTTGATCGACAGATTCCATTGTTTATCGTCTCCGCGAGTGGCCTTACAAACTTCCGAGCGATACCTGATATGACGTTCGAGATCGAAATGGCGAGCATAATCTTGCAGATATAGCAAATAATCCCTGGCCGTGGAACATCGCATGCGAGATGGATCAGGAAAGTCCGAGAAAGCCATCGCCCTGTTGGAGATCGTGAGGTGGAGGTTCGGATAAGCCATTGCTGTGGCGAACAGACCACCCAGCTGATTGGAACTTTCATATATGGTTGCGTCGAGACCTGCTTGCAGCATCTCTTTCAATGCTACTAAGCCACAGGGCCCAGCTCCAACGATGGCCACTCTTTTCATGATAGGTGAGGAGAGAAGGTCAATCCGCTCTTGGACTATGGGGCACTGCACCCACAAAAAGTCCCGAAGGGACCACTGCCCTTACTTATGATCACACTATTTGATCAGGTCACTTGATTGAGAGGTCGCATTGTGTCACAATTGTTAGCCAGTTATTATTGGACACGGCGCAGAGCCGTCTACAGCAGCTGACGCCTTGGGGCCTTATCTTAGTTCGTTCGCTACTGCATGCGGTGACTAAATGGCTGTCGATCCAACGACAAACCCTCTCTGAGTGGTTGTCCGAAGTGCAGATTGTGAACAGATGGTGAGCGCTAAGCCATAAGCAGATCAGTTGGCGCTTTCTTGCAACCATTTCAGCTCGCCACATGTTGCCAAATATCATATCGTGCGTACATCGTCTGGCGATCTGTCTCTGCCCATACTCCGGACATATTACCCGGTGTCCAAGCGCTTGACCAATCCAGCCCGGCCTAATATCTGTCATTCTACTTGGTTCATGCTACATAACCAAGCAGAGCCTCACCCAAAACCAACAACTGAGAGGACTGGTGCCTCGTCAACTCTCTCCCATGCGCAGAGATTACAAGGAGAGATGCACTTGATAAGGCATCTAAACTTCCACTCAGCTTTTATGAAGGTGGATTTGTAATCTCAGTAATCATTTCCCCGAATTTGCTTATTTTATCTCGCAGAAATTTGACCGCTACCCTGAGAGAAGAAGAGGGCTGTTGACCGCCAGTTTTACCGTCAAATCATTCGACGTTACAAAGTATTCAAAAGACCTCTCACAAGCCAAGCTAGCCATTGCTGATATCTCAAAGCAACTATGAAGCAATTTGTACTTCAAATGCTTCTCATATTCTGACTCGGCCGCTATTTCTATATCTTTGAGAAGAATGTCTTCTCAGTGCACAAAGGCCTCAGGGTTTCTCTATTTGTTTGATTGAACCAAGATAAATATGTTGTCATGATAATTCAGCATTTCGCTGACTCTTAGAGCCAGCTAACCTAGTACTCACCATTTAAATACATAAGTCGTCTGAAGAAGAAGAAAGATATTGTCCAAAGTGCCTAGTCATATAGACTTAGACCCCGAAAAGACCAGCAACAAGAAGCAAAGCAGCAACATACTTCGCCTATAGTCGAAGAGTCAATGATGCAAGTACGGCCGTATCTGGAAAAGGAGAGATTGGTATTTAGTCAATGTACATAGAATCAAATTAAAAGAATCTCAGGCAGATGAAGAGAAATAAAGGGAATCGAAGAAAAGGCTCAAGGTGACTACTCCAGAAGAGACCGTCGCCGCTCTTTAAATACACGCTTACGGAATGTAGATGAATCAACCGGGAGTAAAATGCATTGTACAGAGTCCAGTTTGCCAACTCCGATTGGGCAAGGTGCAAAGCCAGATACCACAGCACTCGCTCGACGACCTCTCTAGCGATCTTTCCATCTCGTACACTACTGCATGTGGTAATTAAATGACTGTCGCAGACCCATCCAGCAAGCCCCTTGTGGGATGGTTGCTGAGAGTAAAGGCATGAATATGCAACACAAGCTAACCACTGAGTCGTATTAGCAAGTTAGTTGACAGCTACTACCTGCATGGCGTCTGAGATTACCACGTGTCCCAGTAATATCGCAGATGTTACTCGAGGGAGGGTTTAGTTCTTTTATGCTTCTCCCAACCCAGTCTATATTATGGCTACGAAATAATCACCAAATACATTGGTATTTGCGGGGATGGTGTCATCGCCAATCAAGAGTGTCCTACCTCTTGGATGGTAGTAAGTACTGATTGTCACCCACCGTTAACGCTGCTACTTTAACTGGACCCAATCATAGGAATGGCTTCATGTTACATCTCAATGAACGCACCAGCGACATCAGTGGATGCATCTGTTATATAACAGGTACACACATCGTCTGCGGATTGATAGTACGGATTGCACGGTTCAATATGACTGTTTGTACCAAGAAGCTTAGGCTCCAGGAGCTGAACGGCAGGGGTGATAGTGTGGCAGTGTTTCTTCCCAGTAGAAGATGGTCCAGTTAGAACTAAGACCGCACACTCCAAGCCAGATTTAAGCGCTGCTTGTTCGTGAGGCTGAAACTACGAGCAAACTAAGTACACATTTTTTATTAACAGTTCGTGAGCCTTGTGTCAGATTCTGAGGCGGCGCTATAATCTATCCTACCATTTGGGGTGTCTGATATACAATTCTATTCTAAGTAGCCTATCATACACTCAGCGACTTGCTACTAAGCGCCGGTCTACATTCAATTCCCCATCATGCAAAATCTTGAGCCCTCAGCCCTCTTGAATAAAGTTGCTATCAGCCTATCGATTCGGTGGCATGTAATCGGTGTCTGGCGGCTAAACGAGCATATGACGACGACGATTAACTTCAGCTGTGCGGTTCGTATGTAAGTTTATTGGATCATTGGCTATCTTTTGTTCGTTATAGTGTATCCTTTAGCGCCTGGGTTGCATTTGAGGGGTGCTGCTAATCCTAGGCACCTACCATCCATACATTATTGACATACAAATAGCCCTTCCTTAAACCTGCTCCTTCCTCTCCATCAAGCAAGCAAACAAACACCCTTCCATAAAATATTATTCTTATCCCAGAACGCAAAACGCAAGCAGACCTATTTCGAAAACTCCTTCGCAATGTTCAAAGCAACAGCACGTTCTTTGTACCAACTTATTGGGAAGACAAGATTGGGTGACCTTCCTCCCGAATGGCAGGCTCCTGTCGGACAGGTCCTTGACGCTGAAGAAAAGAGTGTGAGTTGATGTATTCCATCTTTGGCTTTGTACCAAGTACTGATGCGTGCGCCATAGGACCCCAGGTTCAAGAATGCTGAGATCCGGTAACCCTCAGACTCCCCAACGGAATTCTGGGACAATTGTGAGTTCAGAGCTAATCACTTTTCATAGAGGCTCTAAGCCACATGCTTCCCACGATGATCCGACCGACCCGAAAGATGTTGTGTCCGTCCGTATCAAGGATGATGGCCTGAAAACTTTCCGGAGACTGCACATACATCAAGATGGCTCGGTCAAACGAATTGATGTTTAGTGTGCTTGTTGGGGTCAATTACTCGAGACCAGTTGGATGGGTAAGGATGCCGTCTTGGGAGACTTGGCGAGGTCCTTCCCACTATTTGTATTGATAGGGTTATGCTCTTTGAATTTCTTGTTTTGGGTACTGCCGCTGCTGGAATTACTTGGATCTTTGGTTAATTGATATTGTGAGAGCTTGAGGTTATCGTTCACGCATTTTCTTACGTCCTGCGTAGCTAGCACTGAAAAACTAGCGTGTCATTTGAACTTGGGTTGCTGGGTATACAGATTCGTTTCAAGGCGAGCGTAGCCATGGATCGTCCAAAAGGTCCCTCGCCGATTCCCTCTCCTCGGGCTTCCATTTGAGCATCTTGCGCAGGAACTGCAGAAAAAGCTGGCGCGATTCTCCCTCCAAGATTTCTTCGAGATTTTCCAAAGACACGGGAGGAATTTCGGTAGCCCCTTTCCAATTTCCTAGCTCACAGTCAGCAAAAGCAAGATTTTTGAGATATCGAAATCCACCCATACCTTCGTCATCGAAGAATTGGCTTGCATAGTCATTGTTCTGAATCATTTCTTTTGGAGGTGCTCCCATGATAGCCACCATCTCAGCGAGATGATGAGCATCGGAGCATTTCTTATCTGAATCTCTAGCGTAGAACAGATGTCCCTGTTGGAAGATATCCCATGTCTGTTGCATAATTCAATTAGTACATCGCACGAACGCCCATAGTCATAGTACTAGCCGAACAGCCAGACGGTTGAGAAGGATGCATACCAGTACACCGACATTCCAGATATCAACCTTCTCATTCCAAGGCATCTGCAAAACCACCTCAGGAGCCCGATAGATATAGGGCTGAATATCTCCGGAATAAGTACTTGACCCGAAGCGAGCCTGACCGAAGTCACACAGCGTAGGACGGCCATGTTGTTTGGTTTTCCTGAGGTTGCGAGAGGCATAGATCACTCGATCGCCCACAACTTTGCGTGGGCTGGGATTGGACTTCTCGTCTTCTTCGAAATCTGACAAGATAGAATTGTCTTCTATGGCCATCATGATGTTCTTTTCTTGAAGATCTGGAGAGAATTATTCAATTAGGAGCCCTTCTGAAGGGGTTACAGGAGGGACTAGTATACCTGTATGGACAATTCCAGCTTCCGCATGGAGATAGTCCAAAGCAAGAAGGAGATGCACCAGGGTTAACTTGACTATCTTTTCAGGAAGTACTTTGGCCCTGAGCTGAGTGCGAAACTCATGAAGACTCATTCCTAGCGGCGGGTGAACCAGGCATCCGAAAGTGCCTTTCTCGGAAGTGATGTGAAAGCTATCCAATGCTTTACGAATAAGCTGTACACCAGCATGGTCTGCTATGCTAAGAGAATTCAAATGGCTGTAGGCTTCCCTCTCTCGTTGGCCTTCTGTTGAATTGCGCTCAAATACCTTCAGTGTGACATAAGCGTGCTGCCTAGAACTACAGTGAGTCTTGTTTCGCGCCGCAGCTCATATTGTATGCAGGGTAAGCTGACTGGAGGTCCCGGCAAAGCCAAACAGTTGAATATCCGCCGTAACCCAATTTCCCAATAACCTGATACCGAGATTGGAAGACTTCGCCAATCTTCACGGGATAGAAGTCATCGGGAGAGTACCAGGACAACGTCTCCTCCTCGACCTTCTCACTTGCATCGAGGAGAGGAAAGTTTGACTGGGAGAAATCGCGCACTGGCGATGGGGGCCGTTGGAGCAAAGATCTCCAGGAGTAAAGATGCCTGGATAGCCGAGATGGAAGGCGGAACATCGATGCCATGATGACAGGTTTGATGGATGATGAATACTAGGGGATACGCGACCTTATGTCCGCCAGGTCAACATGCACGCTGTAGGGGATGACTCAGCAATGCTGACGTGATGCGGTCTTGTGCATCTTTGGACCCGCAGTTACCATCACATGACTTGCGTATCCGAACATATCCCATAGTCAACTGCCCTGAAGTTGGGCGATTTGAGGTGGGAAGAGCCTGATGATCACTACTTCTCGCTACTGCGAGAAAATGGTGGTTAACTCAGCTTTTGGGAGCGAATTGCTACGCACCTATTCAAAAGTTCAGAGCTTATCAGTCACGTCCGTATGCCTACCCCGAAGCGCTCGGCCAATACTGGCATTGTCAACATGTCCAACACTGTGACAGTTACGGGATCCATTCGTTAAGCAATATCAAATCATGCGTAGATGGGTTCTCAAAACTACATCCAATTAGGGCTGTTACATTAAGGATAGACATGGTAGGGGAATCCTGACTGCTTATAGTGTGGTCTTCATCTATGCCCCATGTCATTGCAGATTCTCCCCCCAGATAATAGCAAAAGTTTAGTGGCTATTTTACCCCCAAGCAAGCCCACTTCTGACACCCTATGCTACTGGTGCTCCTTTGTTTGTCTCGTGTACTGCTACATCAACGTTCTAAGTTGTCAATCCTGTTCTTGAATCCCCGACGAAAAACATTCTTAGCGTGACATACATCTGTGCTGCCTACATGGCTTAGATAGGTAAGATTTCTCGTATGGGCTGTAGATTGGGGTAAATTTTGGCTAGCAATAGTTGCCTGTATAGCCAAAAAGTTGAATACCCCCCGTAGCCCAGTTTACCAACAACTTGATACCGCAATGGAGTATCTCGCTAATTCTTACAGGGTAGAAGCTATCGGGTGAGTACTATAGCAGGATTTCTTTCTCGATCTTTTCAGCTGGATCAAGGAGAGGGAGATTACATTGAGAGTAGTTTCGCACGGGCCAGAGAAGACAATGGAACAGGGATCGACTGTAGTAAAGCCGTCTGGATAGTTGGGGTGACAGGTGGTACCTCCAGGTCATGATGAGAGGACTGTCGAGGAGAATTGCGAATGGTTAGTTCGGGAAGTGATATCTCAGCCTGGCATCTCCGAATGCAGTCACATGATCCCCTCCTCTGTATGACAATTGTTCCACAACCAAATGAGTTAGGATTTTTCTCAGTCTGATGCCTATTTAACCCCGCTATCTGTGAGATGCATCTGTCTCTTGGATGACCACGCTCGGTTGATCCATCTTAGCCTTGCCTACAATCTGCAGATCTTGCTACCAAACCATCCTATATTTCTTGCGTCCGTCGGCATACTCCACTACATGTCTACGCTTCATTTTGGTCTACTTTCTGTCCTTCATCAGCCTGTCACATCATCATTTTAAACTAGCCCATCCACCTCCATCATGGAGAACAACGAGGAGTCCGAGCATTATGAGGACTCTGAGGACTCTGAGGGCTCTGAGGACAGTGACCTCTCGAACGGCCAGCCCGAAGAGAACTATATCTACTTAGATGACCTACCAACTCTGGCAACCTGTTACCTGTATGTCATTATAGTACCTGGAGATGGCGAACTCAAGCACTGGATTCTTTGCATCGACGCCCCAACCTGGACCGAAAAGCCTATGGTCCACCTCGTCGGATCTCCAACGTATTACCGAGTCGAAGCACGATTCTTGACGAGAAATGATGAAAGAAGGATCATCAAACGAGTTAATCTGTGTGATATTCCGAATGCACAGAATGTGTACGATGATATCATCGACGCTGGGGAATGGGCAGAGATCGATAATCAGGATCCGAGCTATAACTCTCAGATCTACATTCTCGAGCTTTTGGATGACTTGGAACACCGAGGCATTGTCAGCATGAATGATCCAAGGTATAGAGAGGGCAAGATAGAATTGGAGGGAATGCGGCAGATACAGATTGATTGGATATGAATGGATGTTGAGCCGTTACTGTCTAAGGTGCTGTTGGCGCTCTTTGTTCAGTATGGCTTCGGATATTGAAAGGGTATGCCTGACTTGGGATATCTCGTGCTACTTATCTAGGAACATCAAGGGAACCTTGGATTTGTTTTGCAATTTCACGTTTCTTAGCCAGCGTTTGGCTGTCTATATAGCATCTGCCATAGGTTCTACGCCCATCGGCACCATGCATAAGTGACAAGGCTAGTGTGGACCGTTGCCAATGATATCGAGACACATCAGAAACACACAGCCTGACATACAGTTGCTGGTGAGAACGGAAACCTTACTAGTCTTGTTAAGCGAGCAAACGCAAGCTAGGGTGAGGGGTAAGGTGTCCAGCCTCTGAAGCCATCTTTGCCTCGCTTTTGCCCTTCTCAAACATTTTCGTATCGGTGACTGCCACTGTCGAAAAAAAAAAAAAAAATGCATTTCCGAAAGCGCCTGAAAGACTGGACGGCGACTCTCCGTCCGCCAAGAAACTCCGGTCTTGATGTTTCTCAAGATACAAGTACTGCATCGGTGGTGTCATCGCAAAACAATGATATCTCAGTCCCTCATGCTTGCCCCTCGAACGTTCCCAATCCTATCCCTTTAAGGCTCGAAGGGCTGTGGAAGAAAGCTTACTCGGACCTCCAAAATAAGAACCCTGACCTACTTGCCCAGTATGAAAAGATCCTCCTGTCGAACGCGGAATTGGATGACTCGAGCAATGAGAACCAAGGAGACAATATTGACATTGATCCTCGACTTGAGACTTGCGTAAAAAGGCGTCTTGAAGCGATCGAAAAGTTACGGTGCAAGATACGCATTGGAGGAAAAGAAATAGAAGTCAAGAAGCAAGTCCGTCGTGTTGTAGGGGGGATACTGTCCGTGAAAGATATCATTACCGCGGCAGTGAGTGCGGAGCCACATGTCTCCATAGCATGGGCAGGCGTTTTGTTTTTACTGTATCCGTTGGCCAAATCATTTGATCAGGATGAGGATGCTATGAACGGTTTTCAAGCTGTATCAGACCTTATGGTTCGGCATGCATTCCTGGAGAGAAGTCAGGCCAAAATATACTCGAATTCCAGCTTCACGGTAGCCGACCCGGGTCATGATTTTGCTAATTTAATCAGATCCAAAACGGTTGAGCTGTACGTTCTTATACTTGAGTACCACATGTCTCTTGCCACGCACTTCGATCATGCCGGGTTCAGGCGATTCTTACACGACTGGACAGAGATCGATAAGTGGCACAGCATGCTAAAGTCGATCACGAGTCTCGATGAGAGCATTGGTCAGTATTTGGCAACATTCGCTGGAGATGATATCCAAAAGATCCTCAAGGAACTGGAGAATTCACAACGGGTTGTAATGGACTCACTCTCTGTGATAAAGGAAAATGTTGAGGTAGATACAACCATGGCCATCTGAGCAATAGGGCCCTACTGACGCGCAGTGATAATGACAGGAGACTAAACAAATAGAGCTTCTCAAATTGCTTCCGCTGGTCGGAGAGGCAACGTTTGGGTCCCTTGCTGATCAAAACAAACCAGAATGCCTCGAGGGCACCCAGACGAAAATACTTCGTGAGATTCAGACTTGGATTGAGTCTCCGGATGACTCTCAGATATTCTGGCTCAGAGGAATGGCAGGAACCGGCAAATCTACAATCTCTCGTACCCTTGCTGCTGCGTGCCAGCAAGGCAAATCACTTATTCCCAACGGGCCCCCTCTTCCCGTGAACGTCTGTCTCGGTGCCAGTTTCTTCTTTGATCGAACTAAGCCGGGGCGCAACTCCGTTGAGAAGTTGTTTCCTTCCATATCCAATAAGCTAGCATATTCATTCCCAGATTCTAGAGACAAGATATGCCAAGCAATTCTGGACAACCAATCCATCGGCAATCAAAATTTGCATAACCAATGGAGCAAATTGATTTCAGAGCCACTTTTGACACTCGATAAGGAACTTCTCCTACCCGTGACACTGGTATTGGTGCTAGATGCACTTGACGAGTCTGTGTCTCAGGACCCCAAGGAGGCTGGGGAACCAGCCCATGATATTGGAGGCGTCCTAACGCTTATAACCACAGCAGAAAAGTTGCAAAATATTCGACTGAAAATATTCCTTACCAGCAGGCCAGAACTACGGTCTCAATTTTATGTTCCTTATAAAGAAGCTAATGTCCACGACTTTGAACTTCGAAAAATCCCAGTAATGTCCGAAGGGGCTAATCTTCCGAAAGACGACATAACCTTCTATTTGGAGCATCAGGTTAAGCGAATTGTATCCCAAGCCACCGTCAACTACTCTGAGTCGCTAGCAAAATCTACCTGCTGGCTCAGTCAAGATGAAGAAAGGAAGGTTGTCCGAGCTCTTGCCGATAAAAGCGATGGTTTGTTCATTTATGCAGCCACCGCATGCCGCTTTTTGGATGGGGTAGACTGCGACTTCGACGATTTGCAAGCACGCATGCGAGAAATATCTGGTTACAGCTCAGAAGTAGATTCACCACAGGACAATTTGGATCAGATGTACAACCAAATCCTAAAATACTCTATAATGTATAGCTCGAGAAAAATAAAGAGCGAGAAGAAAGATTTCTATGAGCTCTTTGAACGAATGATCGGAGCTGTTGTTGTACTAGCAGAGCCTCTCACGATCGCGACCCTCGAAGACCTCTTGGATTTTGCTGGAAAGGAAACCAAAACTCGAAGACTTTTGAACAGTTTAAGCTCTGTCATATCTTGTGGGGTCAGTTTTGGATCACCTATTCAATTGCTACACATGTCTTTTCGCGACTTTCTCGTTGGCCAACCCAACAGGAGATGTCTCTACGATGAATTCTGCATTGACCCAAGAAAGGCCCATAGGGCCCTTTTCGAGAGTTGCTTAAAGCCGCTGTCGAGTACTCTGAAGCAAGACATTTGTTCTCTTGAGGACCCATCCTTCCTGGCCAAAGATATTGGTTCATCTTTGCTGGACCGACATGTTCGAGTTTCCGTCAGATATGCTTCTCAATATTGGTCGCATCATCTCCAACAAGCTGGAGTCAAGCTACTTGATAATGACTGCGTACATGAGTTTCTCCAGAAGCATTTTCTGTGTTGGCTCGAGGTCATGAGCCTTCTTCAAATGATACCGACAGCTATTGTTAACACCATCCAGCTTGAAAGTTACTTTGCGTCCCTACCGGTAGGTATCAAATAATTCGTATTCTTTTATTAACTTATTTGGCTAATCACTATATATTATTCCACTCAATTCTAGCGCGATGGGAGAGCCGGACTTCAAGATATGGTATCTGACATGAAGCGTTTCATGCTCGCATCCAAGAACGAAATAGAAAATGCCCCCCTTCAGGTTTATCGTTCGGCACTCATTTTCGCTCCGAAACAGAGCATCTGCCGAAAGACATTTCAGAGTTCGATTCCAAAAATCTACTCCAGATTGCCTAAAGTGAAGGAGAAATGGGATCCTCTACTTCAAGAACTCGATAACAGAGAATCCAGCCATTGTCTAGCCATGTCTTCGGATGGGAAGACTCTTGCTGTCTTGTGCGGGTACTGGAAGCGCTACAGGATTAAGTTGTGGAATATAACTACAGGAACATTGCTATATACGATTGACTGCGGTGGGTGGCCTGAGTTTATTGCGTTTCTTCCTGGTGACAAGCACATTCTATCCTCTGGGGGGTTGGAGGGTATCCGAGTATGGGATATAGGTTCAGGGATGTTGCTCAGAACGATCCTCTTTGGGAAAAAAGATGCCTCCGATGGCGGATTGTGGGGACGGGCTCAGAGAGATTCACTCTCATCTCGAGGGTGCCTAGCAGTGGTACACCCCAATAAAATGACCATTGGTTTGACCTATGCAGCACAGGGAACACTGAAAATGATTCATGTTTCTACCACAGTAAAGACCATCGCATGGTCTGCAGATGGATCCACCTTGGCAATTTTTCTAACTAATGGTAGCATAACATTCTGGGATGCAAGTGAGTCCAAATTCATACAATCGCTGAATTATAATTCAGGGATTGGGAAGGTAAAGGGCCTCAATATGACATTCTCCGCTACTGGTGAATTGTTGACAGAAACACTATTGGAAGATTGTGTTTTGCTTCAGCTATGGGAATGGAGGACGAAGACGTTATTGTTGAAGATAATTGATGATTCGCTAGACTGGAAAGGCTGCAAGTCCCTCGACTCAGACACCATAATGCATTTCTCCCCAAGCGAAAAGGCTGTAACAACCTGGCATCGTTCCACAGGGCTTCAGAGATGGGATTATGAGACTGGCCAACGCTTGGTGAAGATCCCTACGCCCGATTCGAAAGCTCGCGTTACACTCTCGCCAAGCGGGAAGATATTTGTTGTCGCAACGGCACAGGCAGATCGCACTCCCATCACTAAGCTTTATGACTCGGCAACAGGCGAATGTTTGACGAGTTTGAGAGGCATTAAGGATGACCCGAGCTTTGTGTTCAACTCAGAAAGTCGAGTTCTCATATCCGCTGATATGAAAGGGATAATTCGAGTTTGGGATCTATCTTCAGATTTGAGATCGGAACAACTTGCAGCTCCGCTGAAGTCTGACGGGAGGCTCATTTTGTCCCATGATCATCAATTTGTACTCTCGGCATCCACAAACCATATCTATCTTTGGAAAAATAGACCTGGCTCTCTTATGCGGGTAGTCAGCAGGAAAGATATAGAAGGCCTTGCTGAAATGTTTGGGCAAGTCCTGATCAGGGACTACAAAGGTCCAATTTTGACAAATATACAGACGGCAGTACAGGAAATGAACACCAACCAGCTTTTAGATGACCTTTTTCACGGCTATTTCGTCGATAATCAGATAAAGGAAATCAGCTCAAACGGCAGACTTCTTGCAAAAGCTTGGTTCTCAACGGAAAGCGCTCATTACGATGACGATAATGTTTACATCACAGTACGGGATGTAATCACTGGCGTCGTGGCTTCCGCCATTCCTCGCGGATACAATGGAGATCCTTATCTGTCATTCTCTCCTGACGGTAGGCTTCTGGCAATTGGTCATACAGATAGGGATTCCAAAGCAACAACCCTCGAAGTATGGGATGTAATTGAAGGAGATTTTCGAATTCAACGAGCTACGGGTCTTCACGAGGAATTAGAAGCTATAAAGGTTCACTGGTCAGCCAACGGAACAAAAGTGGCAATCGACTGTCCCATCCCCTTTTGGAAGCAACGCAACAAGGCCCGCATTTTCTTGTACGATTTGGCGAAAGATAACTCAGTACTTCTTGAGTATCCGGGGGTCTGTGCTGCACTGTCCCCAGACCAGAGGCTGGTTGCGACTAGAGACCTCGATGGAAGAATCCTCTACTTGTGGGAAAACGTTGGAAACAATCTAACTCTGCTTGGCCAGCACAACGGCATGAACTTGAAGTGGAGCGTAGTTGGATCAAAGATGTTGAAATTTGAAGGCGATGAGGTGGTTATTACACATGAAAATCGAATTGACGTTAAATCGTTTCTACCAAAGTGGGACTCGAGAACCAGTCGGCAGATACAGGTGAAGAACGGCTGGATTATTTATGGGTCAGAAAAAGTTCTCCTTCCTTTGCAGTACAGACCGCATGATGTGGTTGTAACTAAAGAAAATGTTTTGGTTATGAGGAATGAGTCGGGTGAGGTTACGTTTTGGGAGTTTGCTGACGAGGAAGAGGATTGAGAGATGTATGCATAGCTTGAAAGAACATAGTTTTCTGAGATTCCTAATGTGTTTAATTTATATAATTGTCTCACCGTGAAAATTAAAGTCATCTTGCAACTTGTGTCAAGAATCTACTATGTAGGCCCGGGAATTTCACGATATGAATAACATTTGTTTCCGCATCTGCACGAGCTTATACGGCAATCGCCCCCGCATACAGGTAGGTGCCCGGCTTTGTTTATTTCTATACCGTCGAAATGGGAGGGATCAGTATTTTTAATGAGAGGGGCGTAGCAAGAGGTAGCGAAGCTAGCGAAGAGTTGATGATATGCCTCGCTAGGGGAGACCTCTGATTGAAAATGTGTTGATACCCGCTGCGCGTTGACTACGAACGATAAATAAATCCGGGATCTGGCCTGTTGATTTTTAAGGATGACGCCTTCCGGAAATAGAGTCAACTGCCCCGAATAAGGAGGCCCTTGGAAGGTCAAAACAATGCTCTTGCGTATAATCAAATCAAGCAGTTGAATAGAAGATCTGCCCCTGACACTACTATCATCCTCCTTTCCTGCCTAGCCACCGACGCACGTTTTCTCGTACACTAAAAAGTCCTTTATGGACATTATCAAACATAAAAACTTGAAATTCCGCGTCAAATCGATCCATCACACGTTTGCATATCATTAGCCCCATCTCTTGTGCATCTCTCTGCGAAGAGCATCACCTTGCTCTGCCGTACCTTTGAATTCCCCGTACTGGGAGTTCATACCCCATGAATTATAGTATCCTGCTCGGGAATCGAAGTCGCCGGAACGACCATACTTCACGGCTGTATCACGTGAAGAAAGTGGATCGAGATTGGAGCCTCCAGGGCCACCATAAACCACGGGACTCCTTGTAAAGTATCCTATAGCTGCATCCACTGCCAAATTCGATCCTTTCACGAATACAGGTCGCAATGCCTCTATGGTAAAGGACCACCATGAAGTTCCTTCCTTTCTTGTCGTGGCACATGTGGCTCAGCAACTGAGGCACTACTTGATGCAGCTGTATCCTGGACCGAAGCACTTCTCGGTGCCTGTTGACTTGGAGGGAGGAATATCCTGCCAGCACTGGTACCGTGCAATGGTCGTAGCTCGCCGAGCTCCCGAAGTATCTGAGGGTATATTGTCGATTCTTTATGACAGTAACGTGTAACCATGCTTTTGGCTTGCTGCTCTAGCTCCTCTTTTTGAGTTGGCTCGAACAGGGAAATACTACTCTCCTGAGGAACGTCATCGACATAATTCCTCCCAAAGGCATAGTGTTGAGCTCCCCATGACCGTAGTTGGGCCCATTCCTCATTCAGTCGCTGCTGGAGTTTATCATTCTGATGCCTTAGCATAGCACCATTCCCTGTCCAAAAGGTGGTCACGATTGTCACGTCTGGGCAGAATGACTGGCCACAAAAAGACGTCAACCAGGCTACCATCTCTCTGTCAAACCCGTCTTGTCTGGTATAGTTGTTGACCAAGTACCAGATACCGAAAATGGAGTTTGGTTGTAGCTGTTGTAACATCTCCGTAACTTGAAGGAATATTTCCCCTTTGTTGTTAGGCTCGAAGCCAGGTGTATCAACGATGAAGTACTCTTCCTTGCTGATAGTCGTATCGAAAATCTGACACAGATCGGTCGCTTGTGAGAGTCAATTTGGGATTCTATTGACTTGCTCAAAATGAAGACCTACATGAGTGGATTCCGCCATTTGACAGCCCCTCGGCTCCCGTGATAAGCTCGGTCAATGTGGATTTCCCAGCGCCTAGTCTGCCAACCAGAAGAATGACATTGGCCTTGGTGCCACTTCTGCTCCGTATGGCCTGGAGGCATCTAGAGCTGCGTGCTGAGTTGGACTCCATGGTAAGGTAAGCGTAGAGAGTGTCCCTGTGGTTGGAAGGCTGTGTCTATGGCCGGCAAGCTAAAAGAAGTATATGGATAATATGCCTTTCTAAGCGGCTTCAGCGGCCAGGCAAGGTTTCTTATGTCCCCTCATATATATCATGATCTGCTCAGCCTCAGAGGGTTGCCTTTCTGTTGTTTGATGGCGCGCAATGGCCCCTATCTGGCTCCAGGAGGCCTCATAGGCGGAAATAATGACACGTCAACCCCCCTCAAGACCCCTGTCTTGATATCAGCCAGTAGGTGATTGTATAAAATGCACACGTTGAAAGGCTACGTCACTTCAGCCTTGTGATCAAGCACAAGGCTGTACAATACCTTCGGCTGAGATAGCGCTCGTTTCCCGTCTATCAAACGTTTGGCGCTTCTACTCGCGCCAACACAGCCAGAAGATATGCACGCAGGCCATCTACGCCTCGGGCGGGGTACTATCATTTCCAAGCGAATGGGCTGTGCAGATGGATTGATAAC